CGGGGCCCTAGTTATTTTTCCTCCGCTTTAAACTGGAAAATGGCCCACTTCCCACTGGCGAAAACTCAGGAAATTTGGCAGGACGACCGGGCCTGGTGAAAAATTCGATATTCTGAAGTCGCCCAAACAATAAAATGCAAAATGGCTCCATAGCGCCCCCTAAGGTGAAAATTCACATGACGGCTGTACGCTTTGTCATATTGACAGAAAAATTGACACACACGTGTATCTCAATAAGATGTACAAAAAAGTCAGTGCGGGCGTATCTGTCAAATGTACGGTTAATGGGTTATTTTTCATTTTTTGCAGATCTGCACACATTGGAATTTCGCTAACTCCTCCGAAGGCTTTCGTTCGACCGGCACCACATTTGCGCAGGCCAATCTACACCCCATGGCCATTAAAAGTTGTACAAATCATGACGCTGCACCCCACGGTTTACGTTCTAGGGGGCGCCAAAGATAACCCAAAAATCCACATTCTTAAAAGTCTTATAACTTTTTACTTTTGTCCTCACTGGCCTCCAAGTTTTCTAGGATGATGCAATGTCCAGCCATCAACACATTTGTGAAGGAATTTTTACTCCCCAAAAGAGCGCCCCCCAATGGCAGGAGAAAAAGGTCCATTTTTTCTTGTCTCCAAAGGTCAAAATACACATTGTCGAGTGTCACGTTTGTATGCTTTGTCATATTGACACAAAATTTGACAATCACATGTATCTCAATAAGATCTACGAAAAAGTCAAAGGGCATGTATCTGTCAAATGTACGGTTAAAGGGCTATTTTGCATTTTTTGCTGATCCGCACACATTGGAATTTCACTAACTCCTCCGAAGGCTATCTTTCCACCGGCACCAAATTTGCTCAGGCCAATCTACACCCGATGGCCATTAAAAGTTGTACAAATCATCTTGCTGCACCCCACGGTTTGGGTTCTAGGGGGCACCAAATATAACCCAAAAATCCACATTCTTAAAAGTCTTATAACTTTTTATTTTTTTCCATACTGGCCTCCAAGTTTTTTAGGATGATGCAATGTCCAGCCATCAACACATTTGTGAAGAAATTTTTACTCCCCAAAAGAGCGCCCCCCCATGGCAGGAGAAAAAAGTCCATTTTTTCTTATCCCGAAAGGTGAAAATACACGTTGTTGAGTGTCACGCCTTTACGCTTTGTCATATTGACAAAAAAATTGACAATCATGTGTATCTCAATTAGATCTACGAAAAAGTCAAAGAGCGCGTATCTGTATAATGTACGGTTAAAGGGCTATTTTGCATTTTTTGCCGATTCGCACACATTGGAATGTGGCTATCTCCTCCTAAGGCTTTCGTCCCACCGATACCAAATTTGCTCAGGGCAATCTACACCCCATGCCCATTCAAAGTTGTAAAAATCATGACGCTGCACCCCACGGTTTACGTTCTAGGGGGCGCAAGAGATGACCCAAAAATCCACATTCTTAAAAGTCATTTTGGCCACTGCAGGAGTACAGAGTACTGCAGTTCTAGGGGGCGCCAAAGATGACCCAAAAATCCACATTCTTAAAAGTCTTTTTGGCCACTGCAGGAGTACAGAGTACTGCAGGATACACACACATATACACACACGCCAACATACACACACACACACACACACACAGACACACACACACACACACTCAGAGTCTGGTTTTTAGCACCTTCAAAAACATGCTGTTTACATATTTGACAAGAATGCAGAGGCTTCCTTTTGCCCCTGAAAAAAATCAAATTTCAAACACAACTTGACTGTTCATTTCTCCAAAAGACAACCATGAAGCTCCATTTCAAACCTGAAGCAGATAGTTGGTGCATGTGTACAGTAACCTGAGGGGAGTGAGGTGACTATTTCTGAGGAGAACATGAGCAGTGAAGATTCACCTTGGAGCTAGAACAGGGACGTGCACATGATTATACAGGGGCAGGGGCTCAAGTTTTTTCCAGTCATTTATACAATATGGAAATTAATGTGAAATTAAACCACAAATATGTGTGATGAACTGTTTTTAAAACTTAAACTTCAAATAAAAATTGTAAACTTCAAAACATATGCAAATTTTTAACAAAGAACATAGTAATTTACCTCTATTTACATCAAAATGCAGGCAATGGCCCAGGCGTTCTTTGTAAAATTATTTACAAAACACTGTATAGTCTCACAAATGTCACTTTTTATTTATGCCACTACAAAAAAACATGATGTAAATGATGCATGATGTAAAACATGATGTAAAAAACTTGTGTAGATCCTCCTCTATGTCAGTCCATGTGTAATTTTTCCATAATTCTTTGTTTTTTGCAGCATTTTTGTTAGTGTAACTGCAGATTGTGCTGACAGTGTCTATGGCACTAAAAAAAAAAAAAATTTAAAATGCCTCAACATGAACCCCTGGTGGTCTCTGAGGGTGAAACCTGCTAACTGCTGCAGCTCAGTCAGCTTCAGTCTCCCATGCAGAGCTCTGAGTGCATGTGTGGCTCTGCACCCTTAGCAGCGTTGCTAACTCCTCAGTAAGGAAAGCCTGCTTCATGTCAGAGTCTCTAAACTCCAGAAGAAGTCGATAAAAGTCCCTTTCTTTCTAAAAAAAAGTCGTTAGGGGGTCTGAAAAGTCATTGAATCTAACAACAAAGTCGCTAGGTTTGCAACTACGTGTCCCAGACTGCATCCCTGCTGAGAGTCCCTCCCTCCCTTCTCATGTTGCAGGAAGAACGTAAGCGCCCGCCCCTTGTCAATCAGTCACCATATAATTTTGGATTGGTTGTTGTGGTGAAGTTTTCCACCAATAGGAGAGATGTTGTGGTGTGTTTTTTTTTTTCTTTTGGCAAGCCTTTTCCGCCTGTAAGACCTGTCACTAATGTCTGCATGCTATGTTTTCCTGTCTCATACAGCGCGATCGAGCGCCGAACGTGATCAAAATAAGCAGAAAAAAAGTATCGCGGACATAATTTATCATAACTCTGGTTTTATTTGGCCTATCAACACAATTTAAAAACTGGCTCGGGCCCGCCAGTGCCCAAACGGGGTCCTAGTTAGGGCCCGAGCCAGCTGCAGAGCAGCCGGGCGTAGGCCCTATTATTCCCCAAGTGGTTTTTCTTTGTTTCTTTCTTTCTTTTTAGGGCCCGAGCCAGCTGCAGAGCAGCCGGGCGTAGGCCCTATTATTCCCCAAGTGGTTTTTCTTTGTTTCTTTAGGGCCCGAGCGTAGCTGCTAAGCAGCTGCGAGAGCCCTATTATTCCTGATGGATTCTTCTTTCTTCTTCTTCTTCTTATTATTTTTCTGCCCCTTTGAACTGGAAAATGGCCCACTTCCCACTGGTGAAAAGTCATGAAATTTGGCAGGACGACCGGGCCTGGTGAAAAATTCGATATTCTGAAGTCGCCCAAAAAATCAAATGCAAAATGGCTCCATAGCGCCCCCTAAGGTGAAAAATTCACATGATTGAGTGTCACGCCTGTACGCTTTGTCAAAATGACACAAAATTTGAGACACACGTGTATCTCAATAAGATCTACAAAAAAGTCAGTGCGGGCGTATCTGTCAAATGTACGGTTAAAGGGCTATTTCGCATTTTTTGCCGATCCGCACACATTGGAATTTCGCTAACTCCTCCGAAGGCTTTCGTTCCACCGGCACCAAATTTGCTCAGGCCAATCTACACCCCATGGCCATTAAAAGTTGTACAAATCATGACGCTGCATCCCACGGTTTACGTTCTAGGGGGCGCCAAAGATAACCCAAAAATCCACAGTCTTAAAAGTCTTATAACTTTTTATTTTTGTCCTCACTGGCCTCCAAGTTTTCTAGGATGATGCAATGTCCAGCCATCAACACATTTGTGAAGGAATTTTTACTCCCCAAAAGAGCGCCCCCCCATGGCAGGAGAAAAAAGTCCATTTTTTCTTGTCTCCTAAGGCGAAAATTCACACTATTGACTGTCACGCCTTTACGCTTTGTCATATTGACACAAAAATTGACACACACATGTATCTCAATAAGATCTACAAAAAAGTCAGTGCGGGCGTATCTGTCAAATGTACGGTGAAAGGGCTATTTCGCATTTTTTGCCGATCCGCACACATTGGAATTTCGCTAACTCCTCCGAAGGCTTTCGTTCCAAAGGCACCACATTTGCTCAGGCCAATCTACACCCCATGGCCATTAAAAGTTGTACAAATCATGACGCTGCACCCCACGGTTTACGTTCTAGGGGGCGCCAAAGATAACCCAAAAATCCACAGTCTTAAAAGTCTTATAACTTTTTATTTTTGTCCTCACTGGCCTCCAAGTTCTCTAGGATGATGCAATGTCCAGCCATCAACACATTTGTGAAGGAATTTTTACTCGCCAAAAGAGCGCCCCATGGCAGGAGAAAAAAGTCCATTTTTTCTTGTCTCCTAAGGCGAAAATACACATTGTTGACTGTCACGCCTTTACGCTTTGTCAAAATGACACAAAATTTGACACACACATGTATCTCAATAAGATCTACAAAAAAGTCAGTGCGGGCGTATCTGTCAAATGTACGGTTAAAGGGTTATTTCGCATTTTTTGCCGATCCGCACACATTGGAATTTCGCTAACTCCTCCTAAATCTTTTGTCCCATCGGCTTCAAATTTGCTCAGGCCAATCTACACCCCATGGCCATTCAAAGTTGTACAACTCATGACGCTGCACCCCACAGTTTACGTTCTAGGGGGCGCCAAAGAGGACCCAAATATCCACATTTTTAAAAGTCTTATAACTTTTTATTTTTGTCCTCACTGGCCTCCAAGTTTTCTAGGATGATGCAATGTCCAGCCATCAACACATTTGTGAAGGAATTTTTCTCTCCCCAAAAGAGCGCCCCCCCATGGCAGGAGAAAAAGTCAAGTTTTTCCTGCCCATCGCTCAATGGCTCAAACGCATCGCTCTCTCTGCAAAACCGAAAGGAGGAGCAACTTGCCATTTGGATATATACTAGCTGTGTTTGTGCCCTCACTCATGGTCCAGACTTTTTTCAAATAGGACATGTAGTTTGTCTGCAGCGAGCGTTTTGGTAGAAACTGCGCCTCCCATTCATTATAATGGGAAATGACCACAGACAAGTGCGCACACCATCTTTGGACCTTGAGTGTGACGCGATCGGGAGGGGGAGGCGGTCGCGCTGGGGGCGGCGCGACGCGGCTCGGGCCCGACAGTGCCCCACCGGGGCCCTAGTTCTTTCTTTTTTCTTTTTCCTCCCCTTTGAACTGGAAAATGGCCCACTTCCCACTGGCGAAAACTCATGAAATTTGGCAGGACGACCGGGCCTGGTGAAAAATTTGATATTCTGAAGTCGCCAAAACAATAAAATGCAAAATGGCTCCATAGCGCCCCCTAAGGTGAAAATTCACACTATTCACTGTCACGACTGTACGCTTTGTCAAAATGACACAAAAATTGACACACACATGTATCTCAATAAGATCTACGAAAAAGTCAGTGCGGCCGTATCTGTCAAAATTACGGTTAAAGGGTTATTTCGCATTTTTTGCCGATCTGCACACATTGGAATTTCGCTAACTCCTCCGAAGGCTTTCGTTCCACCGGCACCACATTTGCTCAGGCCAATCTACACCCCGTGGCCATTAAAAGTTATCAAAATCATGACGCTGCACCCCAAGGTTTAGGTTCTAGGGGGCGCCAAAGATAACACTAAAATCCACATATTTAAAAGTCTTATAACTTTTTATTTTTGTCCTCACTGGCCTCCAAGTTTTCTAGGATGATGCAATGTCCAGCCATCAACACATTTGTGAAGGAATTTTTACTCCCCAAAAGAGCGCCCCCCCATGGCAGGAGAAAAAAGTCCATTTTTTCTTGTCCCCTAAGGTGAAAATACACATTGTTGAGTGTCACGCCTATACGCTTTGTCAAAATGACACAAAAATTGACACACACATGTAACTCAATAAGATCTACGAAAAAGTCAATGCGCGCGTATCTGTCAAATGTACGGTTAAAGGGTTATTCCGCATTTTTTGCCGATCCGCACACATTGGAATGTGGCTAACTCCTCCTAAGGCTTTCGTTCCACCGGCACCACATTTGCTCAGGCCAATCTACACCCCATGGCCATTAAAAGTTATCAAAATCATGACGCTGCACCCCACGGTTTAGGTTCTAGGGGGCGCCAAAGATAACCCTAAAATCCACATATTTAAAAGCCTTATAACTTTTTATTTTTGTCCTCACTGGCCTCCAAGTTTTCTAGGATGATGCAATGTCCAGCCATCAACACATTTGTGAAGGAATTTTTACTCCCCAAAAGAGCGCCCCCCCATGGCAGGAGAAAAAAGTCCATTTTTTCTTGTCCCCTAAGGTGAAAATACACATTGTTGAGTGTCACGCCTATACGCTTTGTCAAAATGACACAAAAATTGACACACACATGTAACTCAATAAGATCTACGAAAAAGTCAATGCGCGCGTATCTGTCAAATGTACGGTTAAAGGGTTATTCCGCATTTTTTGCCGATCCGCACACATTGGAATGTGGCTAACTCCTCCTAAGGCTTTCGTTCCACCGGCACCACATTTGCTCAGGCCAATCTACACCCCATGGCCATTAAAAGTTATCAAAATCATGACGCTGCACCCCACGGTTTAGGTTCTAGGGGGCGCCAAAGATAACCCTAAAATCCACATATTTAAAAGCCTTATAACTTTTTATTTTTGTCCTCACTGGCCTCCAAGTTTTCTAGGATGATGCAATGTCCAGCCATCAACAAATTTGTGAAGGAATTTTTACTCCCCAAAAGAGCGCCATGGCAGGAGAAAAAAGTCCATTTTTTCTTGTCCCCTCAGGTGAAAATACATATTGTTGAGATTCACGCCTATACGCTTTGTCATATTGACACAAAATTTGACAATCACGTGCCTTGCCTGGTATCATTTTTTTCAGCACAACCTCACCTGTGCGAATTTACAGTTATTTTATCATGTTGACATACTGAATTTACACAATGGACCCAAATTCACACACAAAACATAAAATCCGAGTGGAAAAAAGTAACATTTTTACTGTGAAAACCACAAATATGTGTGATGAACTGTTTTTAAAACTTAAACTTCAAATAAAAATTGTAAACTTCAAAACATATGCAAATTTTTAACAAAGAACATAGTGATTTACCTCTATTTACATCAAAATGCAGGCAATGGCCCAGGCGTTCTTTGTAAAATTATTTACAAAACACTGTATAGTCTCACAAATGTCACTTTTTATTTATGCCACTACAAAAAAACATGATGTAAATGATGCATGATGTAAAACATGATGTAAAAAACTTGTGTAGATCCTCCTGTATGTCAGTCCATGTGTAATTTTTCCATAATTCTTTGTTTTTTGCAGCATTTTTGTTAGTGTAACTGCAGATTGTGCTGACAGTGTCTATGGCACAAAAAAAAAAAATTAAAATGCCTCAACATGAACCCCTGGTGGTCTCTGAGGGTGAAACCTGCTAACTGCTGCAGCTCTGTCAGCTTCAGTCTCCCATGCAGAGCTCTGAGCGCATGTGTGGCTCTGCACCCTTAGCAGCGTTGCTAACTCCTCAGTAAGGAAAGCCTGCTTCATGTCAGAGTCTCTAAACTCCAGTAGAAGTCGATAAAAGTCCCTTTCTTTCTAAAAAAAAGTCGTTAGGGGGTCTGAAAAGTCATTGAATCTAACAACAAAGTCGCTAGGTTTGCAACTACGTGTCCCAGACTGCATCCCTGCTGAGAGTCCCTCCCTCCCTTCTCATGTTGCAGGAAGAACGTAAGCGCCCGCCCCTTGTCAATCAGTCACCATATAATTTTGGATTGGTTGTTGTGGTGAAGTTTTCCACCAATAGGAGAGATGTTGTGGTGTGTTTTTTTTTCTTTTGGCAAGCCTTTTCCGCCTGTAAGACCTGTCGCTAATGTCTGCATGCTATGTTTTCCTGTCTCATACAGCGCGATCGAGCGCCGAACGTGATCAAAATAAGCAGAAAAAAAGTATCGCGGACATAATTTATCATAACTCTGGTTTTATTTGGCCTATCAACACAATTTAAAAACTGGTATATAGGTTGAGGTCCTCACTTTTGAGATAAGTTGAAACGGAGAGTCAACGAGGCTCCGTCTTGCAGCTACATCCGGTTAAATATGTCATGTGACTTGAACGCACACACAGACACACACACGCACACACACACACACACACACACACACTCAGAGTCTGGTTTTTAGCACCTGCAAAAACATGCTATTTACATATTTGACAAGAATGCAGAGGCTCCTTTTGCCCCTGAAAAAAATGAAATTTCAAACACAACTTGACTGCTCATTTCTCCAAAAGACAACCATGAAGCTCCATCCAAACCTGAAGCAGGCAGTTGGTGCATGTGTACAGTAACCTGAGGGGAGTGAGGTGAGTGCTTCTGAGGAGAACATGAGCAGTGAAGATTCACCTTTGAGCTAGAACAGAGACATGCACATGATTATACAGGGGCAGGGGCTCAAGTTTTTTCCAGTCGTTTATACAATATGGAAATTAATGTGAAACTAGGACCCCGTTGGGGCACTGGCGGGCCCGAGCCGTGTCGCGTCCCCCCCCCAACGTGCTGCCTCCCCGTCCCATTTGTGTCCTCTGGCCATCGCCCTCTCTGGTAACGCCCATCACTGCAAAGACCCTTTTCCTTCATCGGCGTTTGCTGTTCTTCCTGCCAGTGCGTGTTGCTTTCACTTACACTTGCCACAGCCAGCCTCGTGAGTGCCTAGCCTATTGGATATCACTGTCACCTACACAGGACAGTCATTACCTTTCTATAAATACTTTGTGTTTTAATTTCACATTAATTTCCATATTGTATAAACGACTGGAAAAAACTTGAGCCCCTGCCCCTGTATAATCATGTGCATGTCTCTGTTCTAGCTCCAAGGTGAATCTTCACTGCTCATGTTCTCCTCAGAAGCACTCACCTCACTCCCCTCAGGTTACTGTACACATGCACCAACTGCCTGCTTCAGGTTTGGATGGAGCTTCATGGTTGTCTTTTGGAGAAATGACCAGTCAAGTTGTGTTTGAAATTTGATTTTTTTCAGGGGCAAAAGGAGCCTCTGCATTCTTGTCAAATATGTAAATAGCATGTTTTTGCAGGTGCTAAAAACCAGACTCTGAGTGTGTGTGTGTGTCTGTGTGTGTGTGTGTGTGTGTGTGTGTGTGTGTGTGTGTGCGTTTGTGTGTGTCTATGTGTGCGTTCAAATCACATGACATATTTAACCGGATGTAGCTGCAAGACGGAGCCTCGTTGACTCTCCGTTTCAACTTATCTCAAAAGTGAGGACCTCAACCTATATACCAGTTTTTAAATTGTGTTGATAGGCCAAATAAAACCAGAGTTATGATAAATTATGTCCGCGATACTTTTTTTCTGCTTATTTTGATCACGTTCGGCGCTCGATCGCGCTGTATGAGACAGGAAAACATAGCATGCAGACATTAGCGACAGGTCTTACAGGCGGAAAAGGCTTGCCAAAGGAAAAAAAAAACACACCACAACATCTCTCCTATTGGTGGAAAACTTCACCACAACAACCAATCCAAAATTATATGGTGACTGATTGACAAGGGGCGGGCGCTTACGTTCTTCCTGCAACATGAGAAGGGAGGGAGGGACTCTCAGCAGGGATGCAGTCTGGGACACGTAGTTGCAAACCTAGCGACTTTGTTGTTAGATTCAATGACTTTTCAGACCCCTTAACGACTTTTTTTTAGAAAGAAAGTGACTTTTATCGACTTCTTCTGGAGTTTAGAGACTCTGACATGAAGCAGGCTTTCCTTACTGAGGAGTTAGCAACGCTGCTAAGGGTGCAGAGCCACACATGCACTCAGAGCTCTGCATGGGAGACTGAAGCTGACAGAGCTGCAGCAGTTAGCAGGTTTCACCCTCAGAGACCACCAGGGGTTCATGTTGAGGCATTTTAATTTTTTTTTTTTTTGTGCCATAGACACTGTCAGCACAATCTGCAGTTACACTAACAAAAATGCTGCAAAAAACAAAGAATTATGGAAAAATTACACATGGACTGACATAGAGGAGGATCTACACAAGTTTTTTACATCATGTTTTACATCATGCATCATTTACATCATGTTTTTTTGTAGTGGCATAAATAAAAAGTGACATTTGTGAGACTATACAGTGTTTTGTAAATAATTTTACAAAGAACGCCCTGGGCCATTGCCTGCATTTTGATGTAAATAGAGGTAAATTACTATGTTCTTTGTTAAAAATTTGCATATGTTTTGAAGTTTACAATTTTTATTTGAAGTTTAAGTTTTAAAAACAGTTCATCACACATATTTGTGGTTTAATTTCACATTAATTTCCATATTGTATAAATGACTGGAAAAAACTTGAGCCCCTGCCCCTGTATAATCATGTGCACGTCCCTGTTCTAGCTCCAAGGTGAATCTTCACTGCTCATGTTCTCCTCAGAAATAGTCACCTCACTCCCCTCAGGTTACTGTACACATGCACCAACTATCTGCTTCAGGTTTGAAATGGAGCTTCATGGTTGTCTTTTGGAGAAATGAACAGTCAAGTTGTGTTTGAAATTTGATTTTTTTCAGGGGCAAAAGGAAGCCTCTGCATTCTTGTCAAATATGTAAACAGCATGTTTTTGCAGGTGCTAAAAAACAGACTCTGAGTGTGTGTGTGTGTCTGTGTGTGTGTGTGTGTGTGTGTGTGTGTGTGTATGTTGGCGTGTGTGTATATGTGTGTGTATCCTGCAGTACTCTGTACTCCTGCAGTGGCCAAAAAGACTTTTAAGAATGTGGATTTTTGGGTCATCTTTGGCGCCCCCTAGAACTGCAGTACTCTGTACTCCTGCAGTGGCCAAAATGACTTTTAAGAATGTGGATTTTTGGGTCATCTTTGGCGCCCCCTAGAACGTAAACCGTGGGGTGCAGCGTCATGATTTTTACAACTTTGAATGACCATGGGGTGTAGATTGGCCTGAGCAAATTTGGTGTCAGTGGGACGAAAGCCTTAGGAGGAGTTAGCCACATTCCAATGTGTGCGAATCGGCAAAAAATGCAAAATAGCCCTTTAACCGTACATTTGACAGATACGCGCGCATTGACTTTTTTGTAGATCTTATTGAGATACATGTGTGTGTCAAATTTTGTGTCAATATGATAAAGCGTACAGGCGTGACAGTCAATAGTGTGAATTTTCACCTTAGGGGGCGCTATGGAGCCATTTTGCATTTTCTTGTTTGGGCGACTTCGGAATATCAAATTTTTCACCAGGCCCGGTCGTCCTGCCAAATTTCATGAGTTTTCGCCAGTGGGAAGTGGGCCATTTTCCAGTTCAAAGGGGAGGAAAAATAATAATAACAAAAGAAGGAAACTACAGGAACAAGAGGGCTCTCGCAGCTGCTTAGCAGCTACGCTCGGGCCCTAAAAACCACTTGGGGAATAATAGGGCTCTCGCAGCTGCTTAGCAGCTACGCTCGGGCCCTAATAACTAGGGCCCCGTTGGGGCACTGGCGGGCCCGAGCCGTGTCGCACCCCCCCCCCCCCCCCCCCAACGCGCTGCCTCCCCGTCCCATTCGTGTCCTCTGGCCATCGCCCTCTCTGGTAACGCCCATCACTGCAAAGACCCTTTTCCTTCATCGGCGTTTGCTGTTCTTCCTGCCAGTGCGTGTTGCTTTCACTTACACTTGCCACAGCCAGCCTCGTGAGTGCCTAGCCTATTGGATATCACTGTCACCTACACAGGACAGTCATTACCTTTCTATTAATACTTTGTTTTTTAATTTCACATTAATTTCCATATTGTATAAACGACTGGAAAAAACTTGAGCCCCTGCCCCTGTATTATCATGTGCACGTCCCTGTTCTAGCTCCAAGGTGAATCTTCACTGCTCATGTTCTCCTCAGAAGCAGTCACCTCACTCCCCTCAGGTTACTGTACACATGCACCAACTGCCTGCTTCAGGTTTGGATGGAGCTTCATGGTTGTCTTTTGGAGAAATGAGCAGTCAAGTCGTGTTTGAAATTTGATTTTTTTCAGGGGCAAAAGGAAGCCTCTGCATTCTTGTCAAATATGTAAATAGCACGTTTTTGCAGGTGCTAAAAAACAGACTCTGAGTGTGTGTGTGTGTGTGTGTGTGCGTGTGTGTGTGTGTGTCTGTGTGTGTGTGTGTGTGTATCCTGCAGTACTCTGAGAAGAATAATAAGCATATTTCTGAGGTGAATTTTGAAGATTCATCTGAGAGTTAGGTTTGATTCGATTCGATTGACGCTCCCCAGCGTTCAAGTCACATGACATATTTAATGCTGCTACGGATGTAGCTGCAAGACGGAGCCTCGTTAACTCTCCGTTTCAACTTATCTCAAAAGTGAGGACCTTAACCTATATACCAGTTTTTAAATTGTGTTGATAGGCCAAATAAAACCAGAGTTATGATAAATTATGTCCGCGATACTTTTTTTCTGCTTATTTTGATCACGTTCGGCGCTCGATCGCGCTGTATGAGACAGGAAAACATAGCATGCAGACATTAGCGACAGGTCTTACAGGCGGAAAAGGCTTGCCAAAAGAAAAAAAAAACACACTACAACATCTCTCCTATTGGTGGAAAACTTCACCACAACAACCAATCCAAAATTATATGGTGACTGATTGACAAGGGGCGGGCGCTTACGTTCTTCCTGCAACATGAGAAGGGAGGGAGGGACTCTCAGCAGGGATGCAGTCTGGGACACGTAGTTGCAAACCTAGCGACTTTGTTGTTAGATTCAATGACTTTTCAGACCCCCTAACGACTTTTTTTTAGAAAGAAAGGGACTTTTATCGACTTCTACTGGAGTTTAGAGACTCTGACATGAAGCAGGCTTTCCTTACTGAGGAGTTAGCAACGCTGCTAAGGGTGCAGAGCCACACATGCGCTCAGAGCTCTGCATGGGAGACTGAAGCTGACAGAGCTGCAGCAGTTAGCAGGTTTCACCCTCAGAGACCACCAGGGGTTCATGTTGAGGCATTTTCAGTTTTTTTTTTTTTTGCCATAGACTGTCAGCACAATCTGCAGTTACACTAACAAAAATGCTGCAAAAAACAAAGAATTATGGAAAAATTACACATGGACTGACATAGAGGAGGATCTACACAAGTTTTTTACATCATGTTTTACATCATGCATCATTTACATCATGTTTTTTTGTAGTGGCATAAATAAAAAGTGACATTTGTGAGACTATACAGTGTTTTGTAAATAATTTTACAAAGAACGCCTGGGCCATTGCCTGCATTTTGATGTAAATAGAGGTAAATTACTATGTTCTTTGTTAAAAATTTGCATATGTTTTGAAGTTTACAATTTTTATTTGAAGTTTAAGTTTTAAAAACAGTTCATCACACATATTTGTGGTTTAATTTCACATTAATTTCCATATTGTATAAATGACTGGAAAAAACTTGAGCCCCTGCCCCTGTATAATCATGTGCACGTCCCTGTTCTAGCTCCAAGGTGAATCTTCACTGCTCATGTTCTCCTCAGAAATAGTCACCTCACTCCCCTCAGGTTACTGTACACATGCACCAATTATCTGCTTCAGGTTTGAAATGGAGCTTCATGGTTGTCTTTTGGAGAAATGAACAGTCAAGTTGTGTTTGAAATTTGATTTTTTTCAGGGGCAAAAGGAAGCCTCTGCATTCTTGTCAAATATGTAAACAGCATGTTTTTGCAGGTGCTAAAAAACAGACTCTGAGTGTGGGTGTGTGTCTGTGTGTGTGTGTGTGTGTGTGTGTGTGTGTGTGTATGTTGGCGTGTGTGTATATGTGTGTGTATCCTGCAGTACTCTGTACTCCTGCAGTGGCCAAAAAGACTTTTAAGAATGTGGATTTTTGGGTCATCTTTGGCGCCCCCTAGAACTGCAGTACTCTGTACTCCTGCAGTGGCCAAAATGACTTTTAAGAATGTGGATTTTTGGGTCATCTTTGGCGCCCCCTAGAACGTAAACCGTGGGGTGCAGCGTCATGATTTTTACAACTTTGAATGGGCATGGGGTGTAGATTGCCCTGAGCAAATTTGGTATCGGTGGGACGAAAGCCTTAGGAGGAGATAGCCACATTCCAATGTGTGCGAATCGGCAAAAAATGCAAAATAGCCCTTTAACCGTACATTATACAGATACGCGCTCTTTGACTTTTTCGTAGATCTAATTGAGATACACATGATTGTCAATTTTTGTGTCAATATGACAAAGCGTTCAGGCGTGACACTCAACAATGTGTATTTTTATGTAAGGGGACAAGAAAAAATTGACTTTTTTCTCCTACCATGGGGGGGCGCTCTTTTGGGGAGTAAAAATTCCTTCACAAATGTGTTGATGGCTGGACATTGCATCATCCTAGAAAACTTGGAGGCCAGTGAGGACAAAAATAAAAAGTTATAAAACATTTAAGAATGTGGATTTTTGGGTTATTTTTGGCGCCCCCTAGAACCTAAACCATGGGGTGCAGCATCATGATTTGAATAACTTTTAATGGCCATGGGGTGTAGATTGGCCTGAGCAAATGTGGTGCCGGTGGAACGAAAGCCTTCGGAGGAGTTAGCGAAATTCCAATGTGTGCGTATCGGCAAAAAATGCGGAATAACCCTTTAACTGTACATTTGATAGATACGCGCGCATGGACTTTTTTGTAGATCTTATTGAGTTACATGTGTGTGTCAATTTTTGTGTCATTTTGACAAAGCGTATAGGCGTGACACTCAACAATGTGTATTTTCACCTTAGGGGACAAGAAAAAATGGACTTTTTTCTCCTGCCATGGGGGGGCGCTCTTTTGGGGAGTAAAAATTCCTTCACAAATGTGTTGATGGCTGGACATTGCATCATCCTAGAAAACTTGGAGGCCAGTGAGGACAAAAATAAAAAGTTATAAGACTTTTAAATATGTGGATTTTAGTGTTATCTTTGGCGCCCCCTAGAACCTAAACCTTGGGGTGCAGCGTCATGATTTTGATAACTTTTAATGGCCATGGGGTGTAGATTGGCCTGAGCAAATGTGGTGCCGGTGGAACGAAAGCCTTCGGAGGAGTTAGCGAAATTCCAATGTGTGCGGATCGGCAAAAAATGCGAAATAACCCTTTAACCGTAATTTTGACAGATACGGCCGCACTGACTTTTTTGTAGATCTTATTGAGATACATATGTGTGTCAATTTTTGTGTCAATATGACAAAGCGTACAGGCGTGACAGTCAATAGTGTGAATTTCCACCTTAGGGGGCGCTATGGAGCCATTTTGCATTTTATTGTTTGGGCGACTTCAGAATATCGAATTTTTCACCAGGCCCGGTCGTCCTGCCAAATTTGATGAGTTTTCGCCAGTGGGAAGTGGGCCATTTTCCAGTTCAAAGGGGAGGAAAAAGAAGAAAGAAAGAAAGAAAGAAAGAAACAAAGAACTAGGACCCCGTTGGGGCACTGGCGGGCCCGAGCCGTGTCGCGTCCCCCCCCCCAACGTGCTGCCTCCCCGTCCCATTTGTGTCCTCTGGCCATCGCCCTCTCTGGTAACGCCCATCACTGCAAAGACCCTTTTCCTTCATCGGCGTTTGCTGTTCTTCCTGCCAGTGCGTGTTGCTTTCACTTACACTTGCCACAGCCAGCCTCGTGAGTGCCTAGCCTATTGGATATCACTGTCACCTACACAGGACAGTCATTACCTTTCTATTAATACTTTGTGTTTTAATTTCACATTAATTTCCATATTGTATAAACGACTGGAAAAACCTTGAGCCCCTGCCCCTGTATAATCATGTGCATGTCTCTGTTCTAGCTCCAAGGTGAATCTTCACTGCTCATGTTCTCCTCAGAAGCACTCACCTCACTCCCCTCAGGTTACTGTACACATGCACCAACTGCCTGCTTCAGGTTTGGATGGAGCTTCATGGTTGTCTTTTGGAGAAATGACCAGTCAAGTTGTGTTTGAAATTTGATTTTTTTCAGGGGCAAAAGGAGCCTCTGCATTCTTGTCAAATATGTAAATAGCATGTTTTTGCAGGTGCTAAAAACCAGACTCTGAGTGTGTGTGTGTGTGTGTGTGTGTGTGTGTGTGTGTGTGTGTGTGTGTGCGTGTGTGTGTGTCTGTGTGTGCGTTCAAGTCACATGACATATTTAACCGGATGTAGCTGCAAGACGGAGCCTCGTTGACTCTCCGTTTCAACTTATCTCAAAAGTGAGGACCTCAACCTATATACCAGTTTTTAAATTGTGTTGATAGGCCAAATAAAACCAGAGTTATGATAAATTATGTCCGCGATATTTTTTTTCTGCTTATTTTGATCACGTTCGGCGCTCGATCGCGCTGTATGAGACAGGAAAACATAGCATGCAGACATTAGCGACAGTTCTTACAGGCGGAAAAGGCTTGCCAAAAGAAAAAAAAAACACACCACAACATCTCTCCTATTGGTGGAAAACTTCACCACAACAACCAATCCAAAATTATATGGTGACTGATTGACAAGGGGGGCGCTTACGTTCTTCCTGCAACATGAGAAGGGAGGGAGGGACTCTCAGCAGGGATGCAGTCTGGGACACGTAGTTGCAAACCTAGCGACTTTGTTGTTAGATTCAATGACTTTTCAGACCCCCTAACGACTTTTTTTTAGAAAGAAAGGGACTTTTATCGACTTCTTCTGGAGTTTAGAGACTCTGACATGAAGCAGGCTTTCCATACTGAGGAGTTAGCAACGCTGCTAAGGGTGCAGAGCCACACATGCGCTCAGAGCTCTGCATGGGAGACTGAAGCTGACAGAGCTGCAGCAGTTAGCAGGTTTCACCCTCAGAGACCACCACGGGTTCATGTTGAGGCATTAAAAATTTTTTTTTTTTTTGTGCTATAGACACTGTCAGCACAATCTGCAGTTACACTAACAAAAATGCTGCAAAAAACAAAGAATTATGGAAAAATTACACATGGACTGACATAGAGGAGGATCTACACAAGTTTTTTACATCATGTTTTACATCATGCATCATTTACATCATGTTTTTTTGTAGTGGCATAAATAAAAAGTGACATTTGTGAGACTATACAGTGTTTTGTAAATAATTTTACAAAGAACGCCTGGGCCATTGCCTGCATTTTGATGTAAATAGAGGTAAATTACTATGTTCTTTGTTAAAAATTTGCATATGTTTTGAAGTTTACAATTTTTATTTGAAGTTTAAGTTTTAAAAACAGTTCATCACACATATTTGTGGTTTAATTTCACATTAATTTCCATATTGTATAAATGACTGGAAAAAACTTGAGCCCCTGCCCCTGTATAATCATGTGCACGTCCCTGTTCTAGCTCCAAGGTGAATCTTCACTGCTCATGTTCTCCTCAGAAATAGTCACCTCACTCCCCTCAGGTTACTGTACACATGCACCAACTATCTGCTTCAGGTTTGAAATGGAGCTTCATGGTTGTCTTTTGGAGAAATGAACAGTCAAGTTGTGTTTGAAATTTGATTTTTTTCAGGGGCAAAAGGAAGCCTCTGCATTCTTGTCAAATATGTAAACAGCATGTTTTTGCAGGTGCTAAAAAACAGACTCTGAGTGTGTGTGTGTGTCTGTGTGTGTGTGTGTGTGTGTGTGTGTGTGTGTATGTTGGCGTGTGTGTATATGTGTGTGTATCCTGCAGTACTCTGTACTCCTGCAGTGGCCAAAAAGACTTTTAAGAATGTGGATTTTTGGGTCATCTTTGGCGCCCCCTAGAACTGCAGTACTCTGTACTCCTGCAGTGGCCAAAATGACTTTTAAGAATGTGGATTTTTGGGTCATCTTTGGCGCCCCCTAGAACGTAAACCGTGGGGTGCAGCGTCATGATTTTTACAACTTTGAATGGGCATGGGGTGTAGATAGCCCTGAGCAAATTTGGTATCGGTGGGACGAAAGCCTTAGGAGGAGATAGCCACATTCCAATGTGTGCGAATCGGCATAAAATGCAAAATAGCCCTTTAACCGTACATTATACAGATACGCGCTCTTTGACTTTTTCGTAGATCTAATTGAGATACACATGATTGTCAAATTTTGTGTCAATATGACAAAGCGTTCAGGCGTGACACTCAACAATGTGTATTTTTATGTAAGGGGACAAGAAAAAATTGCCTTTTTTCTCCTACCATGGGTGGGCGCTCTTTTGGGGAGTAAAAATTCCTTCACAAATGTGTTGATGGCTGGACATTGCATCATCCTAGAAAACTTGGAGGCCAGTGAGGACAGAAATAAAAAGTTATAAAACATTTAAGAATGTGGATTTTTGGGTTATCTTTGGCGCCCCCTAGAACCTAAACCATGGGGTGCAGCATCATGATTTGAATAACTTTTAATGGCCATGGGGTGTAGATTGGCCTGAGCAAATGTGGTGCCGGTGGAACGAAAGCCTTCGGAGGAGTTAGCGAAATTCCAATGTGTGCGTATCGGCAAAAAATGCGGAATAACCCTTTAACTGTACATTTGACAGATACGCGCGCACTGACTTTTTTGTAGATCTTATTGAGTTACATGTGTGTGTCAATTTTTGTGTCATTTTGACAAAGCGTATAGGCGTGACACTCAACAATGTGTATTTTCACCTTAGGGGACAAGAAAAAATTGACTTTTTTCTCCTGCCATGGGGGGGCGCTCTTTTGGGGAGTAAAAATTCCTTCACAAATGTGTTGATGGCTGGACATTGCATCATCCTAGAAAACTTGGAGGCCAGTGAGGACAAAAATAAAAAGTTATAAGACTTTTAAAAATGTGGATTTTAGGGTTATCTTTGGCGCCCCCTAGAACCTAAACCTTGGGGTGCAGCGTCATGATTTTGATAACTTTTAATGGCCACGGGGTGTAGATTGGCCTGAGCAAATGTGGTGCCGGTGGAACGAAAGCCTTTGGAGGAGTTAGCGAAATTCCAATGTGTGCGGATCGGCAAAAAATGCGAAATAACCCTTTAACCGTAATTTTGACAGATACGGCCGCACTGACTTTTTTGTAGATCTTATTGAGATACATATGTGTGTCAATTTTTGTGTCATTTTGACAAAGCGTACAGGCGTGACAGTCAATAGTGTGAATTTCCACCTTAGGGGGCGCTATGGAGCCATTTTGCATTTTATTGTTTGGGCGACTTCAGAATATCGAATTTTTCACCAGGCCCGGTCGTCCTGCCAAATTTCATGAGTTTTCGCCAGTGGGAAGTGGGCCATTTTCCAGTTCAAAGGGGAGGAAAAAGAAGAAAGAAAGAAAGAACTAGGACCCCGTTCGGGCACTGGCGGGCCCGAGCTGTGTCGCGCCGCCCCCAACACGACCGCCTCTCCCTCCCGATCGCGTCACACTCAAGGTCCAAAGATGGTGTGCACACTTGTCTGTGGTCATTTACCATTATAATGAATGGGAGGCGCAGTTTCTACCAAAACGCTCGCTGCAGACAAACTACATGTCCTATTTGAAAAAAGTCTGGACCATGAGTGAGGGCACAAACACAGCTAGGATATATCCAAATGGCAAGTTTCTCCTCCTTTCGGTTTTGCCGAGAGAGCGATGTGTTTGAGCCGTTGAGCGATGGGCAGGAAAAACTTGACTTTTTCTCCTGCCATGGGGGGGCACTCTTTTAGGGAGTAAAAATTCCTTCACAAATGTGTTGATGGCTGGACATTGCATCATCCTAGAAAACTTGGAGGCCAGTGAGGACAAAAATAAAAAGTTATAAGACTTTTAAATATGTGGATTTTAGGGTTATCTTTGGCGCCCCCTAGAACCTAAACCGTGGGGTGCAGCATCATGATTTGAATAACTTTTAATGGCCATGGGGTGTAGATTGGCCTGAGCAAATGTGGTGCCGGTGGAACAAAAGCCTTCGGAGGAGTTAGCGAAATTCCAATGTGTACGGATCGCCAAAAAATGCGAAATAGCCCTTTAACCGTACATTTGACAGATACGCCCGCATTGACTTTTTCGTAGATATTATTGAGATACACCTGTGTGCCAAATTTTGTGTCATTTTGACAAAGTGTAGAGGCGTGACACTGAACAATGTGTATTTTCACCTTAGGGGACAAGAAAAAATGGACTTTTTTCTCCTGCCATGGGGGGGCGCTCTTTTGGGGAGTAAAAATTCCTTCACAAATGTGTTGATGGCTGGACATTGCATCATCCTAGAAAACTTGGAGGCCAGTGAGGACAAAAATAAAAAGTTATAAGACTTTTAAATATGTGGATTTTCGGGTTATCTTTGGCGCCCCCTAGAACCTAAACCGTGGGGTGCAGCGTCATGATTTGAATAACTTTTAATGGCCATGGGGTGTAGATTGGCCTGAGCAAATGTGGTGCCGGTGGAATAAAAGCCTTCGGAGGAGTTAGCGAAATTCCAATGCGTACGGATCGCCAAAAAATGCGAAATAGCCCTTTAACCGTACATTTGACAGATACGCCCGCATTGACTTTTTTGTAGATCTTATTGAGACACACCTGTGTGCCAAATTTTGTGTCATTTTGACAAAGTGTAGAGGCGTGACACTCAACAATGTGTATTTTCACCTTAGGGGACAAGAAAAAATGGACTTTTTTCTCCTGCCATGGGGGGGCGCTCTTTTGGGGAGTAAAAATTCCTTCACAAATGTGTTGATGGCTGGACATTGCATCATCCTAGAAAACTTGGAGGCCAGTGAGGACAAAAATAAAAAGTTATAAGACTTTTAAATATGTGGATTTTAGGGTTATCTTTGGCGCCCCCTAGAACCTAAACCGTGGGGTGCAGCGTCATGATTTGAATAACTTTTAATGGCCATGGGGTGTAGATTGGCCTGAGCAAATGTGGTGCCGGTGGAACAAAAGCCTTCGGAGGAGTTAGCGAAATTCCAATGTGTACGGATCGCCAAAAAATGCGAAATAGCCCTTAAACCGTACATTTGACAGATACGCCCGCACTGACTTTTTTGTAGATCTTATTGAGATACATATGTGTGTCAAATTTTGTGTCATTTTGACAAAGCGTACAGGCGTGACAGTCAATAGTGTGAATTTCCACCTTAGGGGGCGCTATGGAGCCATTTTGCATTTTATTGTTTGGGCGACTTCAGAATATCAAATTTTTCACCAGGCCCGGTCGTCCTGCCAAATTTCATGAGTTTTCGCCAGTGGGAAGTGGGCCATTTTCCAGTTCAAAGGGGAGGAAAAATAATAATAATAATAATAACAAAAGAAGGAAACATGCAGGAACAAGAGGGCTCTCGCAGCTGCTTAGCAGCTACGCTCGGGCCCTAACTAGGACCCCGTTGGGGCACTGGCGGGCCCGAGCCGTGTCGCGTCTCCCCCCCCCCCACGTGCTGCCTCCCCGTCCCATTTGTGTCCTCTGGCCATCGCCCTCTCTGTTAACGCCCATCACTGCAAAGACCCTTTTCCTTCATCGGCGTTTGCTGTTCTTCCTGCCAGTGCGTGTTGCTTTCACTTACACTTGCCACAGCCAGCCTCGTGAGTGCCTAGCCTATTGGATATCACTGTCACCTACACAGGACAGTCATTACCTTTCTATTAATACTTTGTGTTTTAATTTCACATTAATTTCCATATTGTATAAACGACTGGAAAAAACTTGAGCCCCTGCCCCTGTATAATCATGTGCATGTCTCTGTTCTAGCTCCAAGGTGAATCTTCACTGCTCATGTTCTCCTCAGAAGCACTCACCTCACTCCCCTCAGGTTACTGTACACATGCACCAACTGCCTGCTTCAGGTTTGGATGGAGCTTCATGGTTGTCTTTTGGAGAAATGACCAGTCAAGTTGTGTTTGAAATTTGATTTTTTTCAGGGGCAAAAGGAGCCTCTGCATTCTTGTCAAATATGTAAATAGCATGTTTTTGCAGGTGCTAAAAACCAGACTCTGAGTGTGTGTGTGTGTGTGTGTGTGTGTGTGCGTGTGTGTGTGTCTATGTGTGCGTTCAAGTCACATGACATATTTAACCGGATGTAGCTGCAAGACGGAGCCTCGTTGACTCTCCGTTTCAACTTATCTCAAAAGTGAGGACCTCAACCTATATACCAGTTTTTAAATTGTGTTGATAGGCCAAATAAAACCAGAGTTATGATAAATTATGTCCGCGATACTTGTTTTCTGCTTATTTTGATCACGTTCGGCGCTCGATCGCGCTGTATGAGACAGGAAAACATAGCATGCAGACATTAGCGACAGGTCTTACAGGCGGAAAAGGCTTGCCAAAAGAAAAAAAAACCACACCACAACATCTCTCCTATTGGTGGAAAACTTCACCACAACAACCAATTCAAAATTATATGGTGACTGATTGACAAGGGGCGGGCGCTTACGTTCTTCCTGCAACATGAGAAGGGAGGGAGGGACTCTCAGCAGGGATGCAGTCTGGGACACGTAGTTGCAAACCTAGCGACTTTGTTGTTAGATTCAATGACTTTTCAGACCCCCTAACGACTTTTTTTTAGAAAGAAAGGGACTTTTATCGACTTCTTCTGGAGTTTAGAGACTCTGACATGAAGCAGGCTTTCCTTACTGAGGAGTTAGCAACGCTGCTAAGGGTGCAGAGCCACACATGCGCTCAGAGCTCTGCATGGGAGACTGAAGCTGACAGAGCTGCAGCAGTTAGCAGGTTTCACCCTCAGAGACCACCAGGGGTTCATGTTGAGGCATTTTAATTTTTTTTTTTTTTTTGTGCCATAGACACTGTCAGCACAATCTGCAGTTACACTAACAAAAATGCTGCAAAAAACAAAGAATTATGGAAAAATTACACATGGACTAACATAGAAGAGGATCTACACAAGTTTTTTACATCATGTTTTACATCATGCATCATTTACATCATGTTTTTTTGTAGTGGCATAAATAAAAAGTGACATTTGTGAGACTATACAGTGTTTTGTAAATAATTTTACAAAGAACGCCTGGGCCATTGCCTGCATTTTGATGTAAATAGAGGTAAATTACTATGTTCTTTGTTAAAAATTTGCATATGTTTTGAAGTTTACAATTTTTATTTGAAGTTTAAGTTTTAAAAACAGTTCATCACACATATTTGTGGTTTAATTTCACATTAATTTCCATATTGTATAAATGACTGGAAAAAACTTGAGCCCCTGCCCCTGTATAATCATGTGCACGTCCCTGTTCTAGCTCCAAGGTGAATCTTCACTGCTCATGTTCTCCTCAGAAATAGTCACCTCACTCCCCTCAGGTTACTGTACACATGCACCAACTATCTGCTTCAGGTTTGAAATGGAGCTTCATGGTTGTCTTTTGGAGAAATGAACAGTCAAGTTGTGTTTGAAATTTGATTTTTTTCAGGGGCAAAAGGAAGCCTCTGCATTCTTGTCAAATATGTAAACAGCATGTTTTTGCAGGTGCTAAAAAACAGACTCTGAGTGTGTGTGTGTGTGTGTCTGTGTGTGTGTGTGTGTGTGTGTGTGTGTGTGTGTGTGTGTATGTTGGCGTGTGTGTATATGTGTGTGTATCCTGCAGTACTCTGTACTCCTGCAGTGGCCAAAAAGACTTTTAAGAATGTGGATTTTTGGGTCATCTTTGGCGCCCCCTAGAACTGCAGTACTCTGTACTCCTGCAGTGGCCAAAATGACTTTTAAGAATGTGGATTTTTGGGTCACCTTTGGCGCCCCCTAGAACGTAAACCGTGGGGTGCAGCGTCATGATTTTTACAACTTTGAATGGGCATGGGGTGTAGATTGCCCTGAGCAAATTTGGTATCGGTGGGACGAAAGCCTTAGGAGGAGATAGCCACATTCCAATGTGTGCGAATCGGCAAAAAATGCAAAATAGCCCTTTAACCGTACATTATACAGATACGCGCTCTTTGACTTTTTCGTAGATCTAATTGAGATACACATGATTGTCAATTTTTGTGTCAATATGACAAAGCGTTCAGGTGTGACACTCAGCAATGTGTATTTTCATTTAAGGGGACAAGAAAAAAATTGACTTTTTTCTCCTACCATGGGGGGGCGCTCTTTTGGGGAGTAAAAATTCCTTCACAAATGTGTTGATGGCTGGACATTGCATCATCCTAGAAAACTTGGAGGCCAGTGAGGACAAAAATAAAAAGTTATAAAACATTTAAGAATGTGGATTTTTGGGTTATTTTTGGCGCCCCCTAGAACCTAAACCATGGGGTGCAGCATCATGATTTGAATAACTTTTAATGGCCATGGGGTGTAGATTGGCCTGAGCAAATGTGGTGCCGGTGGAACGAAAGCCTTCGGAGGAGTTAGCGAAATTCCAATGTGTGCGTATCGGCAAAAAATGCGGAATAACCCTTTAACTGTACATTTGACAGATACGCGCGCACGGACTTTTTTGTAGATCTTCTTGAGATACATGTGTGTGTCAATTTTTGTGTCATTTTGACAAAGCGTATAGGCGTGACACTCAACAATGTGTATTTTCACCTTAGGGGACAAGAAAAAATGGACTTTTTTCTCCTGCCATGGGGGGCGCTCTTTTGGGGAGTAAAAATTCCTTCACAAATGTGTTGATGGCTGGACATTGCATCATCCTAGAAAACTTGGAGGCCAGTGAGGACAAAAATAAAAAGTTATAAGACTTTTAAATATGTGGATTTTAGTGTTATCTTTGGCGCCCCCTAGAACCTAAACCTTGGGGTGCAGCGTCATGATTTTGATAACTTTTAATGGCCACGGGGTGTAGATTGGCCTGAGCAAATGTGGTGCCGGTGGAACGAAAGCCTTCGGAGGAGTTAGCGAAATTCCAATGTGTGCGGATCGGCAAAAAATGCGAAATAACCCTTTAACCGTAATTTTGACAGATACGGCCGCACTGACTTTTTTGTAGATCTTATTGAGATACATATGTGTGTCAATTTTTGTGTCAATATGACAAAGCGTACAGGCGTGACAGTCAATAGTGTGAATTTCCACCTTAGGGGGCGCTATGGAGCCATTTTGCATTTTATTGTTTGGGCGACTTCAGAATATCGAATTTTTCACCAGGCCCGGTCGTCCTGCCAAATTTCATGAGTTTTCGCCAGTGGGAAGTGGGCCATTTTCCAGTTCAAAGGGGAGGAAAAAGAAGAAAGAAAGAAAGAAAGAAAGAAAGAAAGAAACAAAGAAAAACCACTTGGGGAATAATAGGGCCTACGCCCGGCTGCTCTGCAGCTGGCTCGGGCCCTAACTAGGACCCCGTTGGGGCACTGGCGGGCCCGAGCTGTGTCGCGTCCCCCCCCCCAACGCGCTGCCTCCCCGTCCCATTTGTGTCCTCTGGCCATCGCCCTCTCTGGTAACGCCCATCACTGCAAAGACCCTTTTCCTTCATCGGCGTTTGCTGTTCTTCCTGCCAGTGCGTGTTGCTTTCACTTACACTTGCCACAGCCAGCCTCGTGAGTGCCTAGCCTATTCGATATCACTGTCACCTACACAGGACAGTCATTACCTTTCTATTAATACTTTGTGTTTTAATTTCACATTAATTTCCATATTTTATAAACGACTGGAAAAAACTTGAGCCCCTGCCCCTGTATAATCATGTGCATGTCTCTGTTCTAGCTCCAAGGTGAATCTTCACTGCTCATGTTCTCCTCAGAAGCACTCACCTCACTCCCCTCAGGTTACTGTACACATGCACCAACTGCCTGCTTCAGGTTTGGATGGAGCTTCATGGTTGTCTTTTGGAGAAATGACCAGTCAAGTTGTGTTTGAAATTTGATTTTTTTCAGGGGCAAAAGGAGCCTCTGCATTCTTGTCAAATATGTAAATAGCATGTTTTTGCAGGTGCTAAAAACCAGACTCTGAGTGTGTGTGTGTGTGTGTGTGTGTGTGTGTGTGTGTGTGTGTGTGTGTGTGTCTGTGTGTGCGTTCAAGTCACATGACATATTTAACCGGATGTAGCTGCAAGACGGAGCCTCGTTGACTCTCCGTTTCAACTTATCTCAAAAGTGAGGACCTCAACCTATATACCAGTTTTTAAATTGTGTTGATAGGCCAAATAAAACCAGAGTTATGATAAATTATGTCCGCGATACTTTTTTTCTGCTTATTTTGATCACGTTCGGCGCTCAATCGCGCTGTATGAGACAGGAAAACATAGCATGCAGACATTAGCGACAGGTCTTACAGGCGGAAAAGGCTTGCCAAAAAAAAAAAACACACCACAACATCTCTCCTATTGGTGGAAAACTTCACCACAACAACCAATCCAAAATTATATGGTGACTGATTGACAAGGGGCGGGCGCTTACGTTCTTCCTGCAACATGAGAAGGGAGGGAGGGACTCTCAGCAGGGATGCAGTCTGGGACACGTAGTTGCAAACCTAGCGACTTTGTTGTTAGATTCAATGACTTTTCAGACCCCCTAACGACTTTTTTTTAGAAAGAAAGGGACTTTTATCGACTTCTTCTGGAGTTTAGAGACTCTGACATGAAGCAGGCTTTCCTTACTGAGGAGTTAGCAACGCTGCTAAGGGTGCAGAGCCACACATGCGCTCAGAGCTCTGCATGGGAGACTGAAGCTGACAGAGCTGCAGCAGTTAGCAGGTTTCACCCTCAGAGACCACCAGGGGTTCATGTTGAGGCATTTTAATTTTTTTTTTTTTTTTGTGCCATAGACACTGTCAGCACAATCTGCAGTTACACTAACAAAAATGCTGCAAAAAACAAAGAATTATGGAAAAATTACACATGGACTGACATAGAGGAGGATCTACACAAGTTTTTTACATCATGTTTTACATCATGCATCATTTACATCATGTTTTTTTGTAGTGGCATAAATAAAAAGTGACATTTGTGAGACTATACAGTGTTTTGTAAATAATTTTACAAAGAACGCCTGGGCCATTGCCTGCATTTTGATGTAAATAGAGGTAAATTACTATGTTCTTTGTTAAAAATTTGCATATGTTTTGAAGTTTACAATTTTTATTTGAAGTTTAAGTTTTAAAAACAGTTCATCACACATATTTGTGGTTTAATTTCACATTAATTTCCATATTGTATAAATGACTGGAAAAAACTTGAGCCCCTGCCCCTGTATAATCATGTGCACGTCCCTGTTCTAGCTCCAAGGTGAATCTTCACTGCTCATGTTCTCCTCAGAAATAGTCACCTCACTCCCCTCAGGTTACTGTACACATGCACCAACTATCTGCTTCAGGTTTGAAATGGAGCTTCATGGTTGTCTTTTGGAGAAATGAACAGTCAAGTTGTGTTTGAAATTTGATTTTTTTTCAGGGGCAAAAGGAAGCCTCTGCATTCTTGTCAAATATGTAAACAGCATGTTTTTGCAGGTGCTAAAAAACAGACTCTGAGTGTGTGTGTGTGTCTGTGTGTGTGTGTGTGTGTGTGTGTGTGTGTGTGTGTGTGTGTGTGTGTGTGTGTGTGTGTGTATGTTGGCGTGTGTGTATATGTGTGTGTATCCTGCAGTACTCTGTACTCCTGCAGTGGCCAAAAAGACTTTTAAGAATGTGGATTTTTGGGTCATCTTTGGCGCCCCCTAGAACTGCAGTACTCTGTACTCCTGCAGTGGCCAAAATGACTTTTAAGAATGTGGATTTTTGGGTCATCTTTGGCGCCCCCTAGAACGTAAACCGTGGGGTGCAGCGTCATGATTTTTACAACTTTGAATGGGCATGGGGTGTAGATTGCCCTGAGCAAATTTGGTATCGGTGGGACGAAAGCCTTAGGAGGAGATAGCCACATTCCAATGTGTGCGAATCGGCAAAAAATGCAAAATAGCCCTTTAACCGTACATTATACAGATACGCGCTCTTTGACTTTTTCGTAGATCTAATTGAGATACACATGATTGTCAATTTTTGTGTCATTTTGACAAAGCGTTCAGGCGTGACACTCAACAATGTGTATTTTTATGTAAGGGGACAAGAAAAAAATTGACTTTTTTCTCCTACCATGGGGGGGGCGCTCTTTTGGGGAGTAAAAATTCCTTCACAAATGTGTTGATGGCTGGACATTGCATCATCCTAGAAAACTTGGAGGCCAGTGAGGACAAAAATAAAAAGTTATAAAACATTTAAGAATGTGGATTTTTGGGTTATTTTTGGCGCCCCCTAGAACCTAAACCATGGGGTGCAGCATCATGGTTTGAATAACTTTTAATGGCCATGGGGTGTAGATTGGCCTGAGCAAATGTGGTGCCGGTGGAACGAAAGCCTTCGGAGGAGTTAGCGAAATTCCAATGTGTGCGGATCGGCAAAAAATGCGGAATAACCCTTTAACCGTACATTTGACAGATACGCGCGCATTGACTTTTTCGTAGATCTTATTGAGATACATGTGTGTGTCAATTTTTGTGTCATTTTGCCAAAGCGTACAGGTGTTACACTCAACAATGTGTATTTTCACCTTAGGGGACAAGAAAAAATGGACTTTTTTCTCCTGCCATGGGGGGGCGCTCTTTTGGGGAGTAAAAATTCCTTCACAAATGTGTTGATGGCTGGACATTGCATCATCCTAGAAAACTTGGAGGCCAGTGAGGGCAAAAATAAAAAGTTATAAGACTTTTAAATATGTGGATCTTAGGGTTATCTTTGGCGCCCCCTAGAACCTAAACCGTGGGGTGCAGCGTCATGATTTGAATAACTTTTAATGGCCATGGGGTGTAGATTGGCCTGAGCAAATGTGGTGCCTGTGGAACGAAAGCCTTCGGAGGAGTTAGCGAAATTCCAATGTGTGCGGATCGGCAAAAAATGCGAAATAACCCTTTAACCGTACATTTGACAGATACGCCCGCACTGACTTTTTTGTAGATCTTATTGAGATACATGTGTGTGTCAATTTTTGTGTCATTTTGACAAAGCGTACAGGCGTGACAGTCAATAGTGTGAATTTTCACCTTAGGGGGCGCTATGGAGCCATTTTGCATTTTCTTGTTTGGGCGACTTCGGAATATCAAATTTTTCACCAGGCCCGGTCGTCCTGCCAAATTTCATGAGTTTTCGCCAGTGGGAAGTGGGCCATTTTCCAGTTCAAAGGGGAGGAAAAATAATAATAACAAAAGAAGGAAACTACAGGAACAAGAGGGCTCTCGCAGCTGCTTAGCAGCTACGCTCGGGCCCTAACTAGGACCCCGTTGGGGCACTGGCGGGCCCGAGCTCCCCCCCCCCAACGCGACCGCCTCCCCGTCCCATTTGTGTCCTCTGGCCATCGCCCTCTCTGGTAACGCCCATCACTGCAAAGACCCTTTTCCTTCATCGGCGTTTGCTGTTCTTCCTGCCAGTGCGTGTTGCTTTCACTTACACTTGCCACAGCCAGCCTCGTGAGTGCCTAGCCTATTCGATATCACTGTCACCTACACAGGACAGTCATTACCTTTCTATTAATACTTTGTGTTTTAATTTCACATTAATTTCCATATTGTATAAACGACTGGAAAAAACTTGAGCCCCTGCCCCTGTATAATCATGTGCACGTCTCTGTTCTAGCTCCAAGGTGAATCTTCACTGCTCATGTTCTCCTCAGAAGCACTCACCTCACTCCCCTCAGGTTACTGTACACATGCACCAACTGCCTGCTTCAGGTTTGGATGGAGCTTCATGGTTGTCTTTTGGAGAAATGACCAGTCAATTTGTGTTTGAAATTTGATTTTTTTCAGGGGCAAAAGGAGCCTCTGCATTCTTGTCAAATATGTAAATAGCATGTTTTTGCAGGTGCTAAAAACCAGACTCTGAGTGTGTGTGTGTGTGTGTGTGTGTGCGTGTGTGTGTGTGTGCGTGTGTGTGCGTTCAAGTCACATGACATATTTAACCGGATGTAGCTGCAAGACGGAGCCTCGTTGACTCTCTGTTTCAACTTATCTCAAAAGTGAGGACCTCAACCTATATACCAGTTTTTAAATTGTGTTGATAGGCCAAATAAAACCAGAGTTATGATAAATTATGTCCGCGATACTTTTTTTCTGCTTATTTTGATCACGTTCGGCGCTCGATCGCGCTGTATGAGACAGGAAAACATAGCATGCAGACATTAGCGACAGGTCTTACAGGCGGAAAAGGCTTGCCAAAAGAAAAAAAAAACACACCACAACATCTCTCCTATTGGTGGAAAACTTCACCACAACAACCAATCCAAAATTATATGGTGACTGATTGACAAGGGGAGGGCGCTTACGTTCTTCCTGCAACATGAGAAGGGAGGGAGGGACTCTCAGCAGGGATGCAGTCTGGGACACGTAGTTGCAAACCTAGCGACTTTGTTGTTAGATTCAATGACTTTTCAGACCCCCTAACGACTTTTTTTTAGAAAGAAAGTGACTTTTATCGACTTCTTCTGGAGTTTAGAGACTCTGACATGAAGCAGGCTTTCCTTACTGAGGAGTTAGCAACGCTGCTAAGGGTGCAGAGCCACACATGCGCTCAGAGCTCTGCATGGGAGACTGAAGCTGACAGAGCTGCAGCAGTTAGCAGGTTTCACCCTCAGAGACCACCAGGGGTTCATGTTGAGGCATTTTAATTTTTTTTTTTTTTTTTGTGCCATAGACACTGTCAGCACAATCTGCAGTTACACTAACAAAAATGCTGCAAAAAACAAAGAATTATGGAAAAATTACACATGGACTGACATAGAGGAGGATCTACACAAGTTTTTTACATCATGTTTTACATCATGCATCATTTACATCATGTTTTTTTGTAGTGGCATAAATAAAAAGTGACATTTGTGAGACTATACAGTGTTTTGTAAATAATTTTACAAAGAACGCCTGGGCCATTGCCTGCATTTTGATGTAAATAGAGGTAAATCACTATGTTCTTTGTTAAAAATTTGCATATGTTTTGAAGTTTACAATTTTTATTTGAAGTTTAAGTTTTAAAAACAGTTCATCACACATATTTGTGGTTTAATTTCACATTAATTTCCATATTGTATAAATGACTGGAAAAAACTTGAGCCCCTGCCCCTGTATAATCATGTGCACGTCCCTGTTCTAGCTCCAAGGTGAATCTTCACTGCTCATGTTCTCCTCAGAAATAGTCACCTCACTCCCCTCAGGTTACTGTACACATGCACCAACTATCTGCTTCAGGTTTGAAATGGAGCTTCATGGTTGTCTTTTGGAGAAATGAACAGTCAAGTTGTGTTTGAAATTTGATTTTTTTCAGGGGCAAAAGGAAGCCTCTGCATTCTTGTCAAATATGTAAATAGCATGTTTTTGCAGGTGCTAAAAACCAGACTCTGAGTGTGTGTGTGTGTGTGTCTGTGTGTGTCTGTGTGTGTGTGTGTGTGTGTGTGTGTGTGTGTGTGTATGTTGGCGTGTGTGTATATGTGTGTGTATCCTGCAGTACTCTGTACTCCTGCAGTGGCCAAAAAGACTTTTAAGAATGTGGATTTTTGGGTCATCTTTGGCGCCCCCTAGAACTGCAGTACTCTGTACTCCTGCAGTGGCCAAAATGACTTTTAAGAATGTGGATTTTTGGGTCATCTTTGGCGCCCCCTAGAACGTAAACCGTGGGGTGCAGCGTCATGATTTTTACAACTTTGAATGGCCATGGGGTGTAGATTGGCCTGAGCAAATTTGGTGTCAGTGGGACGAAAGCCTTAGGAGGAGTTAGCCACATTCCAATGTGTGCGAATCGGCAAAAAATGCAAAATAGCCCTTTAACCGTACATTTGACAGATACGCCCGAATCGACTCTTTTGTAGATCTTATTGAGATACATATGTGTGTCAATTTTTGTGTCAATATGATAAAGCGTACAGGCGTGACAGTCAATAGTGTGAATTTCCACCTTAGGGGACAAGAAAAAATTGGCTTTTTTTCCTGCCATGGGGGGGCGCTCTTTTGGGGAGTAAAAATTCCTTCACAAATGTGTTGATGGCTGGACATTGCATCATCCTAGAAAACTTGGAGGCCAGTGAGGACAAAAATAAAAAGTTATAAGACTTTTAAATATGTGGATTTTAGGGTTATCTTTGGCGCCCCCTAGAACCTAAACCGTGGGATGCAGCGTCATGATTTGAATAACTTTTAATGGCCATGGGGTGTAGATTGGCCTGAGCAAATGTGGTGCCGGTGGAACGAAAGCCTTCGGAGGAGTTAGCGAAATTCCAATGTGTGCGGATCGGCAAAAAATGCGGAATAACCCTTTAACCGTACATTTGACAGATACGCGCGCATTGACTTTTTCGTAGATCTTATTGAGATACATGTGTGTGTCAATTTTTGTGTCATTTTGCCAAAGCGTACAGGTGTTACACTCAACAATGTGTATTTTCACCTTAGGGGACAAGAAAAAATGGACTTTTTTCTCCTGCCATGGGGGGCGCTCTTTTGGGGAGTAAAAATTCCTTCACAAATGTGTTGATGGCTGGACATTGCATCATCCTAGAAAACTTGGAGGCCAGTGAGGGCAAAAATAAAAAGTTATAAGACTTTTAAATATGTGGATTTTAGGGTTATCTTTGGCGCCCCCTAGAACCTAAACCGTGGGGTGCAGCGTCATGATTTGAATAACTTTTAATGGCCATGGGGTGTAGATTGGCCTGAGCAAATGTGGTGCCGGTGGAACGAAAGCCTTCGGAGGAGTTAGCGAAATTCCAATGTGTGCGGATCGGCAAAAAATGCGAAATAACCCTTTAACCGTACATTTGACAGATACGCCCGCACTGACTTTTTTGTAGATCTTATTGAGATACATGTGTGTGTCAATTTTTGTGTCATTTTGACAAAGCGTACAGGCGTGACAGTCAATAGTGTGAATTTTCACCTTAGGGGGCGCTATGGAGCCATTTTGCATTTTCTTGTTTGGGCGACTTCGGAATATCAAATTTTTCACCAGGCCCGGTCGTCCTGCCAAATTTCATGAGTTTTCGCCAGTGGGAAGTGGGCCATTTTCCAGTTCAAAGGGGAGGAAAAATAATAATAACAAAAGAAGGAAACTACAGGAACAAGAGGGCTCTCGCAGCTGCTTAGCAGCTACGCTCGGGCCCTAACTAGGACCCCGTTGGGGCACTGGCGGGCCCGAGCTGTGTCACGTCCCCCCCCCAACGCGCTGCCTCCCCGTCCCATTTGTGTCCTCTGGCCATCGCCCTCTTTGGTAACGCCCATCACTGCAAAGACCCTTTTCCTTCATCGGCGTTTGCTGTTCTTCCTGCCAGTGCGTGTTGCTTTCACTTACACTTGCCACAGCCAGCCTCGTGAGTGCCTAGCCTATTGGATATCACTGTCACCTACACAGGACAGTCATTACCTTTCTATTGATACTTTGTTTTTTAATTTCACATGGATGGAGCTTCATGGTTGTCTTTTGGAGAAATGACCAGTCAAGTTGTGTTTGAAATTTGATTTTTTTCAGGGGCAAAAGGAGCCTCTGCATTCTTGTCAAATATGTAAATAGCATGTTTTTGCAGGTGCTACAAACCAGACTCTGAGTGTGTGTGTGTGCGTGTGTGTGTGTGTCTGTGTGTGTGTGTGTGTGTGCGTTCAAGTCACATGACATATTTAACCGGATGTAGCTGCAAGACGGAGCCTCGTTGACTCTCCGTTTCAATTTATCTCAAAAGTGAGGACCTCAACCTATATACCAGTTTTTAAATTGTGTTGATAGGCCAAATAAAACCAGAGTTATGATAAATTATGTCCGCGATACTTGTTTTCTGCTTATTTTGATCACGTTCGGCGCTCGATCGCGCTGTATGAGACAGGAAAACATAGCATGCAGACATTAGCGACAGGTCTTACAGGCGGAAAAGGCTTGCCAAAAGAAAAAAAATACACACCACAACATCTCTCCTATTGGTGGAAAACTTCACCACAACAACCAATCCAAAATTATATGGTGACTGATTGACAAGGGGCGGGAACTTACGTTCTTCCTGCAATATGAGAAGGGAGGGAGGGACTCTCAGCAGGGATGCAGTCTGGGACACGTAGTTGCAAACCTAGCGACTTTGTTGTTAGATTCAATGACTTTTCAGACCCCCTAACGACTTTTTTTTAGAAAGAAAGTGATTTTATCGACTTCTTCTGGAGTTTAGAGACTCTGACATGAAGCAGGCTTTCCTTACTGAGGAGTTAGCAACGCTGCTAAGGGTGCAGAGCCACACATGCGCTCCGAGCTCTGCATGGGAGACTGAAGCTGACAGAGCTGCAGCAGTTAGCAGGTTTCACCCTCAGAGACCACCAGGGGTTCATGTTGAGGCATTTTCAGTTTTTTTTTTTTTTTTTTTGCCATAGACACTGTCAGCACAATCTGCAGTTACACTAACAAAAATGCTGCAAAAAACAAAGAATTATGGAAAAATTACACATGGACTAACATAGAGGAGGATCTACACAAGTTTTTTACATCATGTTTTACATCATGCATCATTTACATCATGTTTTTTTGTAGTGGCATAAATAAAAAGTGACATTTGTGAGACTATACAGTGTTTTGTAAATAATTTTACAAAGAACACCTGGGCCATTGCCTGCATTTTGATGTCAATAGAGGTAAATTACTATGTTCTTTGTTAAAAATTTGCATATGTTTTGAAGTTTACAATTTTTATTTGAAGTTTAAGTTTTAAAAACAGTTCATCACACATATTTGTGGTTTTCACAGTAAAAACGTTACTTTTTTCCACTCGGATTTTATGTTTTGTGTGTGAATTTGGGTCCAATGTGTAAATATAGTATGTCAAAATGATAAAATAACTGTAAATTGACACAGGTGAGGTTGTGCTGAAAAAAATGATACCAGGCAAGGCAAGGTAAAAATTTTGTAAGAGGAAATATAAAGGTAAAATCTAAAGTAGTCAAAAACGGCCAATAGTGACTCACAGACTCCACAGACAAGCCCCTTTGGCGCCACTCAGTGGGCAAAACTACTTTGTCTACTGTAATGTATATTTGGGTCATCTTTGGCGCCCCCTAAAACGTAAACCGTGGGGTGCAGCGTCATGATTTTTACAACTTTGAATGGCCATGGAGTGTAGATTGGCCTGAGCAAATTTGGTGTCAGTGGGACGAAAGCCTTAGGAGGAGTTAGCGAAATTCCAATGTGTGCGAATCGGCAAAAAATGCAAAATAGCCCTTTTACCGTACATTATACAGATATGCGCTCTTTGACTTTTTCGTAGATCTAATTGAGATACACATGATTGTCAATTTTTGTGTCATTTTGCCAAAGCGTACAGGCGTGACAGTCAACAATGTGTATTTTCACCTTAGGGGACAAGAAAAAATGGACTTTTTTCTCCTGCCATGGGGGGCGCTCTTTTAGGGAGTAAAAATTCCTTCACAAATGTGTTGATGGCTGGACATTGCATCATCCTAGAAAACTTGGAGGCCAGTGAGGACAAAAATAAAAAGTTATAAGACTTTTAAAAATGTGGATTTTTGGGTTATCTTCGGCGCCCCCTAGAACGTAAACCGTGGGGTGCAGCGTCATGATTTGAATAACTTTTAATGGCCATGGGGTGTAGATTGGCCTGAGCAAATGTGGTGCCGGTGGAACGAGAAAGCCTTCGGAGGAGTTAGCGAAATTCCAATGTGTGCGGATCGGCAAAAAATGCGAAATAACCCTTTAACCGTACATTGAAGGATACGCGCGATTGGACTTTTTCGTAGATCTTATTGAGATACATGTGTGTGTCAATTTTTGTGTCATTTTGACAAAGCGTACAGGCGTGACAGTCAATAGTGTGAATTTTCACCTTAGGAGACAAGAAAAAATGGACTTTTTTCTCCTGCCATGGGGGGCGCTCTTTTGGGGAGTAAAAATTCCTTCACAAATGTGTTGATGGCTGGACATTGCATCATCCTAGAAAACTTGGAGGCCAGTGAGGGCAAAAATAAAAAGTTATAAGACTTTTAAATATGTGGATTTCAGGGTTATCTTTGGCGCCCCCTAGAACCTAAACCGTGGGGTGCAGCGTCATGATTTGAATAACTTTTAATGGCCATGGGGTGTAGATTGGCCTGAGCAAATGTGGTGCCGGTGGAACGAAAGCCTTCGGAGGAGTTAGCGAAATTCCAATGTGTGCAGATCGGCAAAAAATGCGAAATAACCCTTTAACCGTACATTTGACAGATACGCCCGCACTGACTTTTTTGTAGATCTTATGAGATACATGTGTGTGTCAATTTTTGTGTCATTTTGACAAAACGTACAGGCGTGACAGTCAATAGTGTGAATTTTCACCTTAGGGGGCGCTATGGAGCCATTTTGCATTTTCTTGTTTGGGCGACTTCGGAATATCAAATTTTTCACCAGGCCCGGTCGTCCTGCCAAATTTCATGAGTTTTCGCCAGTGGGAAGTGGGCCATTTTCCAGTTCAAAGGGGAGGAAAAATAATAATAACTAGGACCCCGTTGGGGCACTGGCGGGCCCGAGCCGTGTCGCGTCCCCCCCCCCAACGTGCTGCCTCCCCGTCCCATTTGTGTCCTCTGGCCATCGCCCTCTCTGGTAACGCCCATCACTGCAAAGACCCTTTTCCTTCATCTGCGTTTGCTGTTCTTCCTGCCAGTGCGTGTTGCTTTCACTTACACTTGCCACAGCCAGCCTCGTGAGTGCCTAGCCTATTGGATATCACTGTCACCTACACAGGACAGTCATTACCTTTCTATTAATACTTTGTGTTTTAATTTCACATTAATTTCCATATTGTATAAACGACTGGAAAAAACTTGAGCCCCTGCCCCTGTATAATCATGTGCATGTCTCTGTTCTAGCTCCAAGGTGAATCTTCACTGCTCATGTTCTCCTCAGAAGCACTCACCTCACTCCCCTCAGGTTACTGTACACATGCACCAACTGCCTGCTTCAGGTTTGGATGGAGCTTCATGGTTGTCTTTTGGAGAAATTACCAGTCAAGTTGTGTTTGAAATTTGATTTTTTTCAGGGGCAAAAGGAGCCTCTGCATTCTTGTCAAATATGTAAATAGCATGTTTTTGCAGGTGCTAAAAACCAGACTCTGAGTGTGTGTGTGTGTGTGTGTGTGTGTGTGTGTGTGTGTGTGTGTGTGTGTGTGTGTGTGTGTGTCTGTGTGTGCGTTCAAGTCACATGACATATTTAACCGGATGTAGCTGCAAGACGGAGCCTCGTTGACTCTCCGTTTCAACTTATCTCAAAAGTGAGGACCTCAAGCTATATACCAGTTTTTAAATTGTGTTGATAGGCCAAATAAAACCAGAGTTATGATAAATTATGTCCGCAATACTTTTTTTCTGCTTATTTTGATCACGTTCGGCGCTCGATCGCGCTGTATGAGACAGGAAAACATAGCATGCAGACATTAGCGACAGCTCTTACAGGCGGAAAAGGCTTGCCAAAAGAAAAAAAAAACACACCACAACATCTCTCCTATTGGTGGAAAACTTCACCACAACAACCAACCCAAAATTATATGGTGACTGATTGACAAGGGGCGGGCGCTTACATTCTTCCTGCAACATGAGAAGGGAGGGAGGGACTCTCAGCAGGGATGCAGTCTGGGACACGTAGTTGCAAACCTAGCGACTTTGTTGTTAGATTCAATGACTTTTCAGACCCCCTAACGACTTTTTTTTTAGAAAGAAAGGGACTTTTATCGACTTCTTCTGGAGTTTAGAGACTCTGACATGAAGCAGGCTTTCCTTACTGAGGAGTTAGCAACGCTGCTAAGGGTGCAGAGCCACACATGCGCTCCGAGCTCTGCATGGGAGACTGAAGCTGACAGAGCTGCAGCAGTTAGCAGGTTTCACCCTCAGAGACCACCAGGGGTTCATGTTGAGGCATTTTAATTATTTTTTTTTTTTTTGTGCCATAGACACTGTCAGCACAATCTGCAGTTACACTAACAAAAATGCTGCAAAAAACAAAGAATTATGGAAAAATTACACATGGACTGACATAGAGGAGGATCTACACAAGTTTTTTACATCATGTTTTACATCATGCATCATTTACATCATGTTTTTTTGTAGTGGCATAAATAAAAAGTGACATTTGTGAGACTATACAGTGTTTTGTAAATAATTTTACAAAGAACGCCTGGGCCATTGCCTGCATTTTGATGTAAATAGAGGTAAATTACTATGTTCTTTGTTAAAAATTTGCATATGTTTTGAAGTTTACAATTTTTATTTGAAGTTTAAGTTTTAAAAACAGTTCATCACACATATTTGTGGTTTTCACAGTAAAAATGTTACTTTTTTCCACTCGGATTTTATGTTTTGTGTGTGAATTTGGGTCCATTGTGTAAATTCAGTATGTCAACATGATAAAATAACTGTAAATTCGCACAGGTGAGGTTGTGCTGAAAAAAATGATACCAGGCAAGGCACGTGATTGTCAAATGTTGTGTCAATATGACAAAGCGTATAGGCGTGAATCTCAACAATATGTATTTTCACCTTAAGGGACAAGAAAAAATGGACTTTTTTCTCCTGCCATGGGGGGGCGCTCTTTTGGGGAGTAAAAATTCCTTCACAAATGTGTTGATGGCTGGACATTGCATCATCCTAGAAAACTTGGAGGCCAGTGAGGACAAAAATAAAAAGTTATAAGACTTTTAAATATGTGGATTTTAGGGTTATCTTTGGCGCCCCCTAGAACCTAAACCGTGGGGTGCAGCGTCATGATTTTGATAACTTTTAATGGCCATGGGGTGTAGATTGGCCTGAGCAAATGTGGTGCCGGTGGAACGAAAGCCTTAGGAGGAGTTAGCGAAATTCCAATGTGTGCGGATCGGCAAAAAATGCGGAATAACCCTTTAACCGTACATTTGACAGATATGCGCGCATTGACTTTTTCGTAGATCTTATTGAGTTACATGTGTGTGTCAATTTTTGTGTCATTTTGACAAAGCGTATAGGCGTGACACTCAACAATGTGTATTTTCACCTTAGGGGACAAGAAAAAATGGACTTTTTTCTCCTGCCATGGGGGGGCGCTCTTTTGGGGAGTAAAAATTCCTTCACAAATGTGTTGATGGCTGGACATTGCATCATCCTAGAAAACTTGGAGGCCAGTGAGGACAAAAATAAAAAGTTATAAGACTTTTAAATATGTGGATTTTAGGGTTATCTTTGGCGCCCCCTAGAACCTAAACCGTGGGGTGCAGCGTCATGATTTTGATAACTTTTAATGGCCATGGGGTGTAGATTGGCCTGAGCAAATGTGGTGCCGGTGGAACGAAAGCCTTAGAGGAGTTAGCGAAATTCCAATGTGTGCGGATCGGCAAAAAATGCGGAATAACCCTTTAACCGTACATTTGACAGATACGCCCGCACTGACTTTTTTGTAGATCTTATTGAGATACATGTGTGTGTCAATTTTTGTGTCATTTTGACAAAGCGTACAGGCGTGACAGTCAATAGTGTGAATTTTCACCTTAGGGGGCGCTATGGAGCCATTTTGCATTTTCTTGTTTGGGCGACTTTGGAATATCAAATTTTTCACCAGGCCCGGTCGTCCTGCCAAATTTCCTGAGTTTTCGCCAGTGGGAAGTGGGCCATTTTCCAGTTCAAAGGGGAGGAAAAAGAAGAAAGAAAGAAACAAAGACTAGGACCCCGTTGGGGCACTGGCGGGCCCGAGCCGTGTCGCGTCCCCCCCCCAACGTGCTGCCTCCCCGTCCCATTTGTGTCCTCTGGCCATCGCCCTCTCTGGTAACGCCCATCACTGCAAAGACCCTTTTCCTTCATCGGCGTTTGCTGTTCTTCCTGCCAGTGCGTGTTGCTTTCACTTACACTTGCCACAGCCAGCCTCGTGAGTGCCTAGCCTATTGGATATCACTGTCACCTACACAGGACAGTCATTACCTTTCTATTAATACTTTGTGTTTTAATTTCACATTAATTTCCATATTGTATAAACGACTGGAAAAAACTTGAGCCCCTGCCCCTGTATAATCATGTGCATGTCTCTGTTCTAGCTCCAAGGTGAATCTTCACTGCTCATGTTCTCCTCAGAAGCACTCACCTCACTCCCCTCAGGTTACTGTACACATGCACCTACTGCCTGCTTCAGGTTTGGATGGAGCTTCATGGTTGTCTTTTGGAGAAATGACCAGTCAAGTTGTGTTTGAAATTTGATTTTTTTCAGGGGCAAAAGGAGCCTCTGCATTCTTGTCAAATATGTAAATAGCATGTTTTTGCAGGTGCTAAAAACCAGACTCTGAGTGTGTGTGTGTGTGTGTGTGTGTGTGTGTGTGCGTGTGTGTGTGTCTGTGTGTGCGTTCAAGTCACATGACATATTTAATCGGATGTAGCTGCAAGACGGAGCCTCGTTGACTCTCCGTTTCAACTTATCTCAAAAGTGAGGACCTCAACCTATATACCAGTTTTTAAATTGTGTTGATAGGCCAAATAAAACCAGAGTTATGATAAATTATGTCCGCGATACTTTTTTTCTGCTTATTTTGATCACGTTCGGCGCTCGAGCGCTGTATGAGACAGGAAAACATAGCATGCAGACATTAGCGACAGGTCTTACAGGCGGAAAAGGCTTGCCAAAAGAAAAAAAAAACACACCACAACATCTCTCCTATTGGTGGAAAACTTCACCACAACAACCAATCCAAAATTATATGGTGACTGATTGACAAGGGGCGGGCGCTTACGTTCTTCCTGCAACATGAGAAGCGAGGGAGGGACTCTCAGCAGGGATGCAGTCTGGGACACGTAGTTGCAAACCTAGCGACTTTGTTGTTAGATTCAATGACTTTTCAGACCCCCTAACGACTTTTTTTTAGAAAGAAAGGGACTTTTATCGACTTCTTCTGGAGTTTAGAGACTCTGACATGAAGCAGGCTTTCCTTACTGAGGAGTTAGCAACGCTGCTAAGGGTGCAGAGCCACACATGCGCTCAGAGCTCTGCATGGGAGACTGAAGCTGACAGAGCTGCAGCAGTTAGCAGGTTTCACCCTCAGAGACCACCAGGGGTTCATGTTGAGGCATTTTAATTTTTTTTTTTTTTTTGTGCCATAGACACTGTCAGCACAATCTGCAGTTACACTAACAAAAATGCTGCAAAAAACAAAGAATTATGGAAGAATTACACATGGACTGACATAGAGGAGGATCTACACAAGTTTTTTACATCATGTTTTACATCATGCATCATTTACATCATGTTTTTTTGTAGTGGCATAAATAAAAAGTGACATTTGTGAGACTATAGTGTTTTGTAAATAATTTTACAAAGAACGCCTGGGCCATTGCCTGCATTTTGATGTAAACAGAGGTAAATCACTATGTTCTTTGTTAAAAATTTGCATATGTTTTGAAGTTTACAATTTTTATTTGAAGTTTAAGTTTTAAAAACAGTTCATCACACATATTAATGGTTTAATTTCACATTAATTTCCATATTGTATAAATGACTGGAAAAAACTTGAGCCCCTGCCCCTGTATAATCATGTGCACGTCCCTGTTCTAGCTCCAAGGTGAATCTTCACTGCTCATGTTCTCCTCAGAAATAGTCACCTCACTCCCCTCAGGTTACTGTACACATGCACCAACTATCTGCTTCAGGTTTGAAATGGAGCTTCATGGTTGTCTTTTGGAGAAATGAACAGTCAAGTTGTGTTTGAAATTTGATTTTTTTCAGGGGCAAAAGGAAGCCTCTGCATTCTTGTCAAATATGTAAACAGCATGTTTTTGCAGGTGCTAAAAAACAGACTCTGAGTGTGTGTGTGTGTCTCTGTGTGTGTGTGTGTGTGTGTGTGTGTGTATGTTGGCGTGTGTGTATATGTGTGTGTATCCTGCAGTACTCTGTACTCCTGCAGTGGCCAAAAAGACTTTTAAGAATGTGGATTTTTGGGTCATCTTTGGCGCCCCCTAGAACTGCAGTACTCTGTACTCCTGCAGTGGCCAAAATGACTTTTAAGAATGTGGATTTTTGGGTCATCTTTGGCGCCCCCTAGAACGTAAACCGTGGGGTGCAGCGTCATGATTTTTACAACTTTGAATGGGCATGGGGTGTAGATTGCCCTGAGCAAATTTGGTATCGGTGGGACGAAAGCCTTAGGAGGAGATAGCCACATTCCAATGTGTGCGAATCGGCAAAAAATGCAAAATAACCCTTTAACCGTACATTATAAAGATACGCGCTCTTGACTTTTTCGTAGATCTAATTGAGATACACATGATTGTCAATTTTTGTGTCAATATGACAAAGCGTTCAGGCGTGACACTCAACAATGTGTATTTTCATGTAAGGGGACAAGAAAAAATTGACTTTTTTCTCCTACCATGGGGGGGCGCTCTTTTGGGGAGTAAAAATTCCTTCACAAATGTGTTGATGGCTGGACATTGCATCATCCTAGAAAACTTGGAGGCCAGTGAGGACAAAAATAAAAAGTTATAAAACATTTAAGAATGTGGATTTTTGGGTTATTTTTGGCGCCCCCTAGAACCTAAACCATGGGGTGCAGCATCATGATTTGAATAACTTTTAATGGCCATGGGGTGTAGATTGGCCTGAGCAAATGTGGTGCCGGTGGAACGAAAGCCTTCGGAGGAGTTAGCGAAATTCCAATGTGTGCGTATCGGCAAAAAATGCGGAATAACCCTTTAACTGTACATTTGACAGATACGCGCGCATGGACTTTTTTGTAGATCTTATTGAGTTACATGTGTGTGTCAATTTTTGTGTCATTTTGACAAAGCGTATAGGCGTGACACTCAACAATGTGTATTTTCACCTTAGGGGACAAGAAAAAATGGACTTTTTTCTCCTGCCATGGGGGGGCGCTCTTTTGGGGAGTAAAAATTCCTTCACAGATGTGTTGATGGCTGGACATTGCATCATCCTAGAAAACTTGGAGGCCAGTGAGGACAAAAATAAAAAGTTATAAGACTTTTAAATATGTGGATTTTAGGGTTATTTTTGGCGCCCCCTAGAACCTAAACCGTGGGGTGCAGCGTCATGATTTGAATAACTTTTAATGGCCATGGGGTGTAGATTGGCCTGAGCAAATGTGGTGCCGGTGGAACGAAAGCCTTCGGAGGAGTTAGCGAAATTCCAATGTGTGCAGATCTGCAAAAAATGCAAAATAACCCATTAACCGTACATTTGACAGATACGCCCGCACTGACTTTTTTGTAGATCTTATTGAGATACATGTGTGTGTCAATTTTTGTGTCATTTTGACAAAGCGTACAGGCGTGACAGTGAATAGTGTGAATTTTCACCTTAGGGGGCGCTATGGAGCCATTTTGCATTTTCTTGTTTGGGCGACTTCGGAATATCAAATTTTTCACCAGGCCCGGTCGTCCTGCCAAATTTCATGAGTTTTCGCCAGTGGGAAGTGGGCCATTTTCCAGTTCAAAGGGGAGGAAAAATAATAATAATAACAAAAGAAGGAAACTACAGGAACAAGAGGGCTCTCGCAGCTGCTTAGCAGCTACGCTCGGGCCCTAAAAAACCCCTACAGGAATAACAGGGCCTACGCCCGGCTGCTCTGCAGCTGGCTCGGGCCCTAACAAAAGAAGGAAACTACAGGAACAAGAGGGCTCTCGCAGCTGCTTAGCAGCTACGCTCGGGCCCTAAAGAAAGAAACAAAGAAAAACCACTTGGGGAATAATAGGGCCTACGCCCGGCTGCTCTGCAGCTGGCTCGGGCCCTAATTAAAACACAAAGTATTAATAGAAAGGTAATGACTGTCCTGTGTAGGTGACAGTGATATCCAATAGGCTAGGCACTCACGAGGCTGGCTGTGGCAAGTGTAAGTGAAAGCAACACGCACTGGCAGGAAGAACAGCAAACGCCGATGAAGGAAAAGGGTCTTTGCAGTGATGGGCGTTACCAGAGAGGGCGATGGCCAGAGGACACAAATGGGACGGGGAGGCAGCACGTTGGGGGGGGACGCGACACGGCTCGGGCCCGCCAGTGCCCCAACGGGGTCCTAGTTAGGGCCCGAGCGTAGCTGCTAAGCAGCTGCGAGAGCCCTATTATTCCCCAAGTGGTTTTTCTTTGTTTCTTTCTTTCTTTTTTCTTTTTCCTCCCCTTTGAACTTGAAAATGGCCCACTTCCCACTGGCGAAAACTCATGAAATTTGGCAGGATGACCGGGCCTGGTGAAAAATTTGATATTCCGAAGTCGCCCAAACAAGAAAATGCAAAATGGCTCCATAGCGCCCCCTAAGGTGAAAATTCACACTATTGACTGTCACGCCTGTACGCTTTGGCAAAATGACACAAAAATTGACACACACATGTATCTCAATAAGATCTACAAAAAAGTCAGTGCGGTCGTATCTGTCAAATGTACGGTTAAAGGGTTATTGCGCATTTTTTGCCGATCCGCACACATTGGAATTTCGCTAACTCCTCCGAAGGCTTTCGTTCCACCGGCACCACATTTGCTCAGGTCAATCTACACCCCGTGGCCATTAAAAGTTATCAAAATCATGACGCTGCACCCCAAGGTTTAGGTTCTAGGGGGCGCCAAAGATAACACTAAAATCCACATATTTAAAAGTCTTATAACTTTTTATTTTTGTCCTCACTGGCCTCCAAGTTTTCTAGGATGATGCAATGTCCAGCCATCAACAGATTTGTGAAGGAATTTTTACTCCCCAAAAGAGCGCCCCCCCATGGCAGGAGAAAAAAGTCCATTTTTTCTTGTCCCTTAAGGTGAAAATACACATTGTTGAGTGTCACGCCTATACGCTTTGTCAAAATGACACAAAAATTGACACACACATGTAACTCAATAAGATCTACAAAAAAGTCAATGCGCGCGTATCTGTCAAATGTACGGTTAAAGGGTTATTCCGCATTTTTTGCCGATTCGCACACATTGGAATTTCGCTAACTCCTCCGAAGGCTTTCGTTCCACCGGCACCACATTTGCTCAGGCCAATCTACACCCCATGGCCATTAAAAGTTATCAAAATCATGACGCTGCACCCCACGGTTTACGTTCTAGGGGGCGCCAAAGATAACCCTAAAATCCACATATTTAAAAGTCTTATAACTTTTTATTTTTGTCCTCACTGGCCTCCAAGTTTTCTAGGATGATGCAATGTCCAGCCATCAACACATTTGTGAAGGAATTTTTACTCCCCAAAAGAGCGCCCCCCCATGGCAGGAGAAAAAAGTCCATTTTTTCTTGTCCCTTAAGGTGAAAATACATATTGTTGAGATTCACGCCTATACGCTTTGTCATATTGACACAAAATTTGACAATCACGTGCCTTGCCTGGTATCATTTTTTTCAGCACAACCTCACCTGTGCGAATTTACAGTTATTTTATCATGTTGACATACTGAATTTACACAATGGACCCAAATTCACACACAAAACATAAAATCCGAGTGGAAAAAAGTAACATTTTTACTGTGAAAACCACAAATATGTGTGATGAACTGTTTTTAAAACTTAAACTTCAAATAAAAATTGTAAACTTCAAAACATATGCAAATTTTTAACAAAGAACATAGTGATTTACCTCTATTTACATCAAAATGCAGGCAATGGCCCAGGCGTTCTTTGTAAAATTATTTACAAAACACTGTATAGTCTCACAAATGTCACTTTTTATTTATGCCACTACAAAAAAACATGATGTAAATGATGCATGATGTAAAACATGATGTAAAAAACTTGTGTAGATCCTCCTCTATGTCAGTCCATGTGTAATTTTTCCATAATTCTTTGTTTTTTGCAGCATTTTTGTTAGTGTAACTGCAGATTGTGCTGACAGTGTCTATGGCACAAAAAAAAAAAAAATTAAAATGCCTCAACATGAACCCCTGGTGATCTCTGAGGGTGAAACCTGCTAACTGCTGCAGCTCTGTCAGCTTCAGTCTCCCATGCAGAGCTCGGAGCGCATGTGTGGCTCTGCACCCTTAGCAGCGTTGCTAACTCCTCAGTAAGGAAAGCCTGCTTCATGTCAGAGTCTCTAAACTCCAGAAGAAGTCGATAAAAGTCACTTTCTTTCTAAAAAAAAGTCGTTAGGGGGTCTGAAAAGTCATTGAATCTAACAACAAAGTCGCTAGGTTTGCAACTACGTGTCCCAGACTGCATCCCTGCTGAGAGTCCCTCCCTCCCTTCTCATATTGCAGGAAGAACGTAAGTTCCCGCCCCTTGTCAATCAGTCACCATATAATTTTGGATTGGTTGTTGTGGTGAAGTTTTCCACCAATAGGAGAGATGTTGTGGTGTGTATTTTTTTTCCTTTGGCAAGCCTTTTCCGCCTGTAAGACCTGTCGCTAATGTCTGCATGCTATGTTTTCCTGTCTCATACAGCGCGATCGAGCGCCGAACGTGATCAAAATAAGCAGAAAACAAGTATCGCGGACATAATTTATCATAACTCTGGTTTTATTTGGCCTATCAACACAATTTAAAAACTGGTATATAGGTTGAGGTCCTCACTTTTGAGATAAATTGAAACGGAGAGTCAACGAGGCTCCGTCTTGCATCTACATCCGGTTAAATATGTCATGTGACTTGAACGCACACACACACACACACACAGACACACACACACGCACACACACACACTCAGAGTCTGGTTTGTAGCACCTGCAAAAACATGCTATTTACATATTTGACAAGAATGCAGAGGCTCCTTTTGCCCCTGAAAAAAATCAAATTTCAAACACAACTTGACTGGTCATTTCTCCAAAAGACAACCATGAAGCTCCATCCAAACCTGAAGCAGGCAGTTGGTGCATGTGTACAGTAACCTGAGGGGAGTGAGGTGACTGCTTCTGAGGAGAACATGAGCAGTGAAGATTCACCTTAGAGCTAGAACAGAGACGTGCACATGATTATACAGGGGCAGGGGCTCAAGTTTTTTCCAGTTGTTTATACAATATGGAAATTAATGTGAAATTAAAAAACAAAGTATTAATAGAAAGGTAATGACTGTCCTGAGTAGGTGACAGTGATATCCAATAGGCTAGGCACTCAAGAGGCTGGCTGTGGCAAGTGTAAGTGAAAGCAACACGCACTGGCAGGAAGAACAGCAAACGCCGATGAAGGAAAAGGGTCTTTGCAGTGATGGGCGTTACCAGAGAGGGCGATGGCCAGAGGACACAAATGGGACGGGGAGGCAGCGCGTTGGGGGGGGGGACGCGACACAGCTCGGGCCCGCCAGTGCCCCAACGGGGTCCTAGTTAGGGCCCGAGCCAGCTGCAGAGCAGCCGGGCGTAGGCCCTATTATTCCCCAAGTGGTTTTTCTTTGTTTCTTTCTTTCTTTCTTTCTTTCTTCTTTTTCCTCCCCTTTGAACTGGAAAATGGCCCACTTCCCACTGGCGAAAACTCATGAAATTTGGCAGGACGACCGGGCCTGGTGAAAAATTCGATATTCTGAAGTCGCCCAAACAATAAAATGCAAAATGGCTCCATAGCGCCCCCTAAGGTGGAAATTCACACTATTGACTGTCACGCCTGTACGCTTTGTCATATTGACACAAAAATTGACACACATATGTATCTCAATAAGATCTACAAAAAAGTCAGTGCGGCCGTATCTGTCAAAATTACGGTTAAAGGGTTATTTCGCATTTTTTGCCGATCCGCACACATTGGAATTTCGCTAACTCCTCCGAAGGCTTTCGTTCCACCGGCACCACATTTGCTCAGGCCAATCTACACCCCGTGGCCATTAAAAGTTATCAAAATCATGACGCTGCACCCCAAGGTTTAGGTTCTAGGGGGCGCCAAAGATAACACTAAAATCCACATATTTAAAAGTCTTATAACTTTTTATTTTTGTCCTCACTGGCCTCCAAGTTTTCTAGGATGATGCAATGTCCAGCCATCAACACATTTGTGAAGGAATTTTTACTCCCCAAAAGAGCGCCCCCCCATGGCAGGAGAAAAAAGTCCATTTTTTCTTGTCCCCTAAGGTGAAAATACACATTGTTGAGTGTCACGCCTATACGCTTTGTCAAAATGACACAAAAATTGACACACACATGTAACTCAATAAGATCTACGAAAAAGTCAATGCGTGCGTATCTGTCAAATGTACGGTTAAAGGGTTATTTCGCATTTTTTGCCGATCCGCACACATTGGAATTTCGCTAACTCCTCCGAAGGCTTTCGTTCCACCGGCACCACATTTGCTCAGGCCAATCTACACCCCGTGGCCATTAAAAGTTATCAAAATCATGACGCTGCACCCCAAGGTTTAGGTTCTAGGGGGCGCCAAAGATAACCCTAAAATCCACATATTTAAAAGTCTTATAACTTTTTATTTTTGTCCTCACTGGCCTCCAAGTTTTCTAGGATGATGCAATGTCCAGCCATCAACACATTTGTGAAGGAATTTTTACTCCCCAAAAGAGCGCCCCCCCATGGCAGGAGAAAAAGTCCATTTTTTCTTGTCCCCTAAGGTGAAAATTCACATTGTTGAGTGTCACGCCTATACGCTTTGTCAAAATGACACAAAAATTGACACACACATGTAACTCAATAAGATCTACGAAAAAGTCAATGCGCGCGTATCTGTCAAATGTATGGTTAAAGGGTTATTTCGCATTTTTTGCCGATCCGCACACATTGGAATGTGGCTAACTCCTCCTAAGGCTTTCGTTCCACCGGCACCACATTTGCTCAGGCCAATCTACACCCCATGGCCATTAAAAGTTATTCAAATCATGACGCTGCACCCCACGGTTTAGGTTCTAGGGGGCGCCAAAGATAACCCTAAAATCCACATATTTAAAAGTCTTATAACTTTTTATTTTTGTCCTCACTGGCCTCCAAGTTTTCTAGGATGATGCAATGTCCAGCCATCAACACATTTGTGAAGGAATTTTTACTCCCCAAAAGAGCGCCCCCCGATGGCAGGAGAAAAAAGTCCATTTTTTCTTGTCCCCTAAGGTGAAAATACATATTGTTGAGATTCACGCCTATACGCTTTGTCATATTGACACAAAATTTGACAATCACGTGCCTTGCCTGGTATCATTTTTTTCAGCACAACCTCACCTGTGCGAATTTACAGTTATTTTATCATGTTGACATACTGAATTTACACAATGGACCCAAATTCACACACAAAACATAAAATCCGAGTGGAAAAAAGTAACATTTTTACTGTGAAAACCACAAATATGTGTGATGAACTGTTTTTAAAACTTAAACTTCAAATAAAAATTGTAAACTTCAAAACATATGCAAATTTTTAACAAAGAACATAGTGATTTACCTCTATTTACATCAAAATGCAGGCAATGGCCCAGGCGTTCTTTGTAAAATTATTTACAAAACACTGTATAGTCTCACAAATGTCACTTTTTATTTATGCCACTACAAAAAAACATGATGTAAATGATGCATGATGTAAAACATGATGTAAAAAACTTGTGTAGATCCTCCTCTATGTCAGTCCATGTGTAATTTTTCCATAATTCTTTGTTTTTTGCAGCATTTTTGTTAGTGTAACTGCAGATTGTGCTGACAGTGTCTATGGCACAAAAAAAAAAAAAAATTAAAATGCCTCAACATGAACCCCTGGTGGTCTCTGAGGGTGAAACCTGCTAACTGCTGCAGCTCTGTCAGCTTCAGTCTCCCATGCAGAGCTCTGAGCGCATGTGTGGCTCTGCACCCTTAGCAGCGTTGCTAACTCCTCAGTAAGGAAAGCCTGCTTCATGTCAGAGTCTCTAAACTCCAGAAGAAGTCGATAAAAGTCCCTTTCTTTCTAAAAAAAAGTCGTTAGGGGGTCTGAAAAGTAATTGAATCTAACAACAAAGTCGCTAGGTTTGCAACTACGTGTCCCAGACTGCATCCCTGCTGAGAGTCCCTCCCTCGCTTCTCATGTTGCAGGAAGAACGTAAGCACCCGCCCCTTGTCAATCAGTCACCATATAATTTTGGATTGGTTGTTGTGGTGAAGTTTTCCACCAATAGGAGAGATGTTGTGGTGTGTTTTTTTTTTCTTTTGGCAAGCCTTTTCCGCCTGTAAGACCTGTCGCTAATGTCTGCATGCTATGTTTTCCTGTCTCATACAGCGCGATCGAGCGCCGAACGTGATCAAAATAAGCAGAAAAAAAGTATCGCGGACATAATTTATCATAACTCTGGTTTTATTTGGCCTATCAACACAATTTAAAAACTGGTATATAGGTTGAGGTCCTCACTTTTGAGATAAGTTGAAACGGAGAGTCAACGAGGCTCCGTCTTGCAGCTACATCCGGTTAAATATGTCATGTGACTTGAACGCACACACAGACACACACACACGCACACACACACACACACACACACACACTCAGAGTCTGGTTTTTAGCACCTGCAAAAACATGCTATTTACATATTTGACAAGAATGCAGAGGCTCCTTTTGCCCCTGAAAAAAATCTAATTTCAAACACAACTTGACTGCTCATTTCTCCAAAAGACAACCATGAAGCTCCATCCAAACCTGAAGCAGGCAGTTGGTGCATGTGTACAGTAACCTGAGGGGAGTGAGGTGAGTGCTTCTGAGGAGAACATGAGCAGTGAAGATTCACCTTGGAGCTAGAACAGAGACATGCACATGATTATACAGGGGCAGGGGCTCAAGTTTTTTCCAGTCGTTTATATCATATGGAAATTAATGTGAAATTAAAACACAAAGTATTAATAGAAAGGTAATGACTGTCCTGTGTAGGTGACAGTGATATCCAATAGGCTAGGCACTCACGAGGCTGGCTGTGGCAAGTGTAAGTGAAAGCAACACGCACTGGCAGGAAGAACAGCAAACGCCGATGAAGGAAAAGGGTCTTTGCAGTGATGGGCGTTACCAGAGAGGGCGATGGCCAGAGGACACAAATGGGACGGGGAGGCAGCACGTTGGGGGGGGGGGACGGGACACGGCTCGGGCCCGCCAGTGCCCCAACGGGGTCCTAGTTCTTCTTTTTCCTCCCCTTTGAACTGGAAAATGGCCCACTTCCCACTGGCGAAAACTCATGAAATTTGGCAGGATGACCGGGCCTGGTGAAAAATTTGATATTCCGAAGTCGCCCAAACAAGAAAATGCAAAATGGCTCCATAGCGCCCCCTAAGGTGAAAATTCACACTATTGACTGTCACGCCTTTACGCTTTGTCATATTGACACAAAAATTGACACACACATGTATCTCAATAAGATCTACAAAAAGGTCAGTGCGGGCGTATCTGTCAAATGTACGGTTATAGGGTTATTCCGCATTTTTTGCCGATACGCACACATTGGAATTTCGCTAACTCCTCCGAAGGCTTTCGTTCCACCGGCACCACATTTGCTCAGGCCAATCTACACCCCATGGCCATTAAAAGTTATTAAAATCATGACGCTGCACCCCACAGTTTAGGTTCTAGGGGGCGCCAAAGATAACCCTAAAATCCACATATTTAAAAGTCTTATAACTTTTTATTTTTGCCCTCACTGGCCTCCAAGTTTTCTAGGATGATGCAATGTCCAGCCATCAACACATTTGTGAAGGAATTTTTACTCCCCAAAAGAGCGCCCCCCCATGGCAGGAGAAAAAAGTCAATTTTTTCTTGTCCCCTAAGGTGAAAATACACATTGTTGAGTGTCACGCCTGTACGCTTTGTCATATTGACACAAAATTTGACACACACATGTATCTCAATAAGATCTACGAAAAAGTCAATGCGCGCGTATCTGTCAAATGTACGGTTAAAGGGTTATTCCGCATTTTTTGCTGATCCGCACACATTGGAATTTCGCTAACTCCTCCTAAGGCTGGCGTTCCACCGGCACCACATTTGCTCAGGCCAATCTACACCCCATGGCCATTAAAAGTTATTCAAATCATGACGCTGCACCCCACGGTTTAGGTTCTAGGGGGCGCCAAAGATAACCCTAAAATCCACATTTTTAAAAGTCTTATAACTTTTTATTTTTGTCCTCACTGGCCTCCAAGTTTTCTAGGATGATGCAATGTCCAGCCATCAACACATTTGTGAAGGAATTTTTACTCCCTAAAAGAGCGCCCCCCCATGGCAGGAGAAAAAAGTCCATTTTTTCTTGTCCCCTAAGGTGAAAATACACATTGTTGACTGTCACGCCTGTACGCTTTGGCAAAATGACACAAAAATTGACAATCATGTGTATCTCAATTAGATCTACGAAAAAGTCAAAGAGCGCGTATCTGTATAATGTACGGTAAAAGGGCTATTTTGCATTTTTTGCCGATTCGCACACATTGGAATTTCGCTAACTCCTCCTAAGGCTTTCGTCCCACTGACACCAAATTTGCTCAGGCCAATCTACACTCCATGGCCATTCAAAGTTGTAAAAATCATGACGCTGCACCCCACGGTTTACGTTTAAGGGGGGGCCAAAGATGACCCAAATATACATTACAGTAGACAAAGTAGTTTTGCCCACTGAGTGGCGCCAAAGGGACTTGTCTGTGGAGTCTGTGAGTCACTATTGGCCGTTTTTGACTACTTTAGATTTTACCTTTATATTTCCTCTTACAAAATTTTTACCTTGCCTTGCCTGGTATCATTTTTTTCAGCACAACCTCACCTGTGTCAATTTACAGTTATTTTATCATTTTGACATACTATATTTAAACATTGGACCCAAATTCACACACAAAACATAAAATCCGAGTGGAAAAAAGTAACGTTTTTACTGTGAAAACCACAAATATGTGTGATGAACTGTTTTTAAAACTTAAACTTCAAATAAAAATTGTAAACTTCAAAACATATGCAAATTTTTAACAAAGAACATAGTAATTTACCTCTATTTACATCAAAATGCAGGCAATGGCCCAGGCGTTCTTTGTAAAATTATTTACAAAACACTGTATAGTCTCACAAATCTCACTTTTTATTTATGCCACTACAAAAAAACATGATGTAAATGATGCATGATGTAAAACATGATGTAAAAAACTTGTGTAGATCCTCCTCTATGTTAGTCCATGTGTAATTTTTCCATAATTCTTTGTTTTTTGCAGCATTTTTGTTAGTGTAACTGCAGATTGTGCTGACAGTGTCTATGGCAAAAAAAAAAAAAAAAAACTGAAAATGCCTCAACATGAACCCCTGGTGGTCTCTGAGGGTGAAACCTGCTAACTGCTGCAGCTCTGTCAGCTTCAGTCTCCCATGCAGAGCTCGGAGCGCATGTGTGGCTCTGCACCCTTAGCAGCGTTGCTAACTCCTCAGTAAGGAAAGCCTGCTTCATGTCAGAGTCTCTAAACTCCAGAACTCCAGAAGAAGTCGATAAAAGTCCCTTTCTTTCTAAAAAAAAGTCATTAGGGGGTCTGAAAAGTCATTGAATCTAACAACAAAGTCGCTAGGTTTGAAACTACGTGTCCCAGACTGCATCCCTGCTGAGAGTCCCTCCCTCCCTTCTCAAGTTGCAGGAAGAACGTAAGCGCCCGCCCCTTGTCAATCAGTCACCATATAATTTTGGATTGGTTGTTGTGGTGAAGTTTTCCACCAATAGGAGAGATGTTGTAGTGTGTTTTTTTTTTCTTTTGGCAAGCCTTTTCCGCCTGTAAGACCTGTCGCTAATGTGTGCATGCTATGTTTTCCTGTCTCATACAGCGCGATCGAGCGCCGAACGTGATCAAAATAAGCAGAAATAAGTATTGCGGACATAATTTATCATAACTCTGGTTTTATTTGGCCTATCAACACAATTTAAAAACTGGTATATAGTTTGAGGTCCTCACTTTTAAGATAAGTTGAAACGAAGAATCAACGAGGCTCCGTCTTGCAGCTACATCCGGTTAAATATGTCATGTGACTTGAACGCTGGGGAGCGTCAATCGAATCGAATCAAACCTAACTCTCAGATGAATCTTCAAAATTCACCTCAGAAATATGCTTATTATTCTTCTCAGAGTACTGCAGGATACACACACACACAGACACACACACACACACGCACACACACTCAGAGTCTGTTTTTTAGCACCTGCAAACACATGCTATTTACATATTTGACAAGAATGCAGAGGCTTTCTTTTGCCTCTGAAAAAAATCAAATTTCAAACACAACTTGACTGCTCATTTCTCCAAAAGACAACCATGAAGCTCCATCCAAACCTGAAGCAGGCAGTTGGTGCATGTGTACAGTAACCTGAGGGGAGTGAGGTGACTGCTTCTGAGGAGAACATGAGCAGTGAAGATTCACCTTGGAGCTAGAACAGGGACGTGCACATGATTATACAGGGGCAGGGGCTCAAGTTTTTTCCAGTCGTTTATACAATATGGAAATTAATGTGAAATTAAAAAACAAAGTATTAATAGAAAGGTAATGACTGTCCTGTGTAGGTGACAGTGATATCCAATAGGCTAGGCACTCACGAGGCTGGCTGTGGCAAGTGTAAGTGAAAGCAACACGCACTGGCAGGAAGAACAGCAAACGCCGATGAAGGAAAAGGGTCTTTGCAGTGATGGGCGTTACCAGAGAGGGCGATGGCCAGAGGACGCGAATGGGACGGGGAGGCAGCGCGTTGGGGGGGGGCGCGACACGGCTCGGGCCCGCCAGTGCCCCAACGGGGCCCTAGTTAGGGCCCGAGCGTAGCTGCTAAGCAGCTGCGAGAGCCCTCTTGTTCCTGATGGATTCTTCTTTTGTTATTTTTCCTCCGCTTTAAACTGGAAAATGGCCCACTTCCCACTGGCGAAAACTCAGGAAATTTGGCAGGACGACCGGGCCTGGTGAAAAATTCGATAATCTGAAGTCGTCCAAACAAAAAAATGAAAAATGGCTCCATAGCGCCCCCTATGGTGAAAACTCACCTGATGCCTGTACGCTTTGTCAAAATGACACAAAATTTGACACACATGTGTATCTCAATAAGATCTACGAAAAAGTCAGTGCGGGCGTATCTGTCAAATGTACGGTTAAAGGGCTATTTCGCTTTTTTTGCAGATCCGCACACATTGGAATTTCGCTAACTCCTCCGAAGGCTTTCGTTCCACCGGCACCAAATTTGCTCAGGCCAATCTACACCCCATGGCCATTAAAAGTTGTACAAATCATGCCGCTGCACCCCACGGTTTACTTTCTAGGGGGCGCCAAAGATAACACAAAAATCCACATTCTTAAAAGTCTTATAACTTTTTATTTTTGTCCTCACTGGCCTCCAAGTTTTCTAGGATGATGCAATGTCCAGCCATCAACACATTTGTGAAGGAATTTTTACTCCCCAAAAGAGCGCCCCCCCATGGCAGGAGAAAAAAGTCCATTTTTTCTTGTCTCCTAAGGTAAAAATACACATTGTTGAGTGTCACGCCTATACACTTTGTCATATTGACACACAATTTGACAATCACGTGTATCTCAATAAGATCTACAAAAAAGTCAATAGGCACGTATCTGTCAAATGTATGGTTAAAGGGCTATTTCGCATTTTTTGCCGATTCGCACACATTGGAATGTGGCTATCTCCTCCTAAGGCTTTCGTCCCACCGATACCAAATTTGCTCAGGGCAATCTACACCCCATGGCCATTCAAAGTTGTAAAAATCATGACGCTGCACCCCACGGTTTACGTTCTAGGGGGCGCCAAAGATGACCCAAAAATCCACATTCTTAAAAGTCATTTTGGCCACTGCAGGAGTACAGAGTACTGCAGTTCTAGGGGGCGCCAAAGATGACCCAAAAATCCACATTCTTAAAAGTCTTTTTGGCCACTGCAGGAGTACAGAGTACTGCCGGACACACACACATATACACACACGCCAACACACACACACACACACACACACACTCAGAGTCTGGTTTTTAGCACCTGCAAAAACATGCTGTTTACATATTTGACAAGAATGCAGAGGCTTCCTTTTGCCCCTGAAAAAAATCAAATTTCAAACACAACTTGACTGTTCATTTCTCCAAAAGACAACCATGAAGCTCCATCCAAACCTGAAGCAGATAGTTGGTGCATGTGTACAGTAACCTGAGGAGAGTGAGGTGACTACTTCTGAGGAGAACATGAGCAGTGAAGATTCACCTTGGAGCTAGAACAGGGACGTGCACATGATTATACAGGGGCAGGGGCTCAAGTTTTTTCCAGTCATTTATACAATATGGAAATTAATGTGAAATTAAACCACAAATATGTGTGATGAACTGTTTTTAACACTTAAACTTCAAATAAAAATTGTAAACTTCAAAACATATGCAAATTTTTAACAAAGAGCATAGTAATTTACCTCTATTTACATCAAAATGCAGGCAATGGCCCAGGCGTTCTTTGTAAAATTATTTACAAAAGACTGTATAGTCTCACAAATGTCACTTTTTATTTATGCCACTACAAAAAAACATGATGTAAATGATGCATGATGTAAAACATGATGTAAAAAACTTGTGTAGATCCTCCTCTATGTCAGTCCATGTGTAATTTTTCCATAATTCTTTGTTTTTTGCAGCATTTTTGTTAGTGTAACTGCAGATTGTGCTGACAGTGTCTATGGCAAAAAAAAAAAAAACTGAAAATGCCTCAACATGAACTCCTGGTGGTCTCTGAGGGTGAAACCTGCTAACTGCTGCAGCTCTCTCAGCTCTAGTCTCCCATGCAGAGCTCGGAGCGCATGTGTGGCTCTGCACCCTTAGCAGCGTTGCTAACTCCTCAGTAAGGAAAGCCTGCTTCATGTCAGAGTCTCTAAACTCCAGAGGAAGTCGATAAAATTCCCTTTCTTTCTAAAAAAAGTCGTTAGGGGGTCTGAAGAGTCATTGAATCTAACAACAAAGTCGCTAGGTTTGCAACTACGTTTCCCAGACTGCATCCCTGCTGAGAGTTCCTCCCTCCCTTCTCATATTGCAGGAAGAACGTAAGCGCCCGCCCCTTGTCAATCAGTCACCATATAATTTTGGATTGGTTGTTGTGGTGAAGTTTTCCACCAATAGGAGAGATGTTGTGGTGTGTTTTTTTTTTCTTTTGGCATGCCTTTTCCGCCTGTAAGAGCTGTCGCTAATGTCTGCATGCTATGTTTTCCTGTCTCATACAGCGTGATCGAGCGCCGAACGTGATCAAAATAAGCAGAAAAAAAGTATCGCGGACATAATTTATCATAACTCTGGTTTTATTTGGCCTATCAACACAATTTAAAAACTGGTATATAGTTTGAGGTCCTCACTTTTGAGATAAGTTGAAACGGAGGGTGAACGAGGCTCCGTCTTGCAGCTACATCCGGTTAAATATGTCATGTGACTTGAACGCTGGGGAGCGTCAATCGACTGCAGAGCCAGCAGACAAAGTAGTTATGCCACTGAGAGGCACACATTTGTCATATGCTATAATCCTAACATATTTTAATGCTTTTTCTATTTAAACCTAATGGATCTAAGGTTTGACCTTCAAAATTTAGGAAGAATATTTTTTTGCAGTAATGACCCCCTTAAACAACCAGAGGTCCTTTCCTAAAGTTTATGGAAATTTTAGTGAAGGCCTTGGTTTCTTTCCTTGCAAAATGTATAGAAATAATAAAGCTAAATACCATAAAATGGTCTTGGCGTATTAGCAGTGATATAAAATAGTGGTTTGAATATGAATGAACAACAAAAAAAAACATCAACAGAGCCTTTTTGAGTTGGGATTCTTTCATTATCACACAAAAACAGACATAGACAGACATCTAAAGGGTAAGGGAATGATCAGCCCTCCTAACTCTCAGATGAATCTTCAAAATTCACCGCAGAAATATGCTTATTATTCTTCTCAGAGTACTGCAAGATATATACACACACACAGACACACACACACACACACACACACACACACACACACACACACACACACACACACACACACACACTCAGAGTCTGTTTTTTAGCACCTGCAAAAACATGCTATTTACATATTTGACAAGAATGCAGAGGCTCCTTTTGCCCCTGAAAAAAATCAAATTTCAAACACAACTTGACTGCTCATTTCTCCAAAAGACAACCATGAAGCTCCATCCAAACCTGAAGCAGGCAGTTGGTGCATGTGTACAGTAACCTGAGGGGAGTGAGGTGACTGCTTCTGAGGAGAACATGAGCAGTGAAGATTCACCTTGGAGCTAGAACAGGGACGTGCACATGATTATACAGGGGCAGGGGCTCAAGTTTTTTCCAGTCATTTATACAATATGGAAATTAATGTGAAATTAAAAAACAAAGTATTAATAGAAAGGTAATGACTGTCCTGTGTAGATGACAGTGATATCCAATAGGCTAGGCACTCACGAGGCTGGCTGTGGCAAGTGTAAGTGAAAGCAACACGCACTGGCAGGAAGAACAGCAAACGCCGATGAAGGAAAAGGGTCTTTGCAGTGATGGGCGTTACCAGAGAGGGCGATGGCCAGAGGACACGAATGGGACGGGGAGGCAGCGCGTTGGGGGGGGGGGGCGGCGCGACACGGCTCGGGCCCGCCAGTGCCCCAACGGGGCCCTAGTTATTATTTTTCCTCCGCTTTAAACTGGAAAATGGCCCACTTCCCACTGGCGAAAACTCAGGAAATTTGGCAGGACGACCGGGCCTGGTGAAAAATTCGATATTCTGAAGTCGCCCAAACAATAAAATGCAAAATGGCTCCATAGCGCCCCCTAAGGTGAAAATTCACATGACGGCTGTACGCTTTGTCATATTGACACAAAAATTGACACACACATGTATCTCAATAAGATCTACAAAAAAGTCAGTGCGGGCGTATCTGTCAAATGTACGGTTAAAGGGTTATTTTGCATTTTTTGCAGATCTGCACACATTGGAATTTCGCTAACTCCTCCGAAGGCTTTCGTTCCACCGGCACCACATTTGCTCAGGCCAATCTACCCCCCATGGCCATTAAAAGTTGTACAAATCATGACGCTGCACCCCACGGTTTACGTTCTAGGGGGCGCCAAAGATAACCCAAAATCCACATTCTTAAAAGTCTTATAACTTTTTATTTTTGTCCTCACTGCCCTCCAAGTTTTCTAGGATGATGCAATGTCCAGCCATCAACACATTTGTGAAGGAATTTTTACTCCCCAAAAGAGCGCCCCCCCATGGCAGGAGAAAAAAGTCAATTTTTTCTTGTCCCCTTACATGAAAATACACATTGTTGAGTGTCACGCCTGAACGCTTTGTCATATTGACACAAAAATTGACAATCATGTGTATCTCAATTAGATCTACGAAAAAGTCAAAAAGCGCGTATCTGTATAATGTACGGTTAAAGGGCTATTTCGCATTTTTTGCCGATCCGCACACATTGGAATGTGGCTATCTCCTCCTAAGGCTTTCGTCCCACCAATACCAAATTTGCTCAGGGCAATCTACACCCCATGGCCATTCAAAGTTGTAAAAATCATGACGCTGCACCCCACGGTTTACGTTCTAGGGGGCGCCAAAGATGACCCAAAAATCCACATTCTTAAAAGTCATTTTGGCCACTGCAGGAGTACAGAGTACTGCAGTTCTAGGGGGCGCCAAAGATGACCCAAAAATCCACATTCTTAAAAGTCTTTTTGGCCACTGCAGGAGTACAGAGTACTGCAGGATACACACACATATACACACACACACACACACACACACACACACACACACACACACACACACACACTCAGAGTCTGTTTTTTAGCACCTGCAAAAACATGCTGTTTACATATTTGACAAGAATGCAGAGGCTTCCTTTTGCCCCTGAAAAAAAGCAAATTTCAAACACAACTTGACTGTTCATTTCTCCAAAACACAACCATGAAGCTCCATCCAAACCTGAAGCAGATAGTTGGTGCATGTGTACAGTAACCTGAGGGGAGTGAGGTGACTATTTCTGAGGAGAACATGAGCAGTGAAGATTCACCTTGGAGCTAGAACAGGGACGTGCACATGATTATACAGGGGCAGGGGCTCAAGTTTTTTCCAGTCATTTATACAATATGGAAATTAATGTGAAATTAAACCACAAATATGTGTGATGAACTGTTTTTAAAACTTAAACTTCAAATAAAAATTGTAAACTTCAAAACATATGCAAATTTTTAACAAAGAACATAGTAATTTACCTCTATTTACATCAAAATGCAGGCAATGGCCCAGGCGTTCTTTGTAAAATTATTTACAAAACACTGTATAGTCTCACAAATGTCACTTTTTATTTATGCCACTACAAAAAAACATGATGTAAATGATGCATGATGTAAAACATGATGTAAAAAACTTGTGTAGATCCTCCTCTATGTCAGTCCATGTGTAATTTTTCCATAATTCTTTGTTTTTTGCAGCATTTTTGTTAGTGTAACTGCAGATTGTGCTGACAGTCTATGGCAAAAAAAACAAAAACTGAAAATGCCTCAACATGAACCCCTGGTGGTCTCTGAGGGTGAAACCTGCTAACTGCTGCAGCTCTGTCAGCTTCAGTCTCCCATGCAGAGCTCGGAGCGCATGTGTGGCTCTGCACCCTTAGCAGCGTTGCTAACTCCTCAGTAAGGAAAGCCTGCTTCATGTCAGAGTCTCTAAACTCCAGAAGAAGTCGATAAAAGTCCCTTTCTTTCTAAATAAAAGTCGTTAGGGGGTCTGAAAAGTAATTGAATCTAACAACAAAGTCGCTAGGTTTGCAACTACGTGTCCCAGACTGCATCCCTGCTGAGAGTCCCTCCCTCCCTTCTCATGTTGCAGGAAGAACGTAAGCGCCCGCCCCTTGTCAATCAGTCACCATATAATTTTGGATTGGTTGTTGTGGTGAAGTTTTCCACCAATAGGAGAGATGTTGTAGTGTGTTTTTTTTTTCTTTTGGCAAGCCTTTTCCGCCTGTAAGACCTGTCGCTAATGTGTGCATGCTATGTTTTCCTGTCTCATACAGCGCGATCGAGCGCCGAACGTGATCAAAATAAGCAGAAAAAAAGTATCGCGGACATAATTTATCATAACTCTGGTTTTATTTGGCCTATCAACACAATTTAAAAACTGGTATATAGGTTGAGGTCCTCACTTTTGAGATAAGTTGAAACGGAGAGTTAACGAGGCTCCGTCTTGCAGCTACATCCGGTTAAATATGTCATGTGACTTGAACGCTGGGGAGCGTCAATCGAATCGAATCAAACCTAACTCTCAGATGAATCTTCAAAATTCACCTCAGAAATATGCTTATTATTCTTCTCAGAGTACTGCAGGATACACACACACACACAGACACACACACACACACACACACACACACACTCAGAGTCTGTTTTTTAGCACCTGCAAAAACATGCTATTTACATATTTGACAAGAATGCAGAGGCTTCCTTTTGCCCCTGAAAAAAATCAAATTTCAAACACAACTTGACTGCTCATTTCTCCAAAAGACAACCATGAAGCTCCATCCAAACCTGAAGCAGGCAGTTGGTGCATGTGTACAGTAACCTGAGGGGAGTGAGGTGACTGCTTCTGAGGAGAACATGAGCAGTGAAGATTCACCTTGGAGCTAGAACAGAGACATGCACATGATTATACAGGGGCAGGGGCTCAAGTTTTTTCCAGTCATTTATACAATATGGAAATTAATGTGAAATTAAAAACAAAGTATTAATAGAAATTTAATGACTGTCCTGTGTAGGTGACAGTGATATCCAATAGGCTAGGCACTCACGAGGCTGGCTGTTGCAAGATTAAGTGAAAGCAACACGCACTGGCAGGAAGAACAGCAAACACCGATGAAGGAAAAGGGTCTTTGCAGTGATGGGCGTTACCAGAGAGGGAGATGGCCAGAGGACGCGAATGGGACGGGGAGGCAGCGCGTTGGGGGGGGGGGGGGGCGGGGGGGGGTTGGGGGCCACACGGCTCGGGCCCGCCAGTGCCCCAACGGGGCCCTAGTTATTTTTCCTCCCCTTTGAACTGGAAAATGGCCCACTTCCTACTGGCGAAAACTCATGAAATTTGGCAGGACGACCGGGCCTGGTGAAAAATTTGATATTCCGAAGTCGCCCAAACAAGAAAATGCAAAATGGCTCCATAGCGCCCCCTAAGGTGAAAATTCACACTATTGACTGTCACACGTGTACGCTTTGTCAAAATGACACAAAAATTGACACACACATGTATCTTAATACGATCTACGAAAAAGTCAATGCGAGCGTATCTGTTCAATGTACGGTTAAAATCAGTGCGGGCGTATCTGTCAAATGTACGGTTAAAGGGTTATTTCGCATTTTTTGCCGATCCGCACACATTGGAATTTCGCTAACTCCTCCGAAGGCTTTCGTCCCACTGACACCAAATTTGCTCAGGCCAATCTACACCCCATGGCCATTCAAAGTTGTAAAAATCATGACGCTGCACCCCACGGTTTACGTTCTAGGGGGCGCCAAAGATGACCCAAAAATCCACAGTCTTAAAAGTCTTATAACTTTTTATTTTTGTCCTCACTGGCCTCCAAGTTCTCTAGGATGATGCAATGTCCAGCCATCAACACATTTGTGAAGGAATTTTTACTCCCCAAAAGAGCGCCCCCCAATGGCAGGAGAAAAAAGTCCATTTTTTCTTGTCTCCTAAGGCGAAAATACACATTGTTGACTGTCACGCCTTTACGCTTTGTCAAAATGACACAAAAATTGACACACACATGTATCTTAATACGATCTACGAAAAAGTCAATGCGAGCGTATCTGTTCAATGTACGGTTAAAGGGCTATTTCGCATTTTTTGCCGATCCGCACACATTGGAATTTCGCTAACTCCTCCGAAGGCTTTCGTTCCACCGGCACCACATTTGCTCAGGCCAATCTACACCCCATGGCCATTAAAAGTTATTCAAATCATGACGCTGCACCCCACGGTTTAGGTTCTAGGGGGCGCCAAAGATAACCCTAAAATCCACATATTTAAAAGTCTTATAACTTTTTATTTTTGTCCTCACTGGCCTCCAAGTTTTCTAGGATGATGCAATGTCCAGCCATCAACACATTTGTGAAGGAATTTTTACTCCCCAAAAGAGCGCCCCCCCATGGCAGGAGAAAAAAGTCAATTTTTTCTTGTCCCCTAAGGTGGAAATTCACACTATTGACTGTCACGCCTGTACGCTTTATCATATTGACACAAAAATTGACACACATATGTATCTCAATAAGATCTACAAAAAAGTCAATGCGCGCGTATCTGTCAAATGTACGGTTAAAGGGCTATTTTGCATTTTTTGCCGATTCGCACACATTGGAATGTGGCTAACTCCTCCTAAGGCTTTCGTCCCACTGACACCAAATTTGCTCAGGCCAATCTACACCCCATGGCCATTCAAAGTTGTAAAAATCATGACGCTGCACCCCACGGTTTACGTTCTAGGGGGCGCCAAAGATGACCCAAAAATCCACATTCTTAAAAGAATCCCCCCCCCCCCCCCCCCCCCCCCAAGGCAGGAGAAAAAGTCAAGTTAACCCTGCCCATCGCTCAATGGCTCAATCGCATCGCTCTCCAGGCAACACCGTAAGGAGGAGCAACCTGCCATTTCGATATATCATAGCTGTGTTTGTGCCCTCACTCATGGTCCAGACTTTTTTCAAATAGGACATGAAGTTTGTCTGCAGCGAGTGTTTTGGTAGAAACTGCGCCTCCCATTCATTATAATGGGAAATGACCACAGACAAGTGCGCACATCATCTTTGGACCTTGAGTGTGACGCGATCGTGAGGGGGAGGCGGTCGCGCTGGGGGCGGCGCGACGCGGCTCGGGCCCGACAGTGCCCCACCGGGGCCCTAGTTATTATTTTTCCTCCCCTTTGAACTGGAAAATGGCCCACTTCCCACTGGCGAAAACTCATGAAATTTGGCAGGACGACCGGGCCTGGTGAAAAATTTGATATTCCGAAGTCGCCCAAACAAGAAAATGCAAAATGGCTCCATAGCGCCCCCTAAGGTGAAAAATTCACCTGACGCCTGTACGCTTTGTCAAAATGACACAAAAATTGACACACACATGTATCTCAATAAGATCTACAAAAAAGTCAGTGCGGGCGTATCTGTCAAATGTACGGTTAAAGGGTTATTGCGCATTTTTTGCCGATCCGCACACATTGGAATTTCGCTAACTCCTCCGAAGGCTTTCGTTCCACCGGCACCACATTTGCTCAGGCCAATCTACACCCCATGGCCATTAAAAGTTATTCAAATCATGACGCTGCACCCCACGGTTTAGGTTCTAGGGGGCGCCAAAGATAACACTAAAATCCACATATTTCAAAGTCTTATAACTTTTTATTTTTGTCCTCACTGGCCTCCAAGTTTTCTAGGATGATGCAATGTCCAGCCATCAACACATTTGTGAAGGAATTTTTACTCCCCAAAAGAGCGCCCCCCCATGGCAGGAGAAAAAAGTCCATTTTTTCTTGTCCCCTAAGGTGAAAATACACATTGTTGAGTGTCACGCCTGTACGCTTTGTCAAAATGACACAAAAATTGACACACACATGTATCTCAATAAGATCTACAAAAAAGTCAATGGGCGCGTATCTGTCAAATGTACGGTTAAAGGGTTATTCTGCATTTTTTGCCGATTCGCACACATTGGAATTTCGCTAACTCCTCCGAAGGCTTTCGTTCCACCGGCACCACATTTGCTCAGGCCAAATTACACCCCATGGCCATTAAAAGTTATTCAAATCATGACGCTGCACCCCACGGTTTACGTTCTAGGGGGCGCCAAAGATAACCCAAAAATCCAAATTTTTAAAAGTCTTATAACTTTTTATTTTTGTCCTCACTGGCCTCCAAGTTTTCTAGGATGATGCAATGTCCAGCCATCAACACATTTGTGAAGGAATTTTTACTCCCTAAAAGAGCGCCCCCCCATGGCAGGAGAAAAAAGTCCATTTTTTCTTGTCCCCTAAGGTGAAAATACACATTGTTGACTGTCACGCCTGTACGCTTTGGCAAAATGACACAAAAATTGACAATCATGTGTATCGCAATTAGATCTACGAAAAAGTCAAGAGCGCGTATCTGTATAATGTACGGTAAAAGGGCTATTTTGCATTTTTTGCCGATTCGCACATATTGGAATTTCGCTAACTCCTCCTAAGGCTTTCGTCCCACTGACACCAAATTTGCTCAGGCCAATCTACACTCCATGGCCATTCAAAGTTGTAAAAATCATGACGCGGCACCCCACGGTTTACGTTTTAGGGGGCGCCAAAGATGACCCAAATATACATTACAGTAGACAAAGTAGTTTTGCCCACTGAGTGGCGCCAAAGGGACTTGTCTGTGGAGTCTGTGAGTCACTATTGGCCGTTTTTGACTACTTTAGATTTTACCTTTATATTTCCTCTTACAAAATTTTTACCTTGCCTTGCCTGGTATCATTTTTTTCAGCACAACCTCACCTGTGTCAATTTACAGTTATTTTATCATTTTGACATACTATATTTACACATTGGACCCAAATTCACACACAAAACATAAAATCCGAGTGGAAAAAAGTAACGTTTTTACTGTGAAAACCACAAATATGTGTGATGAACTGTTTTTAAAACTTAAACTTCAAATAAAAATTGTAAACTTCAAAACATATGCAAATTTTTAACAAAGAACATAGTAATTTACCTCTATTTACATCAAAATGCAGGCAATGGCCCAGGTGTTCTTTGTAAAATTATTTACAAAACACTGTATAGTCTCACAAATGTCACTTTTTATTTATGCCACTACAAAAAAACATGATGTAAATGATGCATGATGTAAAACATGATGTAAAAAACTTGTGTAGATCCTCCTCTATGTCAGTCCATGTGTAATTTTTCCATAATTCTTTGTTTTTTGCAGCATTTTTGTTAGTGTAACTGCAGATTGTGCTGACAGTGTCTATGGCAAAAAAAAAAAAAAAACTGAAAATGCCTCAACATGAACCCCTGGTGGTCTCTGAGGGTGAAACCTGCTAACTGCTGCAGCTCTGTCAGCTTCAGTCTCCCATGCAGAGCTCGGAGCGCATGTGTGGCTCTGCACCCTTAGCAGCGTTGCTAACTCCTCAGTAAGGAAAGCCTGCTTCATGTCAGAGTCTCTAAACTCCAGAAGAAGTCGATAAAAGTCACTTTCTTTCTAAAAAAAAGTCGTTAGGGGGTCTGAAAAGTCATTGAATCTAACAACAAAGTCGCTAGGTTTGCAACTACGTGTCCCAGACTGCATCCCTGCTGAGAGTCCCTCCCTCCCTTCTCATATTGCAGGAAGAACGTAAGCGCCCGCCCCTTGTCAATCAGTCACCATATAATTTTGGATTGGTTGTTGTGGTGAAGTTTTCCACCAATAGGAGAGATGTTGTGGTGTGTTTTTTTTTTCCTTTGGCAAGCCTTTTCCGCCTGTAAGACCTGTCGCTAATGTCTGCATGCTATGTTTTCCTGTCTCATACAGCGCGATCGAGCGCCGAACGTGATCAAAATAAGCAGAAAAAAAGTATCGCGGACATAATTTATCATAACTCTGGTTTTATTTGGCCTATCAACACAATTTAAAAACTGGTATATAGGTTGAGGTCCTCACTTTTAAGATAAGTTGAAACGGAGAGTCAACGAGGCTCCGTCTTGCAGCTACATCCGGTTAAATATGTCATGTGACTTGAACGCACACACACACACACACACACACACACACACACACACACACACACACACACACACACACACAGACACACACACACACGCACACACACACACTCAGAGTCTGGTTTTTAGCACCTGCAAAAACATGCTATTTACATATTTGACAAGAATGCAGAGGCTCCTTTTGCCCCTGAAAAAAATCAAATTTCAAACACAACTTGACTGGTCATTTCTCCAAAAGACAACCATGAAGCTCCATCCAAACCTGAAGCAGGCAGTTGATGCATGTGTACAGTAACCTGAGGGGAGTGAGGTGACTGCTTCTGAGGAGAACATGAGCAGTGAAGATTCACCTTAGAGCTAGAACAGAGACGTGCACATGATTATACAGGGGCAGGGGCTCAAGTTTTTACCAGTTGTTTATACAATATGGAAATTAATGTGAAATTAAAAAACAAAGTATTAATAGAAAGGTAATGACTGTCCTGTGTAGGTGACAGTGATATCCAATAGGCTAGGCACTCAAGAGGCTGGCTGTGGCAAGTGTAAGTGAAAGCAACACGCACTGGCAGGAAGAACAGCAAACGCCGATGAAGGAAAAGGGTCTTTGCAGTGATGGGCGTTACCAGAGAGGGCGATGGCCAGAGGACACAAATGGGACGGGGAGGCAGCGCGTTGGGGGGGGGACGCGACACAGCTCGGGCCCGCCAGTGCCCCAACGGGGTCCTAGTTCTTTAGGGCCCGAGCCAGCTGCAGAGCAGCCGGGCGTAGGCCCTATTATACCCCAAGTGGTTTTTCTTTGTTTCTTTCTTTCTTTCTTTCTTTCTTCTTTTTCCTCCCCTTTGAACTGGAAAATGGCCCACTTCCCACTGGCGAAAACTCATGAAATTTGGCAGGACGACCGGGCCTGGTGAAAAATTCGATATTCTGAAGTCGCCCAAACAATAAAATGCAAAATGGCTCCATAGCGCCCCCTAAGGTGGAAATTCACACTATTGACTGTCACGCCTGTACGCTTTGTCATATTGACACAAAAATTGACACACATATGTATCTCAATAAGATCTACAAAAAAGTCAGTGCGGCCGTATCTGTCAAATGTACGGTTAAAGGGTTATTCCGCATTTTTTTCCGATCCGCACACATTGGAATTTCGCTAACTCCTCCGAAGGCTTTCGTTCCACCGGCACCACATTTGCTCAGGACAATCTACACCCTGTGGCCATTAAAAGTTATCAAAATCATGACGCTGCACCCCAAGGTTTAGGTTCTAGGGGGCGCCAAAGATAACACTAAAATCCACATATTTAAAAGTCTTATAACTTTTTATTTTTGTCCTCACTGGCCTCCAAGTTTTCTAGGATGATGCAATGTCCAGCCATCAACACATTTGTGAAGGAATTTTTACTCCCCAAAAGAGCGCCCCCCATGGCAGGAGAAAAAAGTCCATTTTTTCTTGTCCCCTAAGGTGAAAATACACATTGTTGAGTGTCACGCCTATACGCTTTGTCAAAATGACACAAAAATTGACACACACATGTATCTCAATAAGATCTACGAAAAAGTCAATGCGCGCGTATCTGTCAAATGTACGGTTAAAGGGTTATTCCGCATTTTTTGGTGATCCGCACACATTGGAATGTGGCTAACTCCTCCTAAGGCTTTCGTTCCACCGGCACCACATTTGCTCAGGACAATCTACACCCCATGGCCATTAAAAGTTATTCAAATCATGACGCTGCACCCCACGGTTTAGGTTCTAGGGGGCGCCAAAGATAACCCTAAAATCCACATATTTAAAAGTCTTATAACTTTTTATTTTTGTCCTCACTGGCCTCCAAGTTTTCTAGGATGATGCAATGTCCAGCCATCAACACATTTGTGAAGGAATTTTTACTCCCCAAAAGAGCGCCCCCCCATGGCAGGAGAAAAAAGTCCATTTTTTCTTGTCCCCTAAGGTGAAAATACATATTGTTGAGATTCACGCCTATACGCTTTGTCATATTGACACAAAATTTGACAATCACGTGCCTTGCCTGGTATCATTTTTTTCAGCACAACCTCACCTGTGCGAATTTACAGTTATTTTATCATGTTGACATACTGAATTTACACAATGGACCCAAATTCACACACAAAACATAAAATCCGAGTGGAAAAAAGTAACATTTTTACTGTGAAAACCACAAATATGTGTGATGAACTGTTTTTAAAACTTAAACTTCAAATAAAAATTGTAAACTTCAAAACATATGCAAATTTTTAACAAAGAACATAGTGATTTACCTCTATTTTCATCAAAATGCAGGCAATGGCCCAGGCGTTCTTTGTAAAATTATTTACAAAACACTGTATAGTCTCACAAATGTCACTTTTTATTTATGCCACTACAAAAAAACATGATGTAAATGATGCATGATGTAAAACATGATGTAAAAAACTTGTGTAGATCCTCCTCTATGTCAGTCCATGTGTAATTTTTCCATAATTCTTTGTTTTTTGCAGCATTTTTGTTAGTGTAACTGCAGATTGTGCTGACAGTGTCTATGGCACAAAAAAATAAAAATTAAAATGCCTCAACATGAACCCCTGGTGGTCTCTGAGGGTGAAACCTGCTAACTGCTGCAGCTCTGTCAGCTTCAGTCTCCCATGCAGAGCTCGGAGCGCATGTGTGGCTCTGCACCCTAAGCAGTGTTGCTAACTCCTCAGTAAGGAAAGCCTGCTTCATGTCAGAGTCTCTAAACTCCAGAAGAAGTCGATAAAAGTCCCTTTCTTTCTAAAAAAAGTCGTTAGGGGGTCTGAAAAGTCATTGAATCTAACAACAAAGTCGCTAGGTTTGCAACTACGTGTCCCAGACTGCATCCCTGCTGAGAGTCCCTCCCTCCCTTCTCATATTGCAGGAAGAACGTAAGTTCCCGCCCCTTGTCAATCAGTCACCATATAATTTTGGATTGGTTGTTGTGGTGAAGTTTTCCACCAATAGGAGAGATGTTGTGGTGTGTTTTTTTTTTCCTTTGGCAAGCCTTTTCCGCCTGTAAGACCTGTCGCTAATGTCTGCATGCTATGTTTTCCTGTCTCATACAGCGCGATCGAGCGCCGAACGTGATCAAAATAAGCAGAAATAAGTATTGCGGACATAATTTATCATAACTCTGGTTTTATTTGGCCTATCAACACAATTTAAAAACTGGTATATAGTTTGAGGTCCTCACTTTTAAGATAAGTTGAAACGAAGAATCAACGAGGCTCCGTCTTGCAGCTACATCCGGTTAAATATGTCATGTGACTTGAACGCTGGGGAGCGTCAATCGAATCGAATCAAACCTAACTCTCAGATGAATCTTCAAAATTCACCTCAGAAATATGCTTATTATTCTTCTCAGAGTACTGCAGGATACACACACACACAGACACACACACACACACGCACACACACTCAGAGTCTGTTTTTTAGCACCTGCAAACACATGCTATTTACATATTTGACAAGAATGCAGAGGCTTTCTTTTGCCTCTGAAAAAAATCAAATTTCAAACACAACTTGACTGCTCATTTCTCCAAAAGACAACCATGAAGCTCCATCCAAACCTGAAGCAGGCAGTTGGTGCATGTGTACAGTAACCTGAGGGGAGTGAGGTGACTGCTTCTGAGGAGAACATGAGCAGTGAAGATTCACCTTGGAGCTATAACAGGGCCGGCACATGATTATACAGGGGCAGGGGCTCAAGTTTTTTCCAGTCGTTTATACAATATGGAAATTAATGTGAAATTAAAAAACAAAGTATTAATAGAAAGGTAATGACTGTCCTGTGTAGGTGACAGTGATATCCAATAGGCTAGGCACTCACGAGGCTGGCTGTGGCAAGTGTAAGTGAAAGCAACACGCACTGGCAGGAAGAACAGCAAACGCCGATGAAGGAAAAGGGTCTTTGCAGTGATGGGCGTTACCAGAGAGGGCGATGGCCAGAGGACGCGAATGGGACGGGGAGGCAGCGCGTTGGGGGGGGGCGCGACACGGCTCGGGCCCGCCAGTGCCCCAACGGGGCCCTAGTTAGGGCCCGAGCCAGCTGCAGAGCAGCCGGGCGTAGAGCCCTATTATTCCTGATGAGTTTTTGTTTCTTCTTTCTTTCTTTCTTTCTTTCTTTCTTCTTATTTTTCCTCCCCTTTGAAGGGAAAAATGGCCCACTTCCCACTGGCGAAAACTCATGAAATTTGGCAGGACGACCGGGCCTGGTGAAAAATTCGATATTCTGAAGTCGCCCAAACAATAAAATGCAAAATGGCTCCATAGCGCCCCCTAAGGTGAAAATTCACACTATTGACTGTCACGCCTGTACGCTTTGTCATATTGACACAAAAATTGACACACACATGTATCTCAATAAGATCTACAAAAAAGTCAGCGCGGGCGTATCTGTCAAATGTACGGTTAAAGGGTTATTTCGCATTTTTTGCCGATCCGCACACATTGGAATTTCGCTAACTCCTCCGAAGGCTTTCGTTCCACCGGCACCACATTTGCTCAGGCCAATCTACACCCCATGGCCATTAAAAGTTGTACAAATCATGCCGCTGCACCCCACGGTTTAGGTTCTAGGGGACGCCAAAGATAACCCAAAAATCCACAGTCTTAAAAGTCTTATAACTTTTTATTTTTGTCCTCACTGGCCTCCAAGTTCTCTAGGATGATGCAATGTCCAGCCATCAACACATTTGTGAAGGAATTTTTACTCGCCAAAAGAGCGCCCCCCCATGGCAGGAGAAAAAAGTCCATTTTTTCTTGTCCCCTAAGGCGAAAATACACATTGTTGAGTGTCACGCCTATACGCTTTGTCATATTGACACAAAATTTGAGAATCACGTGTATCTCAATAAGATCTACGAAAAAGTCAATGCGCGCGTATCTGTAAAATGTACGTTTAAAGGGCTATTTCGCATTTTTTGCCGATTCGCACACATTGGAATGTGGCTAACTCCTCCTAAGGCTTTCGTTCCACTGACACCAAATTTTCTCAGGCCAATCTACACCCCATGGCCATTCAAAGTTGTAAAAATCATGACGCTGCACCCCACGGTTTACGTTCTAGGGGGCGCCAAAGAGGACCCAAATATCCACATATTTAAAAGTCTTATAACTTTTTATTTTTGTCCTCACTGGCCTCCAAGTTTTCTAGGATGATGCAATGTCCAGCCATCAACACATTTGTGAAGGAATTTTTTCTCCCCAAAAGAGCGCCCCCCCATGGCCGGAGAAAAAGTCAAGTTTTTCCTGCCCATCGCTCAATGGCTCAAACGCATCGCTCTCTCAGCAAAACCGAAAGGAGGAGCAACTTGCCATTTGGATATATCTTAGCTGTGTTTGTGCCCTCACTCATGGTCCAGACTTTTTTCAAAAAGGACATGGAGTTTGTCTGCAGCGAGCATTTTGGTAGAAACTGCGCCTCCCATTCATTATAATGGTAAATGACCACAGACAAGTGCGCACACCATCTTTGAACCTTGAGTGTGACGCGATCGGGAGGGGTAGGCGGTCGCGCTGGGGGCGGCGCGACACGGCTCGGGCCCGCCAGTGCCCCACCGGGGCCCTAGTTATTATTTTTCCTCCGCTTTAAACTGGAAAATGGCCCACTTCCCACTGGCGAAAACTCAGGAAATTTGGCAGGACGACCGGGCCTGGTGAAAAATTCGATATTCTGAAGTCGCCCAAACAATAAAATGCAAAATGGCTCCATAGCGCCCCCTAAGGTGAAAATTCACATGACGGCTGTACGCTTTGTCATATTGACACAAAAATTGACACACATATGTATCTCAATAAGATCTACAAAAAAGTCAGTGCGGGCGTATCTGTCAAATGTACGGTTTATGGGTTATTTTGCATTTTTTGCAGATCTGCACACATTGGAATTTCGCTATCTCCTCCGAAGGCTTTCGTTCGACCGGCACCACATTTGCTCAGGCCAATCTACCCCCCATGGCCATTAAAAGTTGTACAAATCATGACGCTGCACCCCACGGTTTACGTTATAGGGGGCGCCAAAGATAACCCAAAATCCACATTCTTAAAAGTCTTATAACTTTTTATTTTTGTCCTCACTGCCCTCCAAGTTTTCTAGGATGATGCAATGTCCAGCCATCAACACATTTGTGAAGGAATTTTTACTCCCCAAAAGAGCGCCCCCCCATGGCAGGAGAAAAAAGTCAATTTTTTCTTGTCCCCTTACATGAAAATACACATTGTTGAGTGTCACGCCTGAACGCTTTGTCATATTGACACAAAAATTGACAATCATGTGTATCTCAATTAGATCTACGAAAAAGTCAATGCGCGCGTATCTGTATAATGTACGGTTAAAGGGCTATTTCGCATTTTTTGCCGATCCGCACACATTGGAATGTGGCTATCTCCTCCTAAGGCTTTCGTCCCACCAATACCAAATTTGCTCAGGGCAATCTACACCACATGGCCATTCAAAGTTGTAAAAATCATGACGCTGCACCCCACGGTTTACGTTCTAGGGGGCGCCAAAGATGACCCAAAAATCCACATTCTTAAAAGTCATTTTGGCCACTGCAGGAGTACAGAGTACTGCAGTTCTAGGGGGCGCCAAAGATGACCCAAAAATCCACATTCTTAAAAGTCTTTTTGGCCACTGCAGGAGTACAGAGTACTGCAGGATACACACACATATACACACACACACACACACACACACACACACACACACACACACACACACACACACACACACACTCAGAGTCTGTTTTTTAGCACCTGCAAAAACATGCTGTTTACATATTTGACAAGAATGCAGAGGCTTCCTTTTGCCCCTGAAAAAAAGCAAATTTCAAACACAACTTGACTGTTCATTTCTCCAAAACACAACCATGAAGCTCCATCCAAACCTGAAGCAGATAGTTGGTGCATGTGTACAGTAACCTGAGGGGAGTGAGGTGACTATTTCTGAGGAGAACATGAGCAGTGAAGATTCACCTTGGAGCTAGAACAGGGACGTGCACATGATTATACAGGGGCAGGGGCTCAAGTTTTTTCCAGTCATTTATACAATATGGAAATTAATGTGAAATTAAACCACAAATATGTGTGATGAACTGTTTTTAAAACTTAAACTTCAAATAAAAATTGTAAACTTCAAAACATATGCAAATTTTTAACAAAGAACATAGTAATTTACCTCTATTTACATCAAAATGCAGGCAATGGCCCAGGCGTTCTTTGTAAAATTATTTACAAAACACTGTATAGTCTCACAAATGTCACTTTTTATTTATGCCACTACAAAAAAACATGATGTAAATGATGCATGATGTAAAACATGATGTAAAAAACTTGTGTAGATCCTCCTCTATGTCAGTCCATGTGTAATTTTTCCATAATTCTTTGTTTTTTGCAGCATTTTTGTTAGTGTAACTGCAGATTGTGCTGACAGTCTATGGCAAAAAAAACAAAAACTGAAAATGCCTCAACATGAACCCCTGGTGGTCTCTGAGGGTGAAACCTGCTAACTGCTGCAGCTCTGTCAGCTTCAGTCTCCCATGCAGAGCTCGGAGCGCATGTGTGGCTCTGCACCCTTAGCAGCGTTGCTAACTCCTCAGTAAGGAAAGCCTGCTTCATGTCAGAGTCTCTAAACTCCAGAAGAAGTCGATAAAAGTCCCTTTCTTTCTAAATAAAAGTCGTTAGGGGGTCTGAAAAGTAATTGAATCTAACAACAAAGTCGCTAGGTTTGCAACTACGTGTCCCAGACTGCATCCCTGCTGAGAGTCCCTCCCTCCCTTCTCATGTTGCAGGAAGAACGTAAGCGCCCGCCCCTTGTCAATCAGTCACCATATAATTTTGGATTGGTTGTTGTGGTGAAGTTTTCCACCAATAGGAGAGATGTTGTAGTGTGTTTTTTTTTTCTTTTGGCAAGCCTTTTCCGCCTGTAAGACCTGTCGCTAATGTGTGCATGCTATGTTTTCCTGTCTCATACAGCGCGATCGAGCGCCGAACGTGATCAAAATAAGCAGAAAAAAAGTATCGCGGACATAATTTATCATAACTCTGGTTTTATTTGGCCTATCAACACAATTTAAAAACTGGTATATAGGTTGAGGTCCTCACTTTTGAGATAAGTTGAAACGGAGAGTCAACGAGGCTCCGTCTTGCAGCTACATCCGGTTAAATATGTCATGTGACTTGAACGCTGGGGAGCGTCAATCGAATCGAATCAAACCTAACTCTCAGATGAATCTTCAAAATTCACCTCAGAAATATGCTTATTATTCTTCTCAGAGTACTGCAGGATACACACACACACACAGACACACACACACACACACACACACACACACACACACTCAGAGTCTGTTTTTTAGCACCTGCAAAAACATGCTATTTACATATTTGACAAGAATGCAGAGGCTTCCTTTTGCCCCTGAAAAAAATCAAATTTCAAACACAACTTGACTGCTCATTTCTCCAAAAGACAACCATGAAGCTCCATCCAAACCTGAAGCAGGCAGTTGGTGCATGTGTACAGTAACCTGAGGGGAGTGAGGTGACTGCTTCTGAGGAGAACATGAGCAGTGAAGATTCACCTTGGAGCTAGAACAGAGACATGCACATGATTATACAGGGGCAGGGGCTCAAGTTTTTTCCAGTCATTTATACAATATGGAAATTAATGTGAAATTAAAAACAAAGTATTAATAGAAATTTAATGACTGTCCTGTGTAGGTGACAGTGATATCCAATAGGCTAGGCACTCACGAGGCTGGCTGTTGCAAGATTAAGTGAAAGCAACACGCACTGGCAGGAAGAACAGCAAACACCGATGAAGGAAAAGGGTCTTTGCAGTGATGGGCGTTACCAGAGAGGGAGATGGCCAGAGGACGCGAATGGGACGGGGAGGCAGCGCGTTGGGGGGGGGGGGGGGGGGGGGGGGGGTTGGGGGCCACACGGCTCGGGCCCGCCAGTGCCCCAACGGGGCCCTAGTTATTTTTCCTCCCCTTTGAACTGGAAAATGGCCCACTTCCTACTGGCGAAAACTCATGAAATTTGGCAGGACGACCGGGCCTGGTGAAAAATTTGATATTCCGAAGTCGCCCAAACAAGAAAATGCAAAATGGCTCCATAGCGCCCCCTAAGGTGAAAATTCACACTATTGACTGTCACACGTGTACGCTTTGTCAAAATGACACAAAAATTGACACACACATGTATCTTAATACGATCTACGAAAAAGTCAATGCGAGCGTATCTGTTCAATGTACGGTTAAAATCAGTGCGGGCGTATCTGTCAAATGTACGGTTAAAGGGTTATTTCGCATTTTTTGCCGATCCGCACACATTGGAATTTCGCTAACTCCTCCGAAGGCTTTCGTTCCACCGGCACCACATTTGCTCATGCCAATCTACACCCCATGGCCATTAAAAGTTATTCAAATCATGACGCTGCACCCCACGGTTTAGGTTCTAGGGGGCGCCAAAGATAACCCTAAAATCCACATATTTAAAAGTCTTATAACTTTTTATTTTTGTCCTCACTGGCCTCCAAGTTTTCTAGGATGATGCAATGTCCAGCCATCAACACATTTGTGAAGGAATTTTTACTCCCCAAAAGAGCGCCCCCCCATGGCAGGAGAAAAAAGTCAATTTTTTCTTGTCCCCTAAGGTGGAAATTCACACTATTGACTGTCACGCCTGTACGCTTTATCATATTGACACAAAAATTGACACACATATGTATCTCAATAAGATCTACAAAAAAGTCAATGCGCGCGTATCTGTCAAATGTACGGTTAAAGGGTTATTGCGCATTTTTTGCCGATCCCCACACATTGGAATTTCGCTAACTCCTCCGAAGGCTTTCGTTCCACCGGCACCACATTTGCTCAGGCCAATCTACACCCCATGGCCATTAAAAGTTATTCAGATCATGACGCTGCACCCCACGGTTTAGGTTCTAGGGGGCGCCAAAGATAACCCTAAAATCCACATATTTAAAAGTCTTATAACTTTTTATTTTTGCCCTCACTGGCCTCCAAGTTTTCTAGGATGATGCAATGTCCAGCCATCAACACATTTGTGAAGGAATTTTTACTCCCCAAAAGAGCGCCCCCCCCATGGCAGGAGAAAAAAGTCCATTTTTTCTTGTCCCCTAAGGTGAAAATACACATTGTTGAGTGTCACGCCTGTACGCTTTGTCATATTGACACAAAATTTGAAACACACATGTATCTCAATAAGATCTACGAAAAAGTCAATGCGCGCGTATCTGTCAAATGTACGGTTAAAGGGTTATTCCGCATTTTTTGCTGATCCGCACACATTGGAATTTCGCTAACTCCTCCTAAGGCTTTCGTTCCACCGGCACCACATTTGCTCAGGCCAATCTACACCCCATGGCCATTAAAAGTTATTCAAATCATGACGCTGCACCCCACGGTTTAGGTTCTAGGGGGCGCCAAAAATAACCCTAAAATCCACATATTTAAAAGTCTTAAGTTTTTATTTTTGTCCTCACTGGCCTCCAAGTTTTCTAGGATGATGCAATGTCCAGCCATCAACACATTTGTGAAGGAATTTTTACTCCCCAAAAGAGCGCCCCCCCATGGCAGGAGAAAAAAGTCCATTTTTTCTTGTCCCCTAAGGTGAAAATACACATTGTTGAGTGTCACGCCTGTACGCTTTGGCAAAATGACACAAAAATTGACACATACATGTATCTCAATAAGATCTACGAAAAAGTCAATGCGCGCGTATCTGTCAAATGTACGGTTAAAGGGTTATTCTGCATTTTTTGCTGATCCGCACACATTGGAATGTGGCTAACTCCTCCTAAGGCTTTCGTCCCACTGAAACCAAATTTGCTCAGGCCAATCTACACCCCATGGCCATTCAAAGTTGTAAAAATCATGACGCTGCACCCTACGGTTTACGTTCTAGGGGGCGCCAAAGATGACCAAAAAATCGACATTCTTAAAAGAATCCACATTCTCCCCCCCCATAGCACGAGAAAAAGTCAAGTTTTTCCTGCCCATCGCTCAATGGCTCAATCGCATCGCTCTCCAGGCAACACCGTAAGGAGGAGCAACCTGCCATTTGGATATATCCTAGCTGTGTTTGTGCCCTCACTCATGGTCCAGATTTTTTTCAAATAGGACATGAAGTTTGTCTGCAGCGAGTGTTTTGGTAGAAACTGCGCCTCCCATTCATTATAATGGGAAATGACCACAGACAAGTGCGCACACCATCTTTGGACCTTGAGTGTGACGCGATCGGGAGGGGGAGGCGGTCGCGCTGGGGGCGGTGCGACGCGGCTCGGGCCCGACAGTGCCCCACCGGGGCCCTAGTTATTATTATTATTTTTCCTCCCCTTTAAACTGGAAAATGGCCCACTTCCCACTGGCGAAAACTCATGAAATTTGGCAGGACGACTGGGCCTGGTGAAAAATTTGATATTCTGAAGTCGCCCAAACAATAAAATGCAAAATGGCTCCATAGCGCCCCCTAAGGTGGAAATTCACACTATTGACTGTCACGCCTGTACGCTTTGTCAAAATGACACAAAAATTGACACACACATGTATCTCAATAAGATCTACAAAAAAGTCAGTGCGGGCGTATCTGTCAAATGTACGGTTAAAGGGCTATTTCGCATTTTTTGGCGATCCGTACACATTGGAATTTCGCTAACTCCTCCGAAGGCATTTGTTCCACCGGCACCACATTTGCTCAGGCCAATCTACACCCCATGGCCATTAAAAGTTATTCAAATCATGACGCTGCACCCCACGGTTTAGGTTCTAGGGGGCGCCAAAGATAACCCTAAAATCCACATATTTAAAAGTCTTATAACTTTTTATTTTTGTCCTCACTGACCTCCAAGTTTTCTAGGATGATGCAATGTCCAGCCATCAACACATTTGTGAAGGAATTTTTACTCCCCAAAAGAGCGCCCCCCCATGGCAGGAGAAAAAAGTCCATTTTTTCTTGTCCCCTAAGGTGAAAATACACATTGTTGAGTGTCACGCCTCTACACTTTGTCAAAATGACACAAAATTTGGCACACAGGTGTGTCTCAATAAGATCTACGAAAAAGTCAATGCGGGCGTATCTGTCAAATGTACGGTTAAAGGGCTATTTCGCATTTTTTGGCGATCCGTACACATTGGAATTTCGCTAACTCCTCCGAAGGCTTTCGTTCCACCGGCACCACATTTGCTCAGGCCAATCTACACCCCATGGCCATTAAAAGTTATTCAAATCATGACACTGCACCCCACGGTTTAGGTTCTAGGGGGCGCCAAAGATAACCCTAAAATCCACATATTTAAAAGTCTTATAACTTTTTATTTTTGTCCTCACTGGCCTCCAAGTTTTCTAGGATGATGCAATGTCCAGCCATCAACACATTTGTGAAGGAATTTTTACTCCCCAAAAGAGCGCCCCCCATGGCAGGAGAAAAAAGTCCATTTTTTCTTGTCCCCTAAGGTGAAAATACACATTGTTGAGTGTCACGCCTCTACACTTTGTCAAAATGACACAAAATTTGGCACACAGGTGTATCTCAATAATATCTACGAAAAAGTCAATGCGGGCGTATCTGTCAAATGTACGGTTAAAGGGCTATTTTGCATTTTTTGGCAGCCGTACACATTGGAATTTCGCTAACTCCTCCGAAGGCTTTTGTTCCACCGGCACCACATTTGCTCAGGCCAATCTACACCCCATGGCCATTAAAAGTTATTCAAATCATGACACTGCACCCCACGGTTTAGGTTCTAGGGGGCGCCAAAGATAACCCTAAAATCCACATATTTAAAAGTCTTATAACTTTTTATTTTTGTCCTCACTGGCCTCCAAGTTTTCTAGGATGATGCAATGTCCAGCCATCAACAAATTTGTGAAGGAATTTTTACTCCCTAAAAGAGTGCCCCCCCATGGCAGGAGAAAAAGTCAAGTTTTTCCTGCCCATCGCTCAACGGCTCAAACACATCGCTCTCTCGGCAAAACCGAAAAGAGGAGAAACTTGCCATTTGGATATATCCTAGCTGTGTTTGTGCCCTCACTCATGGTCCAGACTTTTTTCAAATAGGACATGTAGTTTGTCTGCAGCGAGCGTTTTGGTAGAAACTGCGCCTCCCATTCATTATAATGGTAAATGACCACAGACAAGTGTGCACACCATCTTTGGACCTTGAGTGTGACGCAATCGGGAGGGAGAGGCGGTCGTGTTGGGGGCGGCGCGACACAGCTCGGGCCCGCCAGTGCCCCAACGGGGCCCTAGTTATTATTATTTTTCCTCCCCTTTGAACTGGAAAATGGCCCACTTCCTACTGGCGAAAACTCATGAAATTTGGCAGGACGACCGGGCCTGGTGAAAAATTTGATATTCCGAAGTCGCCCAATCAAGAAAATGCAAAATGGCTCCATAGCGCCCCCTAAGGTGAAAATTCACACTATTGACTGTCACCCCTGTACGCTTTGTCAAAATGACACAAAAATTGACACACACATGTATCTCAATAAGATCTACAAAAAAGTCAGTGCGGGCGTATCTGTCAAATGTACGGTTAAAGGGTTATTTCGCATTTTTTGCCGATCCGCACACATTGGAATTTCGCTAACTCCTCCGAAGGCTTTCGTTCCACCGGCACCACATTTGCTCAGGCCAATCTACACCCCATGGCCATTAAAAGTTATTCAAATCATGACGCTGCACCCCACGGTTTAGGTTCTAGGGGGCGCCAAAGATAACCCTAAGATCCACATATTTAAAAGTCTTATAACTTTTTATTTTTGCCCTCACTGGCCTCCAAGTTTTCTAGGATGATGCAATGTCCAGCCATCAACACATTTGTGAAGGAATTTTTACTCCCCAAAAGAGCGCCCCCCATGGCAGGAGAAAAAAGTCCATTTTTTCTTGTCCCCTAAGGTGAAAATACACATTGTTGAGTGTAACACCTGTACGCTTTGGCAAAATGACACAAAAATTGACACACACATGTATCTCAATAAGATCTACGAAAAAGTCAATGCGCGCGTATCTGTCAAATGTACGGTTAAAGGGTTATTCCGCATTTTTTGCCGATCCGCACACATTGGAATTTCGCTAACTCCTCCGAAGGCTTTCGTTCCACCGGCACCACATTTGCTCAGGCCAATCTACACCCCATGGCCATTAAAAGTTATTCAAATCATGACGCTGCACCCCACGGTTTAGGTTCTAGGGGGCGCCAAAGATAACTGTAAAATCCACATATTTAAAAGTCTTATAACTTTTTATTTTTGTCCCCACTGGCCTCCAAGTTTTCTAGGATGATGCAATGTCCAGCCATCAACACATTTGTGAAGGAATTTTTACTCGCCAAAAGAGCGCCCCCCATGGCAGGAGAAAAAAGTCAATTTTTTCTTGTCCACTAAGGTGAAAATACACATTGTTGAGTGCTACGCCTGTATGTTTTGTCGTATTGACACAAAATTTTACATACACGTGTATTTCAATAAGATCTTCGAAAAAGTCAATGGCCACGTATCTGTAAAATGTACGGTTAAAGGGTTATTTCGCATTTTTTGCAGATTCGCACACATTGGAATTTCGCTAACTCCTCCGAAGGCTTTCGTTCCACCGGCACCACATTTGCTCAGGCCAATCTACACCCCATGGCCATTAAAAGTTATTCAAATCATGACGCTGCACCCCACGGTTTAGGTTCTAGGGGGCGCCAAAGATAACCCTAAAATCCACATATTTAAAAGTCTTATAACTTTTTATTTTTGTCCTCACTGGCCTCCATGTTTTCTAGGATGATGCAATGTCCAGCCATCAACACATTTGTGAAGGAATTTTTACTCGCCAAAAGAGCGCCCCCCCATGGCAGGAGAATAAAGTCAAGTTTTTCCTGTTCATCATTCAATGGCTCAAACGCACTGCTCTCTCGGCAAAAGCGAAAGGAGGAGCAACTTGCCATTTGGATATATCTTAGCTGTGTTTGTGCCCTCACTCATGGTCCAGACTTTTTTCAAATAGGACATGGAGTTTTTCTGCAGCGAGCGTTTTGGTAGAAACTGCGCCTCCCGTTCATTATAATGGTAAATGACCACAAACAAGTGCGCACACCATCTTTGGACCTTGAGTGTGACGCGATCGGGTGGGGGAGGCGGTCGCGCTGGGGGCAGCGTGACACGGCTCGGGCCCGCCAGTGCCCCAACGGGGCCCTAGTTAGGGCCCGAGCGTAGCTGCTAAGCAGCTGCGAGAGCCCTATTATTCCCCAAGGGGTTTTTCTTTGTTTCTTTTTTCTTTTTCCTCCCCTTTGAACTGGAAAATGGCCCACTTCCCACTGGCGAAAACTCATGAAATTTGGCAGGACGACCGGGCCTGGTGAAAAATTTGATATTCCGAAGTCGCCCAAACAAGAAAATGCAAAATGGCTCCATAGCGCCCCCTAAGGTGAAAATTCACACTATTGACTGTCACGCCTGTACGCTTTGTCAAAATGACACAAAAATTGACACACACATGTATCTCAATAAGATCTACAAAAAAGTCAGTGCGGGCGTATCTGTCAAATGTACGGTTAAAGGGTTATTTCGCATTTTTTGCCGATCCGCACACATTGGAATTTCGCTAACTCCTCCGAAGGCTTTCGTTCCACCGGCACCACATTTGCTCAGGCCAATCTACACCCCATGGCCATTAAAAGTTATTCAAATCATGACGCTGCACCCCACGGTTTAGGTTCTAGGGGGCGCCAAAGATAACCCTAAGATCCACATATTTAAAAGTCTTATAACTTTTTATTTTTGCCCTCACTGGCCTCCAAGTTTTCTAGGATGATGCAATGTCCAGCCATCAACACATTTGTGAAGGAATTTTTACTCCCCAAAAGAGCGCCCCCCCATGGCAGGAGAAAAAAGTCCATTTTTTCTTGTCCCCTAAGGTGAAAATACACATTGTTGAGTGTCACGCCTCTACACTTTGTCAAAATGACACAAAATTTGGCACACAGGTGTATCTCAATAATATCTACGAAAAAGTCAATGCGGGCGTATCTGTCAAATGTACGGTTAAAGGGCTATTTTGCATTTTTTGGCAGCCGTACACATTGGAATTTCGCTAACTCCTCCGAAGGCTTTTGTTCCACCGGCACCACATTTGCTCAGGCCAATCTACACCCCATGGCCATTAAAAGTTATTCAAATCATGACACTGCACCCCACGGTTTAGGTTCTAGGGGGCGCCAAAGATAACCCTAAAATCCACATATTTAAAAGTCTTATAACTTTTTATTTTTGTCCTCACTGGCCTCCAAGTTTTCTAGGATGATGCAATGTCCAGCCATCAACAAATTTGTGAAGGAATTTTTACTCCCTAAAAGAGTGCCCCCCCATGGCAGGAGAAAAAGTCAAGTTTTTCCTGCCCATCGCTCAACGGCTCAAACACATCGCTCTCTCGGCAAAACCGAAAAGAGGAGAAACTTGCCATTTGGATATATCCTAGCTGTGTTTGTGCCCTCACTCATGGTCCAGACTTTTTTCAAATAGGACATGTAGTTTGTCTGCAGCGAGCGTTTTGGTAGAAACTGCGCCTCCCATTCATTATAATGGTAAATGACCACAGACAAGTGTGCACACCATCTTTGGACCTTGAGTGTGACGCGATCGGGAGGGAGAGGCGGTCGTGTTGGGGGCGGCGCGACACAGCTCGGGCCCGCCAGTGCCCCAACGGGGCCCTAGTTATTATTATTTTTCCTCCCCTTTGAACTGGAAAATGGCCCACTTCCCACTGGCGAAAACTCATGAAATTTGGCAGGACGACCGGGCCTGGTGAAAAATTTGATATTCCGAAGTCGCCCAATCAAGAAAATGCAAAATGGCTCCATAGCGCCCCCTAAGGTGAAAATTCACACTATTGACTGTCACGCCTGTACGCTTTGTCAAAATGACACAAAAATTGACACACACATGTATCTCAATAAGATCTACAAAAAAGTCAGTGCGGGCGTATCTGTCAAATGTACGGTTAAAGGGTTATTTCGCATTTTTTGCCGATCCGCACACATTGGAATTTCGCTAACTCCTCCGAAGGCTTTCGTTCCACCGGCACCACATTTGCTCAGGCCAATCTACACCCCATGGCCATTAAAAGTTATTCAAATCATGACGCTGCACCCCACGGTTTAGGTTCTAGGGGGCGCCAAAGATAACCCTAAGATCCACATATTTAAAAGTCTTATAACTTTTTATTTTTGCCCTCACTGGCCTCCAAGTTTTCTAGGATGATGCAATGTCCAGCCATCAACACATTTGTGAAGGAATTTTTACTCCCCAAAAGAGCGCCCCCCCATGGCAGGAGAAAAAAGTCCATTTTTTCTTGTCCCCTAAGGTGAAAATACACATTGTTGAGTATAACACCTGTACGCTTTGGCAAAATGACACAAAAATTGACACACACATGTATCTCAATAAGATCTACGAAAAAGTCAATGCGCGCGTATCTGTCAAATGTACGGTTAAAGGGTTATTCCGCATTTTTTGCCGATCCGCACACATTGGAATTTCGCTAACTCCTCCGAAGGCTTTCGTTCCACCGGCACCACATTTGCTCAGGCCAATCTACACCCCATGGCCATTAAAAGTTATTCAAATCATGACGCTGCACCCCACGGTTTAGGTTCTAGGGGGCGCCAAAGATAACTGTAAAATCCACATATTTAAAAGTCTTATAACTTTTTATTTTTGTCCCCACTGGCCTCCAAGTTTTCTAGGATGATGCAATGTCCAGCCATCAACACATTTGTGAAGGAATTTTTACTCGCCAAAAGAGCGCCCCCCCATGGCAGGAGAAAAAAGTCAATTTTTTCTTGTCCACTAAGGTGAAAATACACATTGTTGAGTGCTACGCCTGTATGTTTTGTCGTATTGACACAAAATTTTACATACACGTGTATTTCAATAAGATCTTCGAAAAAGTCAATGGCCACGTATCTGTAAAATGTACGGTTAAAGGGTTATTTCGCATTTTTTGCAGATTCGCACACATTGGAATTTCGCTAACTCCTCCGAAGGCTTTCGTTCCACCGGCACCACATTTGCTCAGGCCAATCTACACCCCATGGCCATTAAAAGTTATTCAAATCATGACGCTGCACCCCACGGTTTAGGTTCTAGGGGGCGCCAAAGATAACCGTAAAATCCACATATTTAAAAGTCTTATAACTTTTTATTTTTGTCCTCACTGGCCTCCATGTTTTCTAGGATGATGCAATGTCCAGCCATCAACACATTTGTGAAGGAATTTTTACTCGCCAAAAGAGCGCCCCCCCATGGCAGGAGAATAAAGTCAAGTTTTTCCTGTTCATCATTCAATGGCTCAAACGCACTGCTCTCTCGGCAAAAGCGAAAGGAGGAGCAACTTGCCATTTGGATATATCTTAGCTGTGTTTGTGCCCTCACTCATGGTCCAGACTTTTTTCAAATAGGACATGGAGTTTTTCTGCAGCAAGCGTTTTGGTAGAAACTGCGCCTCCCGTTCATTATAATGGTAAATGACCACAAACAAGTGCGCACACCATCTTTGGACCTTGAGTGTGACGCGATCGGGTGGGGGAGGCGGTCGCGCTGGGGGCAGCGTGACACGGCTCGGGCCCGCCAGTGCCCCAACGGGGCCCTAGTTAGGGCCCGAGCGTAGCTGCTAAGCAGCTGCGAGAGCCCTATTATTCCCCAAGGGGTTTTTCTTTGTTTCTTTTTTCTTTTTCCTCCCCTTTGAACTGGAAAATGGCCCACTTCCCACTGGCGAAAACTCATGAAATTTGGCAGGACGACCGGGCCTGGTGAAAAATTTGATATTCCGAAGTCGCCCAAACAAGAAAATGCAAAATGGCTCCATAGCGCCCCCTAAGGTGAAAATTCACACTATTGAGTGTCACGCCTGTACGCTTTGTCAAAATGACACAAAAATTGACACACACATGTATCTCAATAAGATCTACAAAAAAGTCAGTGCGGGCGTATCTGTCAAATGTACGGTTAAAGGGTTATTTCGCATTTTTTGCCGATCCGCACACATTGGAATTTCGCTAACTCCTCCGAAGGCTTTCGTTCCACCGGCACCACATTTGCTCAGGCCAATCTACACCCCATGGCCATTAAAAGTTATTCAAATCATGACGCTGCACCCCACGGTTTAGGTTCTAGGGGGCGCCAAAGATAACCCTAAGATCCACATATTTAAAAGTCTTATAACTTTTTATTTTTGTCCTCACTGGCCTCCAAGTTTTCTAGGATGATGCAATGTCCAGCCATCAACACATTTGTGAAGGAATTTTTACTCCCCAAAAGAGCGCCCCCCATGGCAGGAGAAAAAAGTCCATTTTTTCTTGTCCCCTAAGGTGAAAATACACATTGTTGAGTGTAACACCTGTACGCTTTGGCAAAATGACACAAAAATTGACACACACATGTAACTCAATAAGATCTACGAAAAAGTCAATGCGCGCGTATCTGTCAAATGTACGGTTAAAGGGTTATTCCGCATTTTTTGCCGATCCGCACACATTGGAATGTGGCTAACTCCTCCGAAGGCTTTCGTTCCACCGGCACCACATTTGCTCAGGCCAATCTACACCCCATGGCCATTAAAAGTTATTCAAATCATGACGCTGCACCCCACGGTTTAGGTTCTAGGGGGCGCCAAAGATAACCGTAAAATCCACATATTTAAAAGTCTTATAACTTTTTATTTTTGTCCTCACTGGCCTCCATGTTTTCTAGGATGATGCAATGTCCAGCCATCAACACATTTGTGAAGGAGTTTTTTCTCGTTAAAAGAGCGCCCCCCATGGCAGGAGAATAAAGTCAAGTTTTTCCTGTTCATCATTCAATGGCTCAAACGCACTGCTCTCTCGGCAAAAGCGAAAGGAGGAGCAACTTGCCATTTGGATATATCTTAGCTGTGTTTGTGCCCTCACTCATGGTCCAGACTTTTTTCAAATAGGACATGGAGTTTTTCTGCAGCAAGCGTTTTGGTAGAAACTGCGCCTCCCGTTCATTATAATGGTAAATGACCACAAACAAGTGCGCACACCATCTTTGGACCTTGAGTGTGACGCGATCGGGTGGGGGAGGCGGTCGCGCTGGGGGCGGCGTGACACGGCTCGGGCCCGCCAGTGCCCCAACGGGGCCCTAGTTATTATTTTTCCTCCCCTTTGAACTGGAAAATGGCCCACTTCCCACTGGCGAAAACTCATGAAATTTGGCAGGACGACCGGGCCTGGTGAAAAATTTGATATTCTGAAGTCGCCCAAACAATACAATGCAAAATGGCTCCATAGCGCCCCCTAAGGTGAAAAATTCACCTGACGCCTGTACGCTTTGTCAAAATGACACAAAAATTGACACACACATGTATCTCAATAAGATCTACAAAAAAGTCAGTGCGGGCGTATCTGTCAAATGTACGGTTAAAGGGTTATTTCGCATTTTTTGCCGATCCGCACACATTGGAATTTCGCTAACTCCTCCGAAGGCTTTCATTCTTCTTTTTCCTCCCCTTTGAACTGGAAAATGGCCCACTTCCCACTGGCGAAAACTCATGAAATTTGGCAGGACGACCGGGCCTGGTGAAAAATTCGATATTCTGAAGTCGCCCAAACAATAAAATGCAAAATGGCTCCATAGCGCCCCCTAAGGTGAAAATTCACACTATTGACTGTCACGCCTGTACGCTTTGTCAAAATGACACAAAAATTGACACACACATGTATCTCAATAAGATCTACAAAAAAGTCAGTGCGGGCGTATCTGTCAAATGTACGGTTAAAGGGTTATTTCGCATTTTTTGCCGATCCGCACACATTGGAATTTCGCTAACTCCTCCGAAGGCTTTTGTACCACCGGCACCACATTTGCTCAGGCCAATCTACACCCCATGGCCATTAAAAGTTATTCAAATCATGACGCTGCACCCCACGGTTTAGGTTCTAGGGGGCGCCAAAGATAACCCTAAAATCCACATATTTAAAAGACTTATAACTTTTTATTTTTGTCCTCACTGGCCTTCAAGTTTTCTAGGATGATGCAATGTCCAGCCATCAACACATTTGTGAAGGAATTTTTACTCCCCAAAAGAGCGCCCCCCCCCCCATGGCAGGAGAAAAAAGTCAATTTTTTCTTGTCGCCTAAGGTGAAAATACACATTGTTGAGTGTCACGCCTCTACGCTTTGGCAAAATGACACAAAAATTGACACACACATGTATCTCAATAAGATCTACGAAAAAGTCAATGTGCGCGTATCCGTCAAATGTATGGTTAAAGGGTTATTCCACATTTTTTGCCGATCCGCACACATTGGAATTTCGCTAACTCCTCCGAAGGCTTTCGTTCCACCGGCAACACATTTGCTCAGGCCAATCTACACCCCATGGCCATTAAAAGTTATTCAAATCATGACACTGCACCCCACGGTTTAGGTTCTAGGGGGCGCCAAAGATAACCCTAAAATCCACATATTTAAAAGTCTTATACCTTTTTATTTTTGTCCTCACTGGCCTCCAAGTTTTCTAGGATGATGCAATGTCCAGCCATCAACACATTTGTGAAGGAATTTTTACTCCCCAAAAGAGCGCCCCCCCCATGGCAGGAGAAAAAAGTCCATTTTTTCTTGTCCCCTAAAGTGAAAATACACATTGTTGAGTGTGACACCTGTACGCTTTGTCATATTGACACAAAATTTGACAATCACGTGTATCTCAATAAGATCTACGAAAAAGTCAATGCGTGCGTATCTGTCAAATGTACGGTTAAAGGGCTATATTGCATTTTTTGCTGACTCGCACACATTGGAATGTGGCTAACTCCTCCTAAGGCTTTCGTCCCACTGACACCAAATTTGCTCAGGCCAATCTACACCCCATGGCCATTCAAAGTTGTAAAAATCATGACGCTGCACCCCACGGTTTACGTTCTAGGGGGCGCCAAAGATGACCCAAAAATCCACATTCTTAAAAGAATCCCCCCCCCCATGGCAGGAGCAAAAGTCAAGTTTTTCCTGCCCATCGCTCAATGGCTCAATCGCATCGCTCTCCCGGCAACACCATAAGGAGGAGAAACCTGCCATTTGGATATATCCTAGCTGTGTTTGTGCCCTCACTCATGGTCCAGACTTTTTTCAAATAGGACATGAAGTTTGTCTGCAGCGAGTGTTTTGGTAGAAACTGCGCCTCCCATTCATTATAATGGGAAATGACCACAGACAAGTGCGCACACCATCTTTGGACCTTGAGTGTGACGCGATCGGGAGGGGGAGGCGGTTGCGCTGGGGGCGGAGCGACGCGGCTCGGGCCCGACAGTGGCCCACCGGGGCCCTAGTTCTTTAGGGCCCGAGCGTAGCTGCTAAGCAGCTGCGAGAGCCCTCTTGTTCCTGCATGTTTCCTTCTTTAGGGCCCGAGCGTAGCTGCTAAGCAGCTGCAAGAGCCCTCTTGTTCCTGATGGATTCTTCTTTTGTTATTAGGGCCCGAGCGTAGCTGCTAAGCAGCTGCGAGAGCCCTATTATTCCTGATGGATTCTTCTTTAGGGCCCGAGCGTAGCTGCTAAGCAGCTGCGAGAGCCCTCTTGTTCCTGCATGTTTCCTTCTTTCGTTAGGGCCCGAGCGTAGCTGCTAAGCAGCTGCGAGAGCCCTCTTGTTCCTGATGGATTCTTCTTTCGTTATTTTTCCTCCGCTTTAAACTGGAAAATGGCCCACTTCCCACTGGCGAAAACTCAGGAAATTTGGCAGGACGACCGGCCTGCTGAAAAATTTGATATTCTGAAGTCGTCCAAACAAAAAAATGAAAAATGGCTCCATAGCGCCCCCTAAGGTGAGAACTCACCTGATGCCTGTACGCTTTGTCAAAATGACACAAAATTTGACACACATGTGTATCTCAATAAGATCTACGAAAAAGTCAGTGTGGGCGTATCTGTCAAATGTACCGTTAAAGGGCTATTTCGCTTTTTTTGCCGATCCGCACACATTGGAATTTCGCTAACTCCTCCGAAGGCTTTCGTTCCACCGGCACCAAATTTGCTCAGGCCAATCTACATCCCATGGCCATTCAAAGTTGTACAAATCATGACGCTGCACCCCACGGTTTAGGTTCTAGGGGGCGCCAAAGATAACCCAAAAATCCACATTCTTAAAAGTCTTATAACTTTTTATTTTTGTCCTCACTGGCCTCCAAGTTTTCTAGGATAATGCAATGTCCAGCCATCAACACATTTGTGAAGGAATTTTTACTCCCCAAAAGAGCGCCCCCCCCATGGCAGGAGAAAAAAGTCCATTTTTTCTTGTCCCCTAAAGTGAAAATACACATTGTTGAGTGTGACACCTGTACGCTTTGTCATATTGACACAAAATTTGACAATCACGTGTATCTCAATAAGATCTACGAAAAAGTCAATGCGCGCGTATCTGTCAAATGTACGGTTAAAGGGCTATATTGCATTTTTTGCTGACTCGCACACATTGGAATGTGGCTAACTCCTCCTAAGGCTTTCGTCCCACTGACACCAAATTTGCTCAGGCCAATCTACACCCCATGGCCATTAAAAGTTGTAAAAATCATGACGCTGCACCCCACGGTTTACGTTCTAGGGGGCGCCAAAGATGACCCAAAAATCCACATTCTTAAAAGAATCCCCCCCCCCATGGCAGGAGCAAAAGTCAAGTTTTTCCTGCCCATCGCTCAATGGCTCAATCGCATCGCTCTCCCGGCAACACCATAAGGAGGAGAAACCTGCCATTTGGATATATCCTAGCTGTGTTTGTGCCCTCACTCATGGTCCAGACTTTTTTCAAATAGGACATGAAGTTTGTCTGCAGCGAGTGTTTTGGTAGAAACTGCGCCTCCCATTCATTATAATGGGAAATGACCACAGACAAGTGCGCACACCATCTTTGGACCTTGAGTGTGACGCGATCGGGAGGGGGAGGCGGTTGCGCTGGGGGCGGAGCGACGCGGCTCGGGCCCGACAGTGGCCCACCGGGGCCCTAGTTCTTTGGGGCCCGAGCGTAGCTGCTAAGCAGCTGCGAGAGCCCTCTTGTTCCTGCATGTTTCCTTCTTTAGGGCCCGAGCGTAGCTGCTAAGCAGCTGCAAGAGCCCTCTTGTTCCTGATGGATTCTTCTTTTGTTATTAGGGCCCGAGCGTAGCTGCTAAGCAGCTGCGAGAGCCCTATTATTCCTGATGGATTCTTCTTTAGGGCCCGAGCGTAGCTGCTAAGCAGCTGCGAGAGCCCTCTTGTTCCTGCATGTTTCCTTCTTTCGTTAGGGCCCGAGCGTAGCTGCTAAGCAGCTGCGAGAGCCCTCTTGTTCCTGATGGATTCTTCTTTAGGGCCCGAGCGTAGCTGCTAAGCAGCTGCGAGAGCCCTCTTGTTCCTGATGGATTCTTCTTTCGTTATTTTTCCTCCGCTTTAAACTGGAAAATGGCCCACTTCCCACTGGCGAAAACTCAGGAAATTCGGCAGGACGACCGGGCCTGGTGAAAAATTTGATATTCTGAAGTCGCCCAAACAAAAAAATGAAAAATGGCTCCATAGCGCCCCCTATGGTGAAAACTCACCTGACGCCTGTACGCTTTGTCAAAATGACACAAAATTTGACACACATGTGTATCTCAATAAGATCTACAAAAAAGTCAGTGCGGGCGTATCTGTCAAATGTACGGTTAAAGGGCTATTTCGCATTTTTTGCCGATCCGCACACATTGGAATTTCGCTAACTCCTCCGAAGGCTTTCGTTCCACCGGCACCAAATTTGCTCAGGCCAATCTACACCCCATGGCCATTCAAAGTTGTACAAATCATGACGCTGCACCCCACGGTTTATGTTCTAGGGGGCGCCAAAGATAACCCAAAAATCCACATTCTTAAAAGTCTTATAACTTTTTATTTTTGTCCTCACTGGCCTCCAAGTTTTCTAGGATGATGCTATGTCCAGCCATCAACACATGTGTGAAGGAATTTTTACTCCCCAAAAGAGCGCCCACCCATGGCAGGAGAAAAAAGTCAATTTTTTCTTGTCCCCTAAGGTGAAAATACACATTGTTGAGTGTCACGCCTGAACTCTTTGTCATATTGACACAAAATTTGACAATCATGTGTATCTCAATTAGATCTACGAAAAAGTCAAAGAGCGCGTATCTGTATAATGTACGGTAAAAGGGCTATTTTGCATTTTTTGCCGATCCGCACACATTGGAATTTCGCTAACTCCTCCGAAGGCTTTCGTTCCACCGGCACCAAATTTGCTCAGGCCAATCTACACCCCATGGCCATTACAAGTTGTAAAAATCATGACGCTGCACCCCATGGTTTAGGTTCTAGGGGGCGCCAAAGATAACCCTAAAATCCAAATATTTAAAAGTCTTATAACTTTTTATTTTTGTCCTCACTGGCCTCCAAGTTTTCTAGGATGATGCAATGTCCAGCCATCAACACATTTGTGAAGGAATTTTTACTCCCCAAAAGAGCGCCCCCCCATGGCAGGAGAAAAAAGTCAATTTTTTCTTGTCCCCTAAGGTGAAAATACACATTGTTGAGTGTCACGCCTGAACTCTTTGTCATATTGACACAAAAATTAACAATCATGTGTATCTCAATTAGATCTACGAAAAAGTCAAAGAGCGCGTATCTGTATAATGTACGGTAAAAGGGCTATTTTGCATTTTTTGCCGATTCGCACACATTGGAATTTCGCTAACTCCTCCGAAGGCTTTCGTCCCACTGACACCATAGTTGCTCAGGCCAATCTACAACCCATGGCCATTCAAAGTTGTACAAATCATGACGCTGCACCCCACGGTTTAGGTTCTAGGGGGCGCCAAAGATAACCCAAAAATCCACAGTCTTAAAAGTCTTATAACTTTTTATTTTTGTCCTCACTGGCCTCCAAGTTTTCTAGGATGATGCAATGTCCAGCCATCAACACATTTGTGAAGGAATTTTTACTCCCCAAAAGAGCGCCCCCCCATGGCAGGAGAAAAAGTCAAGTTTTTCCTGCCCATCGCTCAATGGCTCAAACGCATCGCTCTCTCGGCAAAACCGAAAGGAGGAGCAACTTGCCATTTGGATATATACTAGCTGTGTTTGTGCCCTCACTCATGGTCCAGACTTTTTTCAAAAAGGACATGGAGTTTGTCTGCAGCGAGCGTTTTGGTAGAAACTGCGCCTCCCATTCATTATAATGGTAAATGACCACAGACAAGTGCGCACACCATCTTTGGACCTTGAGTGTGACGCGATCGGGAGGGGTAGGCGGTCGCACTGGGGGCGGCGCGACACGGCTCGGGCCCGCCAGTGCCCCACCGGGGCCCTAGTTCGTTATTTTTCCTCCGCTTTAAACTGGAAAATGGCCCACTTCCCACTGGCGAAAACTCAGGAAATTTGGCAGGACGACCGGGCCTGCTGAAAAATTTGATATTCTGAAGTCGTCCAAACAAAAAAATGAAAAATGGCTCCATAGCGCCCCCTAAGGTGAAAACTCACCTGATGCCTGTACGCTTTGTCAAAATGACACAAAATTTGACACACATGTGTATCTCAATAAGATCTACGAAAAAGTCAGTGCGGGCGTATCTGTCAAATGTACCGTTAAAGGGCTATTTCGCTTTTTTTGCCGATCCGCACACATTGGAATTTCGCTAACTCCTCCGAAGGCTTTCGTTCCACCGGCACCAAATTTGCTCAGGCCAATCTACATCCCATGGCCATTCAAAGTTGTACAAATCATGACGCTGCACCCCACGGTTTAGGTTCTAGGGGGCGCCAAAGATAACCCAAAAATCCACATTCTTAAAAGTCTTATAACTTTTTATTTTTGTCCTCACTGGCCTCCAAGTTTTCTAGGATAATGCAATGTCCAGCCATCAACACATTTGTGAAGGAATTTTTACTCCCCAAAAGAGCGCCCCCCCCATGGCAGGAGAAAAAAGTCCATTTTTTCTTGTCCCCTAAAGTGAAAATACACATTGTTGAGTGTCACGCCTGTACGCTTTGTCATATTGACACAAAATTTGACAATCAAGTGTATCTCAATAAGATCTACGAAAAAGTCCAGCGCACATATCTGTAAAATGTACGGTTAAAGGGCTATTTCGCATTTTTTGCCGATTCGCACACATTGGAATGTAGCTAACTCCTCCTAAGGCTTTCGTCCCACTGACACCAAATTTTATCAGGCCAATCTACACCCCATGGCCATTCAAAGTTGTAAAAATCATGACGCTGCACCCCACGGTTTACGTTCTAGGGGGCGCCAAAGATGACCCAAATATCCATATTCTTAAAAGTGTTATAACATTTTATTTTTGTCCTCACTGGCCTCCATGTTTTCTAGGATGATGCAATGTCCAGCCATCAACACATTTGTGAAGGAGTTTTTTCTCGTTAAAAGAGCGCCCCCCCATGGCAGGAGAATAAAGTCAAGTTTTTCCTGTTCATCGTTCAATGGCTCAAACGCACTGCTCTCTCGGCAAAAGCGAAAGGAGAAGCAATTTGCCATTTGGATATTTCCTAGCTGTGTTTGTGCCCTCACTCATGGTCCACACTTTTTTCAAATAGGACATGTAGTTTGTCTGCAGCCAGCGTTTCGGTAGAAACTGCGCCTCCCATTCATTATAATGGGAAATGACCAGAGACAGGTGTGCACACTATCTTTGGACCTTGACTGTGACGTCACAGTTTGACATTCAAATGTTATTTGACCTCTGACCTTTGGTGGAGACGTGAACCTTTCAACCTGCAAAAACGGCGTTTCAATAGCTCTTACGGCTTTCCTACAAATACACTTTGTTCTGCTGCTCCTACTGTCTCTTCAGAGCTGCTTCACAGATCATCAAAAGTGCATGTGTGTAATAATATAATCATTTTTAGTGACAATGATTTTTAGTGACATCATACATTTGTTTTTTTCAGCAGAGGCAGCCACCTTAAATGTTGACGTGTGTTTTCTGCAGTTGCATCACATGGCCACAGGGTGCCAGTGTTGGACTCATTTTCCAGGGTCTATTGTTGTTGCTAACATGTATTTGTAAAATCAAACCCCTATTTTTATAATTGAAAATGTCCTGTGAAGATTTGTCCACTGTAGTGACCGTTATACGTGAAAGGGTTAATTGTGTAGTGGAAGTGTTTAGTGTTTAGGATACACACACACAGACACACACACACACACACACACACACACACACACACACACACACAGTCTGTTTTTTAGCACCTGCAAAAACATGCTATTTACATATTAGACAGGAATGCAGAGGCTTCCTTTTGCCCCTGAAAAAATCAAATGTCAAAATTGGCTGGTCATTTCTCCAAAAGACAACCATGAAGCGCTATCTAAACCTGAAGCATGCAGTTGCTGCATGTGTACAGTAACCTGAGGGGAGTGAGGTGACTGCTTCTGAGGAGAACATGAGCAGTGAAGATTCACCTTAGAGCCAGAACAGGGACGTGCACATGATTATACAGGGGCAGGGGCTCAAGTCTTTTCCAGTCCTTTATACAATATGGAAATTAATGTAAAATTAAAAAACAAAGTACTAATAGAAAGGTAATGACCGCCTGTGTAGGTGACAGTGATATCCAATAGGCATTTCTTTTGTGTCAAGAGGGGGAGGCGGTCGCACTGGGGGCGGCGCGACACGGCTCGGGCCCGCCAGTGCCCCAACGGGGCCCTAGTTTTGTTTTGTTTTTTGGTTGAAAGAAGGGCACTGGCAGTACAAAATAAAACCATACTAGTGTACACAGGTCCTTAAACTCATAAAAATATGCAGTATAATTTTCTTATGTTGGACTCAAGTTAAACTCATTAAAATGTCAATGTTGGTTTGGAAATATGTTTTCTGAGAGATAGTATTTGTAGCTGCCAGCAAAATGAAAAGAATTGAGTATATGTGTTTACACTGCTGCTGCAATGCACAACTGTTAACAGCGCGGTTAAAGAAGTGTAATCAACCGGTGCATTGATCGCATTAACTAGAATAGTCATTTACTGAAGGGCGGTTCGTACCATCAGTTGTGTTTTCATCTCCAGCCAATTGCGTCGCATCTTCGATACTCCACCCACAAACTCTGAACAGGTTAATGCAGAGGTCACTGGTGAAGAGGTAAACTTCCCTCAAAGTTCACTCCAGCAGCTGCAGGGAAACAAGACCACCCTTTAATTAGACACTCAACTAATTGCATAATATCTCCCATGATGCTGTGAGTGAAGTGAAGCTGAAGGAGAAAGGAGAATGCTGCCTTTGTTGCCTTATTTTGCTGGCTTTGGCTCTCGTAGTCATTTTGAACCAGCAGCCTGTACTCCTGTCCCCTAAACTCACAAAACAAGCAGGGTTGATTAGAGAGACAGCCAGATCTGGATTTGAAGTACTTAGATTCAGTGAATATCTAGTTTAGTTTTGAGATGTCATTGTCCTGCTGTATGATGACATTTCATATTTATATATTTTTTCAATGCCTGGTGTAACCCAGGTCAAAAATCTATATTGAAAATAGTTCATTGTGTATTCAAATCCAAGATGTTGAATATAGAGACTGTTAAATTCATAGTGGAAAATCAATTCATTGAATATGATGCTTGTTAGCCGATTAAAAGAAACATGTTCACTTAAAAGGAGAAATTTAACGGTAACAGAAAAGTCATGGATTTGTAATTTGAAAAAGCGGTCTTTCATCCAATCAGAAGAGAAGCTCCCACCCACTGACCCGATCGCGCGGGTTCACTTCCTCTGAAGCCGCTATGAGAACGAGAGCAAGCCAAATTGAGCACGAGACGAGTCAGGACACAATTTCGGATGGTAAAACAATTAAAAACCTGGATAAAACTGAGAGAAAGCTGTAGGAAAAATTCCCCCGGCCGACCTGGACCTGTGTGAGCGCAGTGAGAGAAGCCGTACGGGAGGAGAAACGCATCGGTGAGCGACCAGTTTGAGATGCTAAACTGTAAAAGCTAACGGCGACACGTAGCGTACGAGCTAATGTAGCGCTCCGAGTGCTATTTAACATTGGGGTAGACACACTGGGATATGAACGCGATGCATTAGTCTGCCATTTTATTTTTTGCATGAGACATTTGTTTTCCCCTTTTTGTTAGTTCTTTTCTGTGCTCACTGAGCAGTATAGAGTGTGTGTTTAGCATTCTGCCTGAATTTTAAGCACCCTTAGCCACAGGTTACCAACTGTGCACTTGCATATTTTATTTCCTCATTGATTGATGTTATTTGTGTGCTAATTACAATGTAAAGAGCACAGAATGTTTTGATACTACTGGTTTTGAGAGGTTATTTCAACAACATACTAACATATTAGAATTAATCATATTCTGTTAATTGAGTGTTGTTTATTTTATTGCTGAGAGTTGTGATGTCATATTACAACAGAAATTCAGTAACCAGAAGTTATTCTCTATTGAAGTAGAGTTTGTATAGACTTAATATGATTTTATACCAATTCATTGAGAGTTGGCAAAGTTAAAATGAATGCTCTGACCCTACCCATCGTAGGTCAGGTTTTTCTGTTGGACCCCATTCAGAGTTGGACCTACGTGGATGATGGAGCCAGTCGAAGTTTGATGGCGAGCCAAACCCCGGAGGATACTTAGAGATACCGCGGACCCTGAATCCTTTTACACTGTGACATACATACACATAGTGCTGGGCGATAGGACGATAGATATCGTGGGCACGATAGAAAATGTCTATCGTGCCATTTTTATTTTTATCGTTTCGGGCGATAGGCTGTATTTTATCCATAGGGCTTGTGCCATCAGATGATTCATAGTAACAACAACAATAATTGCACATTCAGTAAGTGTATTTGGTGTCGAACGGCAAAGAAAACAATATTTTCTTACAAAGAAAAGGATGCGTTGACATGTAGGCTCGCATTTCTCTTTCGATTTTGCGACATGACGCCGCTTTACGTGCCCTCTTCGTGTCCAGCGTCTCCCGCCATTGTGGGTTACCTGGGTTACACACGTGAGGAGATCATTGTAAGCAGTGCTTAATTTGTGCCGGAGCAAGTCGGAGCGCGATCCGGGACCTATTTCAGCCGCTCCGGCACCTGTTTCATCTGCTCCGGGACCTTCCCTGTAGAGGATGACATTTTTCGGGAATTCCCGTGGGTCACGTGATTCCCGCGGGATGGGAGTCATTTTTTAATTAATCCTTTGATCGGGACGGGACGGTAAAAAAAGCAACGGGAGTGGGCATGAGCAGGGACAACATTAAAAGATGATCATTTTCAGCCGTGTTAAACAACCAGATGAACAGGTGCGTCCATTTTTGTAGTCATCTCTCAGTGACAACCAACACTCTTGACCGCGCTAGCAACACAAAAGAACTACAACAGTGGTTTGACTTCCTGTCAGCTGGGAGCGCGGCTGCGCATTTCTACCCTTCAAGCCAGCAGCGAATAATAAATTAATAAAACCTTTGGTTAGTTTTCCTCTATGCTTTATGCTTTTACTACCTTGCCTTTTACATTGCAACTCTATATTTTTTATTTTTTTTAATTTTTTTTTATGCCAATCTGTGACTGTCATTCTATTGCTTTTTTATTGTTGCTGCTCTTTTTTTACTGTGTACTGTAGCACTTTGAGATTTTTTGTAAATGTAAAGTGCATTACAAATTATTTTTATTATTATTATTATTATTATTATTATTATTATTATGGAGTGCTTTGGCTCACACTATCTGCGTTTTCTGTGAGTGTTGCATAACTTTGGGTGAGCACAGACATGAACGCACTTCAGCCACGTATTTATTTATTCATTTTTCTAGTTTTAAGTGCTGGTCTTAAACTGGTACTGTACTAGTGCAGCTGTATACACTTAAATTTTTCATAGAACTGAAAGCATACCACAGCTATATCGTGATATATATCGTTATCGTGATATAAAATGATCCATATCGTGATATACATTTTTTTCCATATCGCCCAGCACTACATACACATCACCCTCACACTAGTGAGGTGGGACTTATTTTCAATTGTACAAAGTTGGTTGGACTGAACATTAGTGACATAAGCAGCTGCAGAGATTTTTATTTTATTTTCATACTTACCCGGGTAAGAGTTGTTTAGACTGTGTTAATACATGTGTTATTATTGTGGCCTTCCCTATTCTGTTTAATTAACAGGGAAGCATTTCCGTTCTTAAAGAGTGCACTGTGGTTGTGTCGTTCTTGTGCATCGATTGGTCGATCCCTGGCTCCGTAGTCAAACCTTAGAGCTTCTGATAATACTGGTCAGTAGATCTAATCATCCCCCCCTCTCTTCTTTAAA